GTAGTTTGTGACTTTCAATACATTTGTCCACCTCCTCTATATTGTCGAGTTTATTGGCATAAAGGTGTTCATAATATCTGCTTATGATCTGTCTGTAAATAGATTAGTAGTGATGTCCCTTCTCTCATTCCCACTATTTTCCAATGAAAAATAATTTCTAAATGAAGGAGTTAGACTGTGATCTTCCTGAAGCCAGGGAGTGTATCTTGCTGATCCTGTGTTCCCAGTGTTAATGAAAAGCTAGAACATAAGCTCCATGTGGACAGGACACTGGCCTTCCAACAGCTGCTCAGTGCTGCAGTTTCCTCTGAAGCAGGTCTTGGTCCACATAGGTGTCCAGGCACTGCCTCCTTGCTAAGCTCATCCACAGCAGAACCTCACTAAAGCACCAAGGACCCTGCCCTGTGCGCAGCTCACGCACCACACAACCATCCCCGTGCAAAGGCCCATCAACTGATCATCTCCTAGCAGCTTAGGTAGCATAAAAACCTTCACCTTGCCCCTCTCTAGGACAATCCACATTAATTTCTCCAGCATAGCCAATGGCTCTCAAACATTAATGTGCAGCAGAGAATTATTGTCAAGCCTGTCAAAATGCATATTCCTGGCTCTTACACCCAGAGATCCCCATTCAGCAGGTGTGAAGTACCAGATTTTGCGTAAAATTGTGAAAGGTCTTATTGGCCAAGGGGGTGAGTATGAACTGAAATCCAGCTCATCCATGGCTCACCAAGCCATACACTCTGGTGTATGGTCCACTCTGAGGAAGGGCCACCTCTTTATTTATTTTAGTTTCACCTCTTTGCTAAGCCTGGTGTCTGTGGGGATACATCCACAAGGGCAGTGGGGGCGGGGAGGCTTTTTCTAATTTGCACAAAGGCTCTCTATGCCCTGCTGTATTAGCCCAGGTCCCCTGAAAAGCAGATGCCAAGACAGGGCTAGAGATGCAAGTCATTAATTAAAAGAAGTTCCTATGACGGAAAATGAGAAAGAAGACAGGAGAAGCAAGGGGATCTAGCAGACAAGGATGCAGATCTAACCCTTGTGAATAAGAAAGGGAACCAAGAAAGGTTAGATGGAAAAGTCTTAGACTACATGTAGTTCTAAAAACAATTGATAAAGCTGATGGGGAGTCCTCCAGCCAAAGTCACTCAACAACGTCCTCTGTCTTGTAGAACAGGCTTGCCCTAGTATCCCTGCTGTGCTCAGTCACCGACTGGAAGCAGTCATAGGAAGCGTGGCTTCATGAACAGGATGGTGGATTTCAGGGAAATTATGATCCCATAGTAGAGATCTGAGAGGTGCATTTTCATGGCTGCTATTCCTGGAAAGGAGGGCCCTGGGAATCTGCCTGTGTAACAACCCCCCACCCAGGTGATTAGAAACAGCTATTCCAGCAAATCATCCATAGAGGAACTTGCCTAAAGTTTTAAAAAGAAAGGCTTGCAAACCATCCGCTAAGGAAAAAGGAGGCCACCACTTCCTGGATACAACGTCACATTCTTGGGAGCTGGATGGGGGAAGCTCCCCAATTCCTCTGTGATCAGCCTGTAGCCTACAATACAGCTGTATTTACAATAGATGACTCTGCGCCACTTTCTGCTCTGTATGTTATAATAAGGCATGGGCCAAGAGAAGGGACACCCAGAGGATGGAAAAGGCGAGTCTGCCTCAGAGGCGGAGTCAGGGAGAGCATCTTTGTGTGTGAGAAGGGCACAGGCAAAGTGTGGAGGGAAGGGCATGTCTGGGGCAGAGGGCAGTAGTCTGCTGGGGCTGGGCAGAAGGAATGCAGATGGGAGGGGAGTTGGCTCAATGCATGGAGGAAACTATTCAGTAGAATGCAAGTATGGGAGACCGGGATTCAGCAGTCATTGCCTGCAACAGTAAAAATGCTTGGGAGGGCATTTCTGCATGATGACACTCGTTGCTGAGTCTCAGGGCGGAGGAGGCCCAGTGTCCCTCTGAGCTAGCCTAGGAGGCAAGCTGAGGGTCACTCAGAGAGCACCTTGCACACCTAGCCCTAGGGAAAGGCACAGGGGCCAAGAGAGGGAAACCATGGCAGAACTGTCACCTTATCTTCCTGGTCCTGCTCAGAGTTGGGCCTAGTTCCCAAAATACCATCTCAGCCCAAGAAGGGCCTAACAGCAAAAGGAATTGGGAGAAGAACGATGTGATAGTCAATGATCTATGGAAACGCTCTCTTGGCACCCCTTGCTCAGCATTGTGAACTCAAGTGGTTCAGTTGGTCTTCAGATGAGCTTCAAAGTGCATACTGGTACCTGCTTGATCAGGCCCTCACCCTTCCTCTTCATCTTCACCTCTCACTGCTCTTTTTAAGACAAAGACCACAATCTTTAACAAGGCCCTTTCTCAATGATCTGCCTCTTGCCCTCTGTTGAGACCAGATCTAGGTCCATGGCTGTTCAGGATTAGTTTGTTTTGGTAATTAGTTTGTTAGGTAAATATTGGTAACCTCCAGTAGGTGGAGTGATGAGAGCTCTTCCCCTGACAACCCTTACCCCAGTTTGTAAACCAGTATTTATCTGGCTGTCTGTTAATCCATGACTCTCTCCCCACCAACATGTAGGACCATAGAAGTAGAAACCAGGTACGTGTGCTCATCTTGTCTACCCAGGACCTTACATGGTCCTGATTCAAACAGGTACCCAATAATTTACTCCCTGAGTATTGTACCTGTTAAATTGCCAACCTGAAAGAACAGAAACTGGGGAGGATGGGGCGTGTCCACTCTAATAATAACAACCACCATTTATTGAACACCCAATATTTCCAGTCCCTACCAAACCTGCAGGAAGACACTTGAACTGAATCTCAGAGCCAGGCATTGACTTTCCCAAAGGGATACAGCTGGCAAAGAGTTGACGTGGGGTTCTAACCCAGAACATTCTGATTGCAAAGTCTAGCATCTTGCATAGCCACTGCCCTAGCTGGTGAGAGCAGCCCAAACCATTGTATTGGTTTTCAAAGTGATTTATAAATATTAGCTACATGTCAGCGTGTCTACTCCTTTGCTCACCTCGTAAATATTTCTGTTATCTGGGCAGTGACTCTGACGTACAGCCATCCTTGATAGGTATAGAGCACAGTGATGAACAGTGTACCAGACTCTGGAGCATCTGCCAAGGCTTGAAGCCTGGCTCTGCCACTGTTGTGGAAAAAAGACCACAGACTCAAAACATGTAATCTAGAGCTCATAGTTTACTAACATTCTGCATGCAGGAAAGAAACAGGAGCCAGAGAGAACACAGTCTACAGGTGTGCAACTCGACTCTCTCACCTCTCTGTACCTGCGAGTTATAAATGTCCCTTTAAAGAACTAGCCTATTAATTCAAGTGAGCCATCAGGGTCTCTTTGGGACAACTGCTTCTCTGTGGTTAGAAGTCTCTTTTTCCAAAAACTACTTTTCATTTTCTATGGATGCTGATTTCTCGGAAGATATATGGCAGAGCAAGCTTGTGGCACAGGAGAGCCTTGGACAAAGGTCTTTGTTGATGGGGTAGTTGTGGAGGGAGGGCGGGAAGGTGGACACTTCTGGTAGAGGAAGGGCAAGTGAGTCTCTCATTACTCCTTGCCAGGACTTTGAGCAAGTCACTCTGCTACTCTGTGCCTCGGCTTGCTCATCTAGAAAATGGGATTAAAAATACGACCTTACATCAGGGGCTTGCTGTGAGTTGTAAATACACACATCCTTCATCATTATCTAGAACTCCATATTATTTGCTGTTTTGTGGAAAGCGTTTGCCTTGCTAACTTTAATTTGGGATAACTTTTGATCCCGCCTCATTCACACGAACACATTTCATGGCCACTGCGTAATTTCTGCTGGGTGCTCGCTGGTCCAGATCCCTTATTTTAGCAGTCAGAACTCATCCAAATCAGCATTACATCCATGTTGACTCGGGCCTCAAAGTGTAGAACAGCAGCAAGGATTAAAACAAACAGAATTTTTTTTGCATCCTCATCACAGCAGTATCTTAAACTTTTGCCACTTACCATTATTATGAATCGTCTATTTGACTTTGGGTATTGTAATATCTGACTTTCTAGCTAAATGTCCCTCTGCCATAACATGTAATATAATGCTTGGCACATAGTAGGGATTCCCTTAATGTTTAATGAATGACTGTGAAATCCTCTATTAATGTCTACAAAGGCTCTGATTTGGGTCTAGCACAGCCCAAAAGTGCAAAACCCATCTTTCTTCGGAATCAGCTTTCGAATGAAATCTAAATTCTTTGCTTGCCACACAAAGCTTTTCATTAATTGACCTCAACCATCCTAATTGGCCTTCATCAACCACCACTTCTCCCATACCCCAACTCCCCAGTTCCAGCCCTACAAAACTTTATATCATTCCCAGAACAGGCCATGTCCTTGTACAACTCTGAGACTTTTACTTGCTGTTCTTTCTTCCAAAAATTCCCTTCCCTTTTAACCATGGCCAGCTTCTACAAACCTTCAAAACCCCAGCTTAAATGACTCCTCCTCGGGGATGTCACCTAGACTCCCCAAGGCAGCATCAATAGCTCCTTTCTCTGGGCTCCCTCAATACCCTGTCTAGCACACTGATTAAGAGGCCTGACTTAGGAGTTGTGCTAAGGGCTGAGCTAAATTCCCAGCTTTGCAACTTATAAAGTGTGAGACCTTGGGCAAGTTATGTGACCTCTCTGAACTTCAGTTTCCTGATCTGCTAACCTGCACCAATAGCAACCCCTGAGGGTTGCAATGGGAATATTCAACTATACAATTGTCAAGTGTGTAGCAGATACTCAACAAATGGTAGACAGCCTGATGCCTTCTATTACAGCACCTGACTACATCCCCTATGTAATCCTAGATGATGCCAGCAGGGTCTTCAATTATTTCTTAGCCTCGGCAACTAGCACACTACCCAGCACATAGTAGATGCTCAATGCATCCTTGCAGAATGCTTGTGGGCGGTCATGAATGAATGACTCTGAGATCTTTGATTCCCTAGAGTGCCCAGGAGGAGCAAAGTCCCCCTGCAGCGGCAGGGGCAGTTGTGCAGATGGCATGGAAGGAAACGGAAGCTGCTCTTGCCAAGTAAGTTCAGAAACGTGTTCTCCTTCTCCCTGACTCTACTTCCTCTCTTTAACTCTCAGCCCTCCTTAAAGGTACACATACTAGATGGAGTCCCTAAGAAGTAGTGATATTAGTAAAAAGAGTTTGTGACCTGCAACAAAATGACCATAGAGGCTGGAGACCTTTGAGTGAGTCAGTTAACTTCTCAGCCTTAAGTTTATCCATCTGTAAAATGGGTTTGATAAAAATACCTATGTGATTGCACTTGTTAAAAAAGTGAAATGAGATCATATATGAGATAATACTTTGTGAAACTATATAGGCTATAGAATTTTGTTGTCGTTGTTACTGTTAATAATCACCACTATTAGCAGACTGCTCTTGGGTACTGTCCTCAGCACCTGTGGTCAAGCACTGGGTACGCCAATAGAAGAATTTCTTTGTTATTGCATGAAAGTGACTTTTTGAAAGCTTCAAGCCTTAGATGATTTAAATACAAAGAAATCCTTCTGAAGAGGATTGAATTCAACTGTCTTCAGAAATGCAAAACTGAGTTTTCATTTCACTCTTGGGGGAAATTATGATGTGGCTGTTAGCACTTGGTCTGTATTTATATCTTTGGGCTGACAAGGCAGCTTTCTTCTGAAGAGCTCCAGACTCTCAGGAAAAAGTGATGCAGGGATTAATGTATGCATTATAACATAAAAACAGCAAAGAATAAAGGAAGAAATAGAAAGAAGGAACCTCAGGGTAGGCACAGAGGGAAGATATATTTGAGAAACAAACACTGACCAGACCATCATTTAGAACTGCAAGGGCTGCCTGGGTAACACAGGTCACTTGGGTCTAATGTCACCTATCTGGGGTGTTCTGCAGGAAGGGTTTGGTGGAACAGCCTGTGAAACCTGTGCTGATGACAACCTATTTGGACCCAGCTGTTCAGCAGGTATGTCTGATTTTGTGTAATCAAATGCATGTGTAAAAGTTGAAAGTCAAACATAGCTTACACAGCTGAAGACCCAGAGAGACTGTTCTTGAGGGGAAAACACTGAACAGTTGTATATAACCAGTCTACAGGAAGAACAAAGGATTGACGACACATCTGATAAAATGCAACCTTTGAAAAGAGAGACAGTGTTTCCTGGGGTTTTCAGCACCAGTAAAACTTTCTGGCAAACTCAGGGGCATACGATTCCCTCTCTCCAGGCTCCAGGATCCAACATTCACCTATTCCTTGCCTGTTCAGCCTCTCCCTGAGGTCTTTCCAGATCCCAGTCTCAGCGCTCATCTTCTCCCCAGGGGCCTCGACTTCCCCCAGAGGTCCTACTACATTTTAATCTGTCCCTTCCTTTGGGAGTTCACAAATAAATACCTGAGGGGATCATAGATTGTTGGCTCCATTTTGCAGATTAAACAAACAAACAACAAATCTGACACTGGTTTGTCCACTCTTTTATTTTTGGTTCCCCCTAGAAGTAGACCCTGAACCCAGTAGCATATTTGGGAGGTGACCCCAAGAAACGTGAAGAAAGTGACATGGGGAAATAAAGGGTATGTTGTCAAGCCAGAGACCAGTGTGGACGACCAGAGTTTAATCCCCTGGGGAGCTCTGGAGTCAGTGAAGAGCACTCACCCCGGAGTCATCTGACCCGAGGGGAGAGGGAGTCATGGTGTGGTAGGCAGAGTAATGACTCCCCCAAAAATGTCCACATCCTTATCCCTTGGATCTGGGAATATGTTACCTTACATGGCAAGGGGGAATTAAGGTGGCAGGTGGAGTTAAGGTTGCTAATCATCTGATCTTACAATAAGGAGATTATCCTGGATCATCCAGGTGGGTCCAATGTAATCATATGGGTCCTTAAATGGAGCGGGGAGCCAGAGGCAGAAGATGCAGTGTCAGAGTGATGAAATGTGAGAAAGACTCACCAGCCCTTGCTGGCTTTGAAGATGGAAGGGGGCCATGAGCCAAGCAATGTGGGCAGCCCCTACAAATTGGGAAAAGCAAGGAAAGGGATTCTCCCCTCCAGAAAGGAATGCATCTACTAACACCTTGATTTTAGCACGGTAATTTTGGATTTCTGACCTCCAGAAATGTAAGACAATAAATTTGTGTTGTTTTAAGACAACAGGCTTGTGGCAATTTGTTACAGCATCAATAGGAAACTAATACATGCGGTCACTGCGGGGGGATTGTTAATTCCCTGGCACTTCCAGCCCCCAGTGAGTGCTCAGCAGCCTTCCTGGGAAGTGTTCACAGGCTACTGATAGCGAACTGGAATGCACGGGATTGGAAAGGCCTAGAGAATGTAGGCATGGTAGGGACAGTGTCTGCCAGATCCATGGTCTCCCAAAAAAGGATATGTCTGGTGGCCTTTCTCCAATACCACCTCAGCTCTGGCTTTTATGGAAAAATCAAATTCAGTCGACACTGCATTGATTCAAATATTTTTTGTGAGAAAACTTACACACACATAGACGTCCCACCCCCATAAGTTTGCACACTCTGTGATAAGTTTCATCGCAACAGCAGAGGTCTTGTCTCATTCTAATCCATGGGTTTCTTGAAGGCAGGCACTGTTATACCTCTCTATCTCCAGTACCTTCCACAGTGCTGCCTTCCTGGTACACATACACTGCACTTCTGTTGGCCGGATGAATAGATGAGTGAGTGCGGAGTGAGTGAATGATTTAATGAATGAATGATCTAATTCGCTCCAGCCGTGTTGTCCTGACCCAGAAGCATGGTTTTGAGAGGCCTCATGTAGAGGTGATTAAAGCTCCAAGTTTAGACTCAAACTGAGTTTCAGCCACAAGGCTGTTAATGGTGGGAACCTTAAGTTGACGCTGTCTGTCTGTGTCTTCATCTGTAAAAGTAGAAATAATATTGTCTTCTTTAGGGTTACTGTGAAGATTTCATGAGATAATCAGTGCACAATAAATTTTACATTTATTATTATAGTTACCTATTACTCTCTAGTGTCCCCCAATCTTATGTTTTCCTTCACCCACCACGCCATAAAAGATTATCTCATAAGGGTGTTAGCAAAAGCAAATTTAAAACAGATGTTGGTATTCTGCATGTTTTTAAGATTATAGATTATATTAAAGGACAGTAAACTAAAATATAATCAATCAACTGTTTAGAAATAACATGCCTTCTAAATTGGCCCTTCCCTACCATAATACTAGAATTTAAACCACATATTTTAGGTAAATATTGAAATGGGAAAGAAAAAAGATAGCATCCAGCATTGCTTACTTCTCAAGAAAGCCGAGTAATTGTTTGGGGGTGAAAATTTAGAATGAAAATGGACCCACATTGCCTCCAAGAAACTGATGTTGGTTGCTGATGAGCACAGAGGTACATGGAGATTCCAAACATTTCTAAATAAAGTGGCTTCCCTTCACACTTGCTTGTGCCGTGGAGAAAGGGCAAGTGAAAGGGAGAAAGATGGTTTAGAAACCTAAATTTTTAAGTAAGGAAATTGGAAACCTAAACTGAGACCCAGGAGAAAAACCACTAAGTTCTAGCATCCAATAGAACTTCGTGAGAGGATAGAAATGTCTTATATCTGCGCTGTCCAGTGCGGTAGCCACTAGCCACATGTGGCCACTGAGCACCTGAAAAGTGACTAGTGCAGCTGAGGAACCGAATTGTAAATTTTAGTTCACGTTACTTAATTAAAATTTAAATAACCAAACATGGCTAGCGGCTACCATATCAGATAGCACAGCTCTAGCACATAACGGCTAAGAGAACAGGCTTTGAAGTCAGACTGGTCTGAGTCTGAAACCAACGCCAGTTGCCGAGTGACGTGGGGCAAGCTATTTAACCTCCCTAAGCCTTCCTCACCCATAAAACAGGAATAGTGACACCTACCTCTCGGGGTTGACAACATAGCAAAGCTCTTAGCAGCATGTCACAAGCACTCAATCAATAGAAGCAAGTATTAAGTGAGGACAAAAACAATCCAACAGTATGCAAGCCACCAATGAATGAATGAGTGAGTGAATGAATGGGTGAATGGCTCAGTGACGGCTGGTCATTGCCCACTGGCAAGGACTAGGGAAACTTGCAAGCCTTTTCAGCTGGGCATCCACTGGGTGCCAGTGTTGCTTCATCTAATGAGGCGTTGGTCCGGTGGAGGTGGCGGTTTTGCCTGTAAGTAGGACAGCTCTATTACCCACAGTTTATTTTTAACATTGACTTGAACCTGCTCCCTGAGCGTTCTCCCACACGACTGTTGATTAGTTTAGAGACGATTTAGAGCTGCATCAGCCAACAGTTTTCATCTCTGCTGTCAATGCCTAGCCTGCTCAGTGCCTCACCCCGGTTAGGACAGGATGCAAAGCAAATTTGCTCTAACGCAACCCCAAATCAATCCCACAATCATGTTTTGTTAATAACAGTAGCTAGCGTTTGCTGAGCGCCTGCTGTGTGTGAGTCTTGACATGCATAATGTCTTTGGATCCTCACAACAACTCTTCAAGCTGAGTTCCTCATTTTATAAATAAAGAAGCAGAGAGGTTTCTCAAGGTTATGCAGCTATTAGGGGGACAAGGCAGGATTTAACTCCAAGTGTCTGACCCCAGAGTCTGGGCGCCCAGGTACTGCACTGCTATGCCCCTGGAGCACCCACCATGCATTAGACGCCTGACAGGTGATGGGGACCCAAAGAGGGGAGAGATCAGGTCCCCGTCCCCAAGGAGCTGGAAATGCAGGTGACACTTATGATCCAGTGTACACAGCACACATGGGAAGCTACAGGAACACGGGAGAGGGAGCAGCTTACCCTGCCAAGGAGCACATCACCGGGGTCTTCGCTGACTGTCCCCCTGACCCGAACGGCATGGCTTTGACCACTTTAAAGTCATATACCCAAAGTTTCCTGTGTCTCTAGAAATTTGCTGAGGCCAGTTCAACAAATAGGAAGGGCTCTTTAAATGACCATCTGAGAATCCCTCTGCCACTCACTTCTCCTTCCCAAGGACATTCTCTTGGCAACGGTTGGCAGCCCTGCAATGCATGTCAGAGGCTCCCGAAAGCTGTTGGTGCCAGGTCACTTAATCCAGCGCAGAGACTGTACCAGAAGACAGGACACAGGGAGAGGCTCACGCCAGGGCCTTGGACCCACACCATGCAGCCCGGAGGGGAAGCTTAGCGACAAGCACAGCTCTTGCTGTTAGCCTCTAGGTTGGGAGCAGGGGCTGAGCCACATTCAACTCCTCGCTTCTGCCTCCCTGTCTTTTTCCATTGGCTGCATGACAACATTTAGGACACACACGCTGTTATTGTATCACTTAGAGTCTGGCTTCGGCACTACCCTGTGAGCTCCTTGAATTTAGATATTGTGAATTACTCATATGTATATAACCAGTGCCTAACACAGCGCCTGCCACTAGGTAGGAGCTGGGTAGGTATTTTTTAATTGAACTGAATTGAGTCTTCTCCACTGAGCCCGTAGGACACCCCTCCTCACCCCAATTATCTCCATGACCAATTTGACTTCTCTCCGGAACTCGTCTGTTCCAAGAAGCTACAGCCGTAGATGGACATCAAAGTGCTTTGCTAAAATAGAAACAGTAGCAAATTGGGTTTTGGAGGGAGGATGACAATTGCTAATCCGATTCAATTCTTCAATTACTTGCATGAGTACTTGATCTACTTATCTCCCATTTTCATATGTAATACAGGCTTAATGAGCTCTACTTCACAGGGTGCTGTAAGCAACAAATGAGATAAGGCATGTAAAGGATGTGGCAAAATGCTTGATAGATAGTAAATACCCAATAAAGGGAAGCAGGGCCAGTTCTAGGGTGAACAGAGTGAGGACACGCCTCCGGTGCAAAATTGAAGGAGGCATCAAAACTTCGATAATCACTATAAATCATTTTATTAGTTCTCTAGGACTGCTGTAACAAAGCACCACAAACTGGGTAGCATAAAAAACAGGAATTTAGTGTCTCAGTCCTGGAAGCTAGAAATCCAAAATCAGCATGGTGGCTGGGCCATGCTCCTTTCACAGCCTCTAAGAAAGGATCCTTCCTTGCCTCTTCCGGGTTCTGAGAGGTCCAGGCATTCCTTGGCTTGCGGCAGCATAACTCCAATCATTGCCTCTGTCTTCACATGGCTATCTTCTCCTCTTACATCTGTGTCTCTTCTACTCATCTTCTAAGCACATCAGTCATATTGGATTCAGGCCACCCTACTCCAGTATGACCTCATCTTAACTTAACTAATTATATCTGCAATGACTCTATTTCCAAATAAGGTCAATCTGAGGTACTGAGGGTTAGGACTCCAACACATCCTTCTGGGGGACACAGCTCAAGCCGTGACAATAATAAATTATATTATTGAACAAAACATCAAGTTGTTAAATAAAGGCAGGATCCAACTCTGCACTTGCGCTCTCCTGCCTCACTCTCCCCACCCTAATCCCGGCCCAGCCGGACACTGTCCTTATTTAAAATTGAGTTGTGCAGCTGTTGGCATTGTTATAAGGCACTGTAAAAGGTGTTGTGGGGAGAAGCAGGGAGGGGGATTGAGAAAGAAGAAAGCAGCCCTGACAGCTGTCGGCTGGCCATAGGCCTCATTGCTCCCGGCTGGACTGTGGGGTTGCCCCGCTGAGCATAAACAATTTCACAGGCTATTACCATCAGAGACTCGCTATATGCGTGCTGGAACAAGGCAAAAACTAGGCCACTGCATCATCACGTCTGAACAGAGAAGTAACCAATGACAATGGGCAACCTTAACAATAACCCAACAGCTGCCTCTCCTGGTTGCCACGCGTGGCTACTGCTTCTTCTTCCATGACAACTCGCCCTTGCTGCTGACTTTGTTTGACCACTGGTGTGATCCTGGTGGTCTTTGGCTTGAGGCATTGATAAAATTATATTAGTTGTGGTGGGATGTGATAGTGGACAAGTTACAAAGAGAGTGCTGTTGGAGCCGAGAGGGACACAGATTCTGCTTTGGTGGGGTCAATGGCTGGCCTTGAAGGATGAGGAGGACTTCCATTGGCATGCAAGAGGAAGCACAGCAGAGGCAAAAACCTGGAGGTGTGAAAGTGCAGGATGCGTGTCCTGTCACTTCCACCTAGCACGGTCTTTCCTAGACCGGCCCCACCCATCTCTTCCTGGCCAACTCCCATTGCCCTGGGCCCATCATGTCCTAGCATTTATCACCCTGCATTGTGATGGCCTGCTTTCTTCTGCCCTTTGACCATGAGCTCTTTGAGGGCAAGGACTTTGCCTCATTAATCCCAAGCACAGCACCCTGAATGTAGTAGATGTTTAATACGTGTTTTGAAGGAAGGAAGGTGAACTAGTGAGTCATCTCATGTGCTTAGGACATAAAATGTATGAAATAAAGTGGTGGAAGATGAAAATGAAAAATCAAACAGGTTGGAGTCAAACTGGAGAAAGGCTTGTTTTCCAAACAGAGGAATTTAAACTTCATTTGGTTAGCAATTGGGAGTCACTGAGATATTTGGGGGAAGATCACCCTTATGACATTACTGACCAAATGAAATGGATGGAATGGAGAGGTGAGGAAATGGATGGAATGGAGAGGTGAGAAATTGGACAGCAAAGCTAGGTAATATGCTACTGCAATAGTCCAGGCAAAACACAACAAGCATCTGAACAAAGACAGTTCCAGTGGATATGAAGAGCAGGGGTTTGGGGTAGGACACACAACAGGCAAAAATTGCAAAGGATTTTATGGCTTATTAGATGTTTGGAATACTTTTAAATGTTATTAATCTTTGCTTTTCTGGTATTTGGTTAGGTTTTTAAGCAAATGAGTTTTCTTAATTATGTTTCATCTGAGTTAACATTAAGTTGGCTTACACACATTGAATACATGTGTGGTAGGCAGAATAATGCCCTCCCTGCAAAGATGGCCATGTCCTAATTCCCAGAACTTGTGAATATGTTAGGTTATACAGCAAAGGGAAATTAAGGTTACAGATGGAATTAAGGTTGCTAATCAGTTGATTTAAGGTAAGAGAGTGTCCTGGACTATCCAGGTGTGCCCAATGTAATCACAAGGGTCCTTATAAGCAGAAGAGGAAGACAGAAGAGAGAGGAACAATAAAGATGGCAGCATGAGAAGGACTTGACCTGACATTGCCAGCTTTGAAGATGAGAGAGGGGCCATGAGCCAAGAAATACAGGTGGCCTCTAGAAGCTGGAAAAGGCAAAGGAACATATTCTCTTTTAGAGTCTCCAGAACAGCCATATTGATACCTTAATTTAAGCCCAGTGAGACACATTACAGGTTTCTGACTGCCAGAACTAAAAGATAACAAATTTGTGTTGTTTTAGGCCACTAAGCTTGTGGAAATTTGCTACAGCAGCAAAAGGAAACTAATACAATATGCTTCACAGACGGCTGGGCATAGGATGCTGGTAACTCAGCAAGATAATAAATCTTGCTACAAACGAGCCACAAACTAGGTGCTAAAGAGTTGACCATTTATTCTAAATGCTCTTCACATCTCATTCCTGAAATAATCTGGGCTGAAAAGTCATCTATTTCAAGCTAGAAAACATGGCATAGTTATTCTCTGCCCTTTTGAATTTCTTTTTATACTTGCATTGCCCCATCATTTGGGAAGTAGGATTTATTTACATAGATTCCTGCTACCAATAGCAATTGAGTCAGTGGTAGCATTTCTCTTTTAAATGTGACAAGTGTATACGAGAAACTAATTCTCTTTTTGAGGTATCCAAAGATGAAGTAACTAGTTTGAAAGTAGAGAAAAGAACTCCAGTGCACGTGATATGCATGGTCTGCTTTATATATATTACCTCATTTAACTGTATAGAAATCCCATGAGGTAGGTATCATTATCCACATGTCATACATAAATAAATTGAAACTAATAAGAGGAAAATGAAGCCAAGATTCAAACTAGGTCTCTAGGACTTCAAACCCATGGTTTTCCCCATCTCATCATGCAGATTCTCAATAAAGACTATCTGAAAACATTATGCTTCCAGAATCTTTAGAAAAAGTCTACATCAGGTAATGAAAATTCCCCCATTTTTCTGTCTGCAGTGTGCAGCTGTGTGCATGGAGTATGCAACAGTGGAACAGGTGGTGACGGAACCTGTGAGTGCTACTCTGCATACACTGGCCCCAACTGTGACCAGCGTGAGTACCACTAGTTTCCTTAATGCCACACCAGATCAAATGGGCACAGATGTATGCATTTCAATTTTGTATTCGTGTACCAGGGCTCTACCTGGGTGAGGCACCATCAAACGTTTTGCTGGAAGAAAACTAAAAATTTAAAAGAGAGAGGAAAAAAAGAAAAGAAGAGGAAGGGAAGGGGGGAGGGATGTGAGAAGAGAAGAGGGGAGAAAAGGAGAGAAGAAGAAATAGTGTAGAAGATTGGAAGTCACAAAAGGTTTGGGAGCAGTGTAGTAACATGGCTGTAGCTATGTTCCCAGAAGGTCAAGTTGGTGGCAGTGTAAAGGACAGAATGGAGAGGAAGACATTGGGGCTGGGAAACCAGTTGAGGCCACTGCAACAAGTTAGTCACCCCGTAAGGGAGATAAGGCATGTTCTCAATTACAAGTCTCAAAGGCAGAGCACATTCACAGGAAACAGAGGCACACCAAGGCTAAAGGTCACAAAACTAGTAAATAGAGACAGCTGGAACTCAAATCCTTTGAATCCATGGGAAATTCTTTAAACAGTCAGTCATACTGGGTCCAGTCAAGAGGTAGAAACCTCAAGGTGATTTAAACAAGGCAAGTTTAATATAAAGAATTAGTAAGCTATGTTAGGAGAGTGGCTATAAAAATGCAAAGTGAACCTAGGGCTGATGGAGGATAACAAAGGAAGGACAAACTTGGAAGGGGGTGGCCATCCCCAGGCTGGGTTCAAATCTTGTTGGAGAAGGTGTGATGGCAGCCCACTGGGTGGAGGAGAAGTCCACTGGTTTGCCCAAGCCGGCATCAGATCACAGTCACCGGGCAGGCAGGGAACAAGCCTCCAGGGCACTGGTGAGCTGAGGCTTGTGGTCAAGTGCACAGAGGGAGTTGGGGTGCTGTGGGTGATAAAACTGTAGTGTGCAGTGCCTGTGTGGGGAGAGCTGCAGGAAGGTGGTCATTGGGTCCAGACCTAGGACATGAGGTCACCGAGGGACTGTGCACTCTGGGTGCACAGCTTGGGCAGAGCATCACTGGATGTTCTCAAACACTCACATCACCGACAGACTGTGAAGCAGCAGCAAGCAAACCCAGTAGAAGCACAACGCTGCACAACCACACGGGGAAGAGGAACCCTGTCCTCCTGCGATGGCCCTCCAGCGCCCTCTACTGGCCAAACTTACATCACTGTAAAGGAGGAACGTTGAGAATCCAGCCGGTTGTCACAGAGCTGGTGATGAAGGGTGAATTTGGAGCTCGGACATTAAGAAATTGGACATTCTGCTTTTGACACTAGCCTCACTTAACTTATGCTCTGGTTTTACTCTTCTGGTCTGTAACATGAAGGGATGGGACAAGATTCAAATTCAACAAACTCGAACACTTTATTGAAAGTCATGGAGGAGCTATGCGCAGTGGTAGTAAGGAGGATTCATAAAATATAGCCTCTACCTTCTTCTGTGGAGGAGACAGACACGCAAACAACCAATGTGAATCAATAGTAGAATGAAATGCAAGTGGATAGGACGACTCCTTCTGCAGATGTCAATCAGCCTCCTTCCGCAGTCACTCCTGTCATCGCCCAAAGGGCTCATGAGCAAAGGCCTTTATAATAAGACAGGAGACCCAGCCCAGAAGCCAGCCTAGTGGAAAGAACACACACAGATTTGCCTCCAAATGACAAAACAATTCTGTTGAGTCAAGAGATAAGCAATAGAATGGGACAAAAATATCTGCAAATCCCCATGGCAGAAAAGTTTTTATGATAATATAAAGTCCGCGAATCCAGTTTCAAAATTGGCCAAGGAGCAGCTAGTTCTCAGGAGAAGACATGAAAACTAGCCAGCAAACACAAAAAAGGTGCTTCACCCCACTAGGAATCGCAGAAATGCAAATTACAACCATAATGAAGCAGTATTTTGGAGTTTTGGAGGTTTTGACTTGGTTTGGTTTTGGTTTTTTGCCCACTATGTTACACAGATTAAAAAGATAGATAATATCTATTCATGGGTGTGAGAAAAATTACAGTATTGTCAGTGGGGATATATATTGCTACAACCTATGAAGGAAATTTATCTATTAAATGTTAAGGTATGCTTACTGTTTGCTGCTCCAGCCCCAATTCCAGAATTTACCTGGAGGGGGGAGGAGTAAGCACCAGTAGGTAAGAATATACGTACAAAGAAATTCATGACAGTACTGTTTGTAAGAAGAAAACAAGCTGGAAATATTTGGATTCCCGTCAATAGGAAATGGTTGAATAAATTATGGCAAGTTCTATACGAGTTAGGATAATGCTAGCTGCTGTAAGAAATAAACCCAAAAATGTAATGGCTTAACATCATGGTTCCAAAACTGCACCAAAGCATCCTAAGGTATCACATCAAACTCACAGAGATGCTATGGGATATTTTAAATTTTTGAGGGAAACAGTGACACATCTGTAGAATACTGTATGAACTGATATTTGAGTTAGTTCACAATTTCAACCTTAAGTAGCACTACATTCCTTTCATTTATATCATATCTTTACAAAGCTGCATTTTCAGTGGTTTCTGTGATAAAAAGCAAGTATGCAAAAATCATTCGAATGGAATGAGGGTGGTAGTTTCCAATCGGATTCCAAGGGTTAAGAAGTTGCACAGTGTCCAACAAGTTCACATGTCCCAACAGTAAGTAAATATGGTTATTTAAAAGTAAATAAAAATATTTACCTCTCTATTAACCATATTACTTTTTCAAACGGCTACTAAGTTCTCATGACATAAACAGCTACTGAATTCTTTGGTTCTTACAACTTAATAAATGGACTTCGTAGATATTTCTTTTGGCCGTGAAAAAATTATTGAGACACTAAGGGCACCATGACCTGAGAATTTAGGGAACCTCTGGCTTAACACAACAGGGGTGTGTTTCTTAGTCATGTAACAGTCCAATGTGGGTGTTCCTGGCTGACACCAGCGTCCCACCATGTGGTGATTAGGGATCCAGATCTTTCCATTTTGTGCCTCTGCCATTCTGTATCACCTCAGAGTGCTCTGCTTTGAGCCATGGAAGGAAGAAGAGAGGGTGGAGAAGCACCTGCTTGGAACAATACATAGAACTTCCATTCAACATCCCCCATTAATGTAAACTAGTCACCCAAAGAGGGGTTGAAAATGTAATCGTGAAAGGGCAGCCACTTCCAGCAACAATCCTACTTTATGGAAGGGACGGAAGTATTCTGTGTGAATTTTTGATTCATAGCCACTGTTGAGAGACAATTCTCCACGAATCTCTCATATTTGCACACATCTGGAGAGCAGCACACTGACTTCCCTTTGTTCCAACATCTTTTCAAGGATGTTTGCATAGCGAACAGCCTTGGAAGATATAGGGTCTCCCTCGGGAGCAAAGTGCAGGCATGCTTACTGCCTGTGCTGGCTATTGATGGAGTGCCTCTCAGCTCCAAATTCACCCTTTTTGCCTGCTCTGTGACAATGGAGGTGAGCCTTGTAAATATTTCTCATTTGCCAGCCAGCAAGATGTGAAGGCTTATCAATAGATGGTGCTGGAGGGACACTGACGGAGGAAGCGTTTTCTCTTTCTGTTTCTGGTTTGGTTCATTCGCCAGGCTCCTGAAGAACATGGTTTTTCTCCACTGTTCAGCCCTATACAGTTTCTCCATGGCTAGGTGCCTGCAGGGCTCAGCTTCTTCCAGAGTTTGGCCACAGCATACTGTGTCTACTGCTTGACTCAGGCAGTGGCAGCTTAGCCAGGAGCCCTGGACAGCACAGGCCCATGCCCCAGCCCAGGGGCATGCTGTTCTGCACACCCTCTCAGCCCCATGCACACCAAAGGCCCTGCAGGACCAGCCATCTGGGGAGATTGCCACCCCACTTTCATCCCACATATCCGGCCTCTGAAACTGCCCCAGCCTAAGCCACACACAGAAGAACACTACACCTCTGAGAGGGTGGCTTCTTAGCTCCCAGTTCCACTGGCACCCAGTGGCCAGCAGCTTCCCCAGGCACCAACTGAGTCCTGAGGCTTGGCCCCTCCCTGTGGATGACCTTCCCTGGAGCCCCAGAGGAAAGATTTCCAGCAAATCTCACCATCAAGGCACCTGAGCACCTTCTCCACCATGCAGTGACCAAGGCCATGCCCTTTCCAGTGACATCTGGATCTCAGCTCAGGAGGGAAAAGGGCTTACCTTGGGTACTTATCTCAGCCTGAGGGTAGTGGTTGCTCTTTATTTTTCTGCTATTCCTTTATTCTTTAGAATTCTTTTTAACTGTCGTGAGCCAATTCCCCATTATTCCAATTCTCTGTTCATGAGTCTTTACACTAAAACTTTCTCTGCTCAAATATTTGTCTCCTGTTTGGGCCCTAACTAATATCTTGCCTATTATTTTAAAAACTTTGGTTCCCTAAGATCAGGGCTCATCTCCTGTAATAAAATCCACCGCAAGTTCAGGTCTCAATTTGACACTCTTTGCATTGCCCTGTGGGAATTGGGGCTTGGAAGAACCAGTGCAAAAATGCTTAAACTCTGGCTACTGCTCTTGATGTGAGTAATAAACTGTCCTTCATCTCTGACCCAAGAGTTTCATATCTTCTACCAGCATCCACGAAATTGTGTCAGCCCAACTTGTTAGCTTTGCAAGTTGGCTAATATGTCAGACTCTTTATAGTTTTTAACAGCCATCTATGTCCTGTCTATATTATAAAATACTGTGCAGTTATTAGAGATTAAAGCAGATCCTTAAAGACCTCCATAATATATTGTTAAATTACTTTTTAATTGAGGTAACATTGGTTTATAACATTACATAAATTTCAGGTGTACATCATTATATTTCAATTTCTGTGTAGACTACCTCATGTTCACCACCCAAAAACTAATTACCATCCATGACCAAACACATGTGCCCTGTCACCCCTTTCACCCCCCTCCCTCCTCCCTTCCCCTCTGGTAACCACCAATCTAATCTCTGTATCTGTGTGTTTGGTTGTTGTTGTTGTTGTTGTTTTTATCTTCTACTTATGAGGGAGATCACATGGTATTTGACTTTCTCCTCTGACTTATTTCACTTAGTATAATACCCTCAAGGTCCATCCATGTTGTCACAAATGGCAAGATTCCATCTTTTTTTAGAGCTGAGTAGTATTCCATTGGGTATATATAACCTTATCTTCTTCATCCATTCATCCCTTGATGGGCACTTAGGTTGTTTCCAAGTCTTGGCTACTGTGAATAATGCTGCAATGAACATAAGGGTGCATAAATCTTTATGCATTCGTGTTTTTGTGTTCTTTGGATAAATACCCAGAAGTAGAATAGCTGGATCTTATGGTACTTCTATTTTTAATTTTTTGAGGAATCTCTGTACTATTTTCCATAGTTTACATTCCCACCAGCAGTGTATAAGTGTTCCCTTTTCTCCATATCCTCTCCAAAGGTGTTAATTAATAGTTTAATTGTTAAATTAAATTGTTAAATTAGAAATCAAGTTCCTAAATATTTTAACAAGATTCCATTTTGTTAAAAAATCATATAAATAAATTTATAAATGAATGTATTATATTGGTTGTTGACACTGGTTGTTTTGGGAGTGGGATGGGAGAGTGAAAATAAGAAGTTAATTTTTAGTTTGTACATTCTGTATTTTTTGAATTGTTAACAGTGAATCTGTATTACTTTTTAGTAAATAGGGAATATTGCATTTGTTGAGTTTTTTAGAGCTAGTTATTCTACTAATGCAGTTACCTCAACACTTTTCCTTTGCAGCCATCCCTGAATGTGCAGCCTTGCTCTGCCCAGAAAATTCCAGATGCTCACCTTCCAACGAAGATGGAACAAAACTGGAATGCAAATGCCTTCCCAATTACAAAGGCGATGGCAAATACTGCGAGCGTGAGTAGAATTTAGATCCTGCTAGTTTATTAATTGAGATCTTTAGGTCACTCAACAAAAAAATAAAAAAACACAACCTCTCTAATATTAACACAATGACCACTTCTATTTCTCTCTATGCAGTTGAATAGAATATATAAGAAGTGCTAAGTAAAATGCTCATCATGTGGTAGCTCTTCAATAAATGGTGATTTCTCCTATTATCAAAGCACATATATAGATTTCTACACGTTTTTATTTTATATAACCTGAATCAATATTATGATAAAATGTAGTGCTTCTCTCTTCCTTCCTTCCTCCCTTCCTCCCTTCCTCCTTCCCTCCCTCCCTCCCTCTCTCCCTAACTTCCTTCCTTCCTTCCTTCCTTCCTTCCTTCCTTCCTTCCTTCCTTCTCATTTCATGCTCATTTGCTTTGTGAGAGGTTGTATTTGTATGTTAGTAATGAACATGGAACTGGAGCCAGACCGCCTGGGTTCAGATCCCAGATCTGCCTATTACTAACTACAGGACCTTGGACAAATTCTTTAACCTGCCTCTGCCTCCATTTTCCTATCTATCAAATGGGGATAATAATGGTACCCACCTTGGAGGGTTGTAAGGATTAACTGAGTTAATGTATGGCAAATGCTTAGAACAGGGCCCAATACATACTATAAATTCTATAAGCATTAGTGTTTTCTTTCATGCTATTTTATATTTAATTCCTTACATAACATGGCATAATAATATATCAACACACTATTTGTAGTTATAATCTCTCATGGCCACATATAAATGTGTTTGGTAGGTGGGGGGTGATCAGGTAGGGTAAGATGAAATGTTTCTTACTCTCTCCCTTAAAACTATTGAAGTGCCTTGGTGGCTTTGATGAGCTGTGATTTGCAATCCCTTCGCAGTTAGTTTTCCTTCTCCATCCCTGAGTGTGGTAACTGCCTCTTATTTTGTCATTGCCTCTCAAGCCATCAATCCATGTTTACAAGATATCTGCCACCTTCACGCTCGTTGCACATACCTGGGACCAAATCAGCACAGCTGTACATGCAAAGAAGGCTACCGTGGGGATGGCCAAGTGTGCTTACCAGTGGACCCTTGCCAAACTAACTTTGGAAACTGCCCTACAAAGTCTACGGTGTGCAAATATGATGGACCCGGACAGGTGAGCTAATGATGCAGGGAACTGGTGCAAATAGAAGTAGGACCACCCCCCAAAGTTAGAACTGTGCCATTGGTATAATTTGTCTTCTGTGCCCTCCCAGTTGTCCCTTTCAGTGCTCAATTTGGGCTTCCTCTCCATAGAGAGCTCCCTGTGCTCAGGGCTGACCTCAGTGTGCTCCCTCCCCAGTCCATCCTCTGAACTCACACTTTCCCAGCTCCCCAAACTTAACTGTCTCTTCCATCACAGTCCTATTTGGTGATTGACAAAATATACACACAACTCAAATTAGATTAACAAATTAACTGTTAACCAAGTCTTGAGTAAATATGTAATTGACTTTCACCCACAATCTTCCATTCTCTCTAATATCTTTTCAAAGTAAGAGAGGACTCAGATCCAAAAATACTCTGTGTCAAAGGGATGAAGGCTGATAAGACGTCAGGCAGCACTGAGAGATCGTAGAGAGCAGTGAGGATATTCTAGGGTGAGACGCTGCCCCTCTAAATCACATCATGACCTTGACTGCTAAAATTCAGCTTGGTCAGGAGACCTTTGCTGAGGAGTCCAGTTGAAAGAGCCCTTTCCCTAGTAGCTCATTCATCCATCAAATGTTCAGTGCGTGCCTACTACACCCATAACTGCACGTCAAGTGTGCAGTGGAGGAAATCCATCATACAGAAGGCTATTGCTGCCTGGATAAGAGGAAAGGCTTCAGTGCCTGCCCCAAACAGAGTCATGGGTCCCCAGCAGCCTAATCAGCACCCCCTGGAATGCTCCTGGAGTTCCTTCAGAGAATCCACCCAACATCATCTCAGAGGAAAAAGAATATATCACACGACATTTCTGCTATCAATTTCCAAGGCAGGTTTGCAAGACATGCCAAGGGCTGAACTCCCTCCGTCTAAATGAGGTCCCTTATAGGAAAAGTCTGTTACAGCCTGAATCAAGGTCTTAGGACCCTGGGAATGAGATTAAAAATATACTTTGTCTCTTAAAAAATGGGTCCCAAGGCAGATTGTCAAGTCTTAGAAACCATCCATTGTTCACACAGAAGCAGTGCTTTCATTATTCCATTATTCCAGAGCAGGGTCCCTCAACCTCAGCATTATTAACATTTTGGACCAGATAATTCTTTGTTGTGTGGGGCTGTCCTGTGCGTTGTAGGGTGTTTAGCAGCATCCCTGGCCTCAAGTGGTACTGTCCCCCTCTCCTATTCTGAAAATCAAAAATGTCTCCAGACATTCCCCATTGTCTGGAGAATATTGCTTATTCTAGAGCAATAATACCTCCCATCTGAACCTCAATCTCTATTCACTTGTAGACAATCTAAAACCAGGAATTATGGTGCCAGGGTGGTCCAGGGTTAGCAAACAACAAAACTGAAAAGGTAAATGACAAAGAAGAGGTATGAGTTTCCAAACTTATGAGATATATAGATATGATTTCCAGTTCTAGCTACTTTGACAAATTTCTAGTTTAAGCCCACACTTTGGACCTACCCCAAGTTAATTTTTATGACAGAATAAAGATATGAACTTAAGAAGAATGTTCGCTTAAGTGACTAACTAGAACCCCATTTGTCTTTCTCTCCCTGTCTACTGAAGTCTCACTGTGAGTGTAAGGAACATTACCGCAACTTTGTACCTGGAGTGGGGTGCAGTGTGACCGATATCTGTGAATCTAATAACCCCTGTCACAGGAATGCAAACTGCACCACCATCGCACCAGGCCAAACCAAGTAAGTCTTTTCAGTTCCACCACCATCTTTCCAAGTGATGAAAGTGGTGGCTGGTCAATGATGACAGTTCCTTGAAGGGCAAGGACTGTGTCTTATTCAGCCTTGTATCCACCCCCACCCCCACATAACACAATGCAAGGAGCATAGTAGGTACTCAAAAAATCTTTGTTTAATCAATGAATCATTCCAAAATTTTTTCCTTTATAATGACCATTAAAACACTCTGAAATATCGACCTGGCCTGATAGCATGGTATTAAGTGGTCAGAGCATGGGAGACGGAAGCCACTGTCACTGGGAAAACACATGTCTGTTGCGATTACAGGGGTTTGACCTCTAATGTATATGCCTGTTTCCTTGTCCATGAAATATTGCTTGTTAGTGGTGCAAAACAAGACTGGAGAAAGTGAAAAAACACTACAGTGTTTCCTGGACTCCAGGTTTCAAAAGAAGGGGATTATCATGAGTAAAAATACTTGTGTGAAAATTCCTGAGGCAGAGGCGGCTCATGTGGAAGGAAGGGGATGGTATTTGGAGTTTTAAGACCTGGGTTTGAGTCTCTCGACTGGTGTCTACCAGAGGTATGACCTTGGGAAAGTGACACCATCTCTCTGGCCTCGGTTTCTCTATATAAAAAACGAGCACAGTGATGTCTACTTCATAACATTGTTGTGAAGAATACGTGAGAGAACCTTCTGGAAACTGCTGTACAGATGTATTATGTTGTAATTAGTGGGTGAAACTGAGGTTAGAACCCCAGTCTTTTGACTCCCAAAGCAAGGCTTCTATCTCAGTGCCACTTTCAGTTCTCATTGTCATCAGCATCTGTGACGCACTCATTCTGCCACTGTGAGCTTAAAACCATAACAGACATTGAACCATGTAATCACTAAACAGTTTCTGTGCTTCCGGAGCCCCTTTCTACCCTCTTTGAAGTTCATTCCTTTTATTTCCCATGCCTTTGGGTCTTGGATGTGTGGATTTGCCCAGATAAGTTTTATGATAATCATGTTCTATCAAATAAGTCGATCCATACTCAATGTGGGTGGAGTGGAAAGACCTTGGGTGTCAGAACACCTGGGTTCAAATCCCGTCTACCACTTACCTTAACCTCTATGAACTGAGGCTTCCTTTGTTATAAAATGGGGAGAACCAGGGCTGTGATGAGGATTAAATTCATCAATCTCTGAGCAGAACCTGGTGCATAGAAATCACCCCGTACACGTGAACACACTCACAATCACACCGCAGCCATGCGGATAGGCACATATGCACCCGACAACATGTATACAGGCACGTCCTCTCCTCAAACACAGATTCCGGTACTACTGACAACCAAACAAGCCAGCTTACACACTTTTTACCACCCTCTGAGAAAATTTCAGTAGAATACTTTAAACACTTTCTTTCCTTTGTATTTGAAAAGATAAAATCAAAAAATGAAACTAGAACATTAGAACAATGTCAGCTGCCTTAAAACATGTGTTTAGAACATCAGTGGAATTAACAATGGATTTTAGGGCTGTGTGTGTCACTCACAAACCTCCCCAATCCTTCCCCTCCCCCCAAATTGACTGTCATCAGCTGGAAAGAGGCCCAGGCTAGCTAAGTTACATTGATAAAATATGGGGCCATCAATAATTTTGTTCAGGTCATTTAGTTCACCTAGGATAAAAAATATTTCGTTTATGCCTCCTCAATATGGCAGTCAGTTTATGCAGAATATTCAAAATCATACTGCATTAGTCATGCAAGACCACCCAATAAGGAAGAACGGGTTCAAATGTGGGCTCCATCACTCACTACCGGGGTTACCTTAGACAAGTCATGTAACTTTTCTGAACCACAATTCTCTCACCTGACAAGTGGGCTAGAGACCAAGAATATCTCCCTGGGAAGAGCTAACAAGTTAATGTATGTGGGCAGGCTTTTAAACTCTAAGCTCCATTTGAATTATTAGGAAGAAGAACAAAGAGCTCCATGTCTGTTAAAATTCTCTGTTATTTGGTTCAATTCAGCTGAAAAGACTGGACATGACTGAGCAGACATATTGAAAAACATGTGATTTATATTCCAACTGTACAGATGTACAATAAACAACACTGAAATCCAGATCCTCTTGGAACATTAGTGACACTGATGTTATTTAATGTTTGTATAAGACTTGTACGGATTAGGATTCCATGACGTGAACAATCTTCCCAAGAACCGTGTCCAAGGCAACATGGTGCAGAGACAAGAGCATGGGCTTTCCCAGACCGACCCGGGTTTAAATACCAGCTCAGCCACTTCCAGATGTGTTTCCAGCAGTATGACCTGTAGACTTGGGTGGCACGGGCCTCCTCCCTGACACTGCACTTTAGAGGGCCCCATTCTGGCCTTCCACTGGCTACATCAGGACAAGGAGTCTGGAGGACCAAGAGGGCATGCTCCCCCAGAGCCTGAGCCCCCTTCACAGACCACACTCAGGTACCCAGAACCCCATAATTCTCTGCCCAAAGGGCTCCAAACCAGCTCCCAGGACCTGCACAGGCTCTTCCTGGGACCATCCCCACCAGGGTATGGCCAGGGGGTGGTTGCTTGCAGTAGGTGTGGATGAGCCAACACTATCTCCACACTCTCGTGAACACACCCTTGGCGCTAGTTCTACCGAACTACTTGTTGCTTTTCAAACATGCCCTGCTATTCCCCACTGCATACCCTTGCGCTTGCTGTTCCCCCGGCTTACAACATTCTTCCCTCCCCACCTCCTCTGAATCAGGCTAACGCATTGATTCTTCATTGTTCAGTTCAAGCATCTCCACCTCTAGGATGTCTCCTCTGTCCTCCCAGTCCACTCAGATGCTCCTCCCTCAATGCTTCTATTCCAACCTTTGTCACTCGGAACTATGATGAGTACACAGCACAGTGTTGATGAGCACAGACATTGCCACTTACAAGCTGTGTGATCTTGAGTGAGATACTTAACTTCTCTGTCCCTCAGTTTCCTCATCTGAAATGAGGCTAATAACAGAACTCACCTCATAGGAATATTGTATTAAATAAGATACCATAAGAAGACCCCTAGAAGAGTAACTAGGATAGGAGCTAGCAATAGATGTTAGCTATTATTATCATTATTGATCTCAATCCCCAATTAGAATGTAAGGTCTTTGGGGGTCCATGTCTTATTCATCTTATTACAACCTCTGCCACCCATAAAAACAGTGAAATGAGAGTTTGGAGGAACGAATGAAGCAACGAAGGAAGGAAATGAACAAAGAGGAAATGAAGGAAGCAAGCATACTAAGACTTTGGGGAGACCCTATAATTTAACTAAATCTCACCCGGCATTAAATGGAATTAATTCCATCCCATAACTTATAAGATACAAACGGCTTATGGGTGTTTGTAAAGCCTTAAGACAGCAGGAGACCCTTACACCTAATAAAGAACCAATTAACAAAAGAGACAATGCTGTGAACGTTTTACAGCCCAACTGAGAACATTTCAGTCAGAAAAGGGTCTCATGAAGTCTCAGACTCTGGGCAGAGATTTTAAATAAAAATAAAAAATGTTTATGTCTCATACATTCCACTCAGCACTGAGTCCATTAAAATACAATTCCTCTGCCATCCTTAGAAAAGACAAGTCAAGTCACTTGACACAAAATAGATCATTTTCCTCGTCACGACTTAGGGAACGTTAGAGAGAAACGTACTTAGTAGTTTGTAAAAGGTACTTGTCTTGCTATTCAGAGTTGTCGTCAAATGAAACTTAGTAACTTAGAGCTGGATTAATTTTCAACAATGACTGTTGTATCACTTCCAAGAGTTACCAGTCTCCCTCTTTACCTCCTTAAATTCACCTTCTTGTAGCACAATACTTGCAGAGGAAATTGATGCTTACATAAGAAACTGTTACGTGATTGTATTTGTATTAAATAGACTATTGTTTCATGGTTAGGTGTGCCTTAGAGATTCCTTCCAACAAAGTTTCCCAGCCTCAGCACTATTGACATTTGGGGCCAGATAACTAAATCTTTGTTGTGGGCTCTGTCCTCTGCGTTGTAGGATGTTTAGCAGCATCCCTGACCTAAACTTACTAGATACCAGTGGGACCTTCATCCCAACTATGACAATGAAAAACATCTCCAGATGTTGCCAAATGTCTCGGGGGGGGAGGGTGAGCAAAACTGCCCTGGTTGAGAGCAACTGCTCTATAAAAACCCCAAAGGCTCAATCAGTAAATGATCTCCCAATCATTTGTCTGGCTGCGAAACTCATATATATCTTTCTAGAATTAGCTTAAATGTTGCTTTCTCCTAAAACCTGTTCCACGTCTCTCCAGGCAGAATTAGTCACTTCCTCCTCCGTGCCCATAGCATCATATTCAAGCTTCTGTCATGGCACTCACTATGGAACTTGAGTTAGCTGTTTATGAACTTGTCCTATTATATCCCAGCCCCTCCACATTACTGTTGTTGTCATGGCCACCATCTCCATCATCATCACCATTGTTGTCATTGTCATCTGCCAAGTACTGCCCTTTTTCTATGTGTCTGTCACTGCGCCAGCTGTTTGTTAGGCATTATCTCTTCTATCCGCAACCCTGAAAGTGTTAGTAACCCATTTCATAGATGGGGAAACTGGGACTCAAGGAGGTTATGTGGCCTTATCATGTTGCTATAAATTATTTGTTTTCAGGTCTGTTTCCAGCATGTGAGATGTTAAAAGGGCAAGGGATCTGTTATTGTCATCTTTATAGCCCTCTTACCTAGCAAGGTTCCTAGAATTAAGTAGGTACTTAGAAAATAATCAGTTCAACAGTGGGGTGCTGTCCCAGGTGCTGGGATATAACGAGGAATAAGGTGGGACCCAGGTTCTAGGAGAGCTTCCCATCTAGCAAAGAGGACAACACGGCAAGAGGTCATTTTGGTGGAAAGGGTTGTGATGGAGGTATCGCCAGGATGCTGCTGTCAGGGGAGGCTTAGGAGGTCAGATAAGGCTGCCTAGAGCAGGTCACACCTGAGCTGTAAGGTGAGGCTGGGAGAGCATTCCTGGCAAGGCACACAGCCTGAGGAGGGCATCACAGTCTAAAACAGGCAGTTTGGAAGTTGCAGTGGGCAGCAGCAGGAGACATGAGCAGGATCCCCTTTTGACGGCGTTGCGTGCCATGCTAAGCACTTACATCTTATTCTGTAGATGAAAGGAGTTGGTGCGAGTTTTAAGCACCGAGGTGCCAGATTTCCCTTTTGGAGAGACCACTAGGGGGTTGTGTGAAGGACTGATTTGAGAGAAGGAAAACTAAGGGCAGAAAGACCAGTTAGGAAGTCATTGCGGCAATCCAAGCAAGGAGGATAAGACTCCGAAACGTTTGTTTAGCACACGTGTTGAATATATATCTATTCGCCATGGGAACATATTTAAAAACACGACTGGATTAATGAGTGTATAATTGTTCTTTGGAACATTCTCCAAAACACGAGTTATACTTGTGGAGTGGTATGACCACAGCATCCCTGCCTCTCTCTTCTCTGAAATGTTCTTCCCCTACCCTGTTTGGTTCCTCACTTATCTCCAGGATCCTGCTGAATGTTACTTTTCTCAGCATCTTGCCAATTTCAGCCAGCTGTCCACTCATCTTTGCTAGGGAGCAGTGATGTGCTGGGAGCAGGACTCACTACTTCACAAGAGCTGATTGTTACATTTTCAGGAATTTTGCAAGCTGGTGGGCGTGGCGTTGGTAGTTTGAGATTGGCCAAGGTGGAAGTATGAACCATGGAAATTGGCAAATGCTGCAAATCAGGGCGATTTTTTCCCCCGGAGAGCTGGTCGTTCAACATTTACCAGCACACTACTGCTAGTGCATCTTTAACTGCATCTTTAACTCTATTTCTTTCTTATGAAACTAAGCTATTGTATAAAATTTCTGTGACTCACACTGTTTCTATATTTATTTTAATTCAGTGACTATTTATTGTACAACTGTTAGTTAAGTACCTACTATGGACCAAGCCCCGTGCTAGATCCTGTGAGTAAATACACGCACAGTCCTTGCCTTCACCTTTCTCAAAGTAGATGGGGAAGCAGATATTAATAAAATAACCACACAGGTTAGGATAGAATCACAACTGGGTTTGGAGCTACAGAGAAGACCTACGTGGTACCATGAAAGTACACACTAAGGGGGACCTGATCTACATTGGGTTGAGGAGGATGGAAGATCAAAGAAGGTTTCCCTAAGGAAGGCACAGTTGAGCAGAGATCTCAGCCAGGAAGGAAGGAAGGGGGAAGAGGATTCTAAGCAGATCAATAGCTCTGAATCTTTACTTGAGGCTGCCTTCAGTAGTTTAGTCTGATTCCATGGCTCTGCAGTGGGGCCCTAGACTCTACATTTGTGGTTAGCACACCAAGGGATTCTGATGTACACGGTCTCTTGACCGCACTTTGAAGAGTCTGCAAGATATCTAGTGTACATAGATACACATAATTTATTAAATATCCATTTCTTGTGTGCCTACTATGTCAGGCCCTGCACCAGGAATGCTCCCTTGTGTTTGTGTTCCTCTCCTGGCTCTGTCTTTGGCCCACTCTGGCATCATTTTCCCGTCTTTTGCAGAGGAGGACGCAGATGAGGGAGTTGGAATATATGCTCTCACCACTCAGTGGCTCTGAGACCCTGAGAATGTGTTTTCACCCTCTCTCTCTGTAGATGCACTTGCCAGAAAGGTTACGTGGGTGATGGCTCAACATGTTATGGAAACATCATGGAGCGACTCAGAGAATTAAACACTGAACCCAGAGGAAAATGGCAAGGAAGGCTGACCACTTTCATCTCCCTCCTCGGTACGCAGCTATGGGTGCAGATTTCCACATAAAGGACAGCCCTCTTTCAGGCAAGGGCATCTGCAAGACACAATCCTTCAGAAAAGGGTGGGCAGGCGAGGCAAGACTTGTCTACTGGGATCAGTCCTTCTAGGGAGAGGCCACGCAGGTGGGAGGGAAAGGACAGAGAGCTATTTCCATGAGACAGGCAGGAGTTAGGGCCAAGAGATCCAGCAATGCAATGGTTAGTAGGCAGAGAGCTGAGGACAGGATTCTGGGGCCCCCATAGATTAACAGTTCTGCAACAACAGTGACATAGGGCAGCTATTGATGTGAAGATGGAGACCATCCCCTTTCCCTTGACCGGTCCTCCAAGTGTGAAACGAGATTGGCAGGTCATACTGGGAATAGAGAGCGACTGAGACCCTGAGGTAGTATCCACGTTCCTCAGTAGAGGTGCTGTTTGAATTTTGGGAATAGTCTTGATTGCGTGTGACCATCTCACACTTTACTGGATGTTCACCATCATCAACTCCCCAACCACTATCGTTTGTAGTGACACATTCTCCCCAAGCCTCCAGGCAGGGTGACAGCCTAAAACACCCCCCTCCATGTCCAAATGCCCCCTGGAGGTCATTACCCCACACTCCCTTAAGAATGAAGTATTATAACTGATCGCAGCATTAGACAAGATTTTCAATAAAACACAAATTTGGCAAGTTGACAGAAAATAAAACACAGACTTGACCAATCAACAGAAGCCTTAAAATATCAATATCCAGAATTTACCAGTGATCAAAAATGATTTCCTAGAAAGAGCATAGATAGAGAAGTGAGTGTCTGCCATGGGTCAATGCTGTGTTCTCAGCATAAATCTTAACGTACATCCTGCGTAAATGTCCTGCTCTTTCCAAGACATCCCGCAGGCAGTCAAGCATTACTGGCATGGCTCAGGGCTCGGGGCAATCTGCCAGGCTCCTCATAGCCTTCTTCTAAGAAGTCTTAGAATACCAAATGAGGAGTGAGAGAGTGTCCTTTGAAGACTGAACCCTGGCTTGTTTCCCTGGACAAAGTCTGGTCGACCATTCACCTGCCCCGTTCATGAAGGGCTGTATGAGAAGTGAGTGTGAGTAGGCTTACACATTGCCTACTCTGTGAGAGCACAGAACAGAACCCATCCTGCTGTCACAGCTTCTCCAGGGGCATGGAAACAGGACCAGCTACATAACTTGCAGGGCCTAGTGCAAAATGGAAAGGCAGGGGTCCTTTGTTCAAAAATTATTAAGCATTTTAAGATGGCAACAGCAGAGCATTAAATGAAGCATGAGGCTCTTCTGAGTTGGCCCTGGATGGGACAAGGGCTGCATCTTTGCTGACAGAGATGGCAACAGCTCAGAAAATGGGGAACAGGGTCAGGGACCTGCTGAGGTTGTCTGAGGATTTTGTCACATGACCCTCACAGAACATCTCATTCCAGGGTATCCTTGAAACCAAGACTGTGGCTGCAAGGAAAGTCACACAGTTATGAGGGACCTTTGGGGGCCATGGCATCATGGTGCCTCACATTCTTAGAGAGTTTCCCAGTTTACCAAGGGCCTGCACATACCAATTAGAACAGAGAAGCTCAGAGAAGCTCTTGAGTCAGAGAGCCTAAGTGGACCACAAAGGCCATTGCCTAATTTTACTCCTCATGTGCCACTGACCCATTTGATGTCTTCTCTCTTTGTGTATTTTGACTCCTAAGACAAAGCCTATGCCTGGCCACTAAGTAACCTGGGACCGTTCACTGTGCTGTTGCCAACAGACAAGGGATTGAAAGGATTCAATGTAAGTATCTAAAATAACCCTACACAGAGGGGCTAATGCAAACAAACCTTAGTAGGCAGTACCTTCTTTTATTTAAAGTGGAAAACCTCCATTAAAATTAAATCTACTGATGATAATAATGGTGATTTTTTTGGTAAACTTCTTTTTTCTTTTTCTTTTTTTTTTAATTTTTTGTTTATTGCAGTAACATTGGTTTATAACATTGTATAAATTTCAGGTGTACAACATTATACTTCTATTTCTGCATAGATTACATCATGTTCACCACCCAAATACTAATTACAACCCATCACCACACACCTGTGCCAAATTATCCCTTTCGCCGTCCTCCCTCCCCTCTTCCCCTCTGGTAACCACCAATCCAATCTCTGTCTCTATGTGTTTGTTTATTGTTGTTGTTATCTACTACTTAATGAAGGAAATCATACGGTATTTGACCTTCTCCCTCTGACTTATTTCACTTTGCATAATACCCTCAATGTCCATCCATGTTGTCACAAATAGTCAAATATAACATCCTTACAGAAAGTATACAAATTGTTAAGTGCACAACACGAGTTGTCACAACATGAATGTATTTGTGTATCCAGCAAGACCATTACCAGCTCCTTACAAGACCCTCTGATGCCCCCTTCCAATCATTACCCCTTCAAGGGTCATCTCTCAGGGTTCTTAAATGTAGTCATGTGATAAATAAGATTTGCATAATGCAAAACCTATCACTTCCTGCAGGAAGAATTAAACTAAGGTATTGACTAGATATTTGTTTCTTTAAAATCATCATAAATGGTAACAGTGATAGGGAAAAACAGAAGAAAATTGTTGTCTTCAGTGTGAGCAGCTGTTGTCTGAGATACTGTCATCTAGTGGAAATGAAACTCATAGTGCCCGGTGGAGGCGTCCTATCGCAATCGCATCAATGAGACAGTTATATTTGGTTTAATGTAGCTAACGGACATATTGATTTGTATAAAATTAGTTTATGTTAATCCAAGGGATTTTGTGATAATGATTTTTGCTGCATTAAATTAAAACCCAGTAAGTTCCAGACTCTCTCACCCTAATATGCCACCACCATTCATGTGTCCAAGATGAATCTATCATTAATCTTCAGAGATGCACTCACATGTCCTGTTGAGAAGGAGAACTAGTAAATACTGAATACCTCTGGGCTGGGCACTTTGCCTGTGGTATCTTGTTTAATATGTGGGTTAAGTTTACACAGAGTCAGTAACAAGTCTCTATTGATTGATTGTTGGCAATATAATACTGACAAAATGTAGATTTGGTCCAATGGACTTCAAAAATCTTAATTTTACTATTCAAAAGCTCCATCAGTCCACTCTACCCTCTCTTTTCACATAACTTCACATTTCCTTCCCATCTACTTCCTGGGCTCAAGATGATTCCTCAGCAACCAGCCTTTGGGTGGTGAACGCAATATGGTCTATACAGAAGTCAAAATATAATGATATACACCTGAAATTCATATACTGTTATAAACTAATGTGACCTCAATAAAAAATATGATTAAAATTTTAAAAAAAGATGATTCCTGGGTGCCTGCCACCCTCCTTGCTCCTTCTGGGCCCAGCCCTGTGCTCTCCCCACTATGTCTGTTCCTGAGCTAGACTACCTCCTGTGGTCTGAGGATATCCCCTCTCCAGATTTCTGCTCCCTTTAAGACCTAGGCGAGAGCAGCTGTGCTCCAGGAAAGTCATCTGTATCTGAAAGAGCCCAGACCAGAGTTAGGATGCACTGGCTTTGATGGCTTTGACACTCAACGAGTCATAGCGTGAACCACACACCTCGTGTTCTCCTTCAAACAACAGTGGAGACTGAAGGAACCAGCTCTCTTTTCTCAGGTGAAGGAGCTTTTGATGGATAACGAGGCTGCTCAGTACTTTGTGAAACTCCACATAATTGCCGGGCAGATGAACACCGAGTGCATGAGTAACATAGACACATTCTATACCTTGACTGGGAAGTCCGGGGAAATCTTCAATGGTGATAAGGTAAGGGTTTCTCCCATTGTCACTCCCAGAATGAAACTGTCCTCTGAGTCAACGCCCACAGCCGTGTCTCTCCTTGTGTTTGGGGGTCGTGAAAGGTTACAGAGAACTTCTTTCCTTATTCCTTGTTTGTCAAAGCACTTTGCTACGTAGGAAGGAACAGAGAGCAACACCAGAAAGGGTTTAGTAGGAGGGGGGTGGACTGTTACGGAAAGGAGGTTATGAAGTGTTGGATTTTGCTCTGGTCTGAATTAGTTTTCAAGGCAAGCGTCATTCAACTGCCAGCAGGAAGGAGCAACTTTGCAGTAAACCTGTTTCCTGGAAGCATCAGCACAAAGCCACATCAGCATTCCTCTTACAAAAGGAAATGGATTGTGTTTATTTTAGATTGCTGGTGTTTATCCATCCTCTCCTACTTAACATTCCATCTCTCTGAATGCCATTAGTTCTGTTTTGTTTTTTAAATAAAACTACCCTCTTCCCCTTTCACTAACTCTTTTTGTGACTTTACTGAGCTGGAGCGCAAGTGATTAATCGACAGAAAAATATTGCCTATACTGTTGCATTTCACAAATATCAGTAAATAGATTATTGAGCACTTACTCCACGCAAGGTACTGGGGTAAATCTTTATTTACGTTCTGTAAGACTCACAACAACCATGTGAAATAAGTTTTTCTGATGGGAAAACTGAGAGGTCATACAGTAAGTACCAGAGCCAGGATTCAAAGGTCTGCCTGAATCCTTAACCATTGTTTTGTACTGTGTATGTGAGGATGGATGGATGGATGGATGGATAGATAGATAAATAGACAGAAGATAGATAGATAGATAGATAGATAGATAGATAGATAGATAGATAGAGGAAGATGTGGCTTCCCTTCTCGCAAAGACATTCATTCATTCATTCAACAATATTTACTAAGTCTGTAGCTTGTTGGAGCCACATGAGAGGAAGAAGGAATTAGCTTCAATTATTCATTCAATAAATATTTTTTATTATGTGCCTTCTCTGTGTAAAACACTAAAGTAAGTAATAAATTTGCCTTAAATTGAATAGTTTTGCTCTTTTAGAGCTTGTACTCTACGGGAGAAGAGCTTTATAATGCCTTATTCACATTCAGCATGTGATAGTCATCAGCAGTTTCACATGTTATCTCATTTGGTCTTAATGAAAACCCTATGAAGTCAACCATGCAGATATCATCATCCCCATTTTAGGTTAAGTGACTTATCCAAGATCACACAGCCAATAAATGGCAGAACCCAAGAACTCAGGACTCCTGACCTCCAGTCCACGGTGCTCACTCCTTCAAGGACACCACATTAATTTTATTTTATTTTTCCTTGGTATTTTAGGACAATCAACTAAAGCTTAAACTCTATGGAGGCAAAAAGAAGGTAAAAATTATAGAAGGGAACATAATTGCTTCCAATGGCCTCTTGCACATCCTCGACAGAGCCATGGACAAGATGGTGCCTACATTTAAGAGCAACACTGAGGTGAGATATTTCAGGTAATAGTGATGTCAACCCAAATCCATCTTCCTTTGTTCCCTGGAGGGTCACATCCAAGAAGAAAATGCATGCCAGCCCTATGTGTTTGTCCTTTATTTATATTGGGACCCCAACCAAGAGGAAGATGGGATAATTTGTCTGTTTTCAACAGAATTCTGGGTACCTCTGCAGAGAGAAAGGCATGCAGCAGGTGTAGGAAAGATTTTGATGTTGCGACCTTTGCTATGACCACATTTGACAATTCAGTCCAGTGACCAGTGAAAATTTATTCTTCATGCTTTATGGAGGAGGGCGGTCCTCACTTGCATAAAACATATTCCCTCTGACCTATTTGATGATGGCCAAAGTCTACTTCAGGACATGCAAGGCTGAACTACTATTTCAATAACGACAGGAAACATTTGTATAATGTTAACCAGGTCCTTTTATGTCTATCCACACTTACACATAAACTCTGTCATCAGTCTTTTAATGTTAGGGTGTCTAATTCCTAAATTACCTTATTTTTATTTATTTTTTTATTTTTTTACTGATTTTTAAGCAAAATGTCTCTTTTTAGCAAACCATAATGACAATGCTTCAACCAAGATACAGCACATTCAGATCTCTATTAGAGGTATGTACTTTTCATGAATTTCTGGAAAATGTTTTATGCCCAGTCCTTTGTAAAATTAGCAGGGTGTCAATTATAAACACTTGCTGAGGGTTATTTCAAATATTTGTCTGAGATAGGTTGCAGATATAAAATTTCATTTCTTAAATGCAGGAAACCAATGTGGGACATGCCTTAGATGAAGATGGGGTTGGTGGACCATACACCATTTTTGTTCCAAGTAATGAAGCATTGAATAACATGAAGGATGGCACTCTTGACTACCTTCTTTCTCCAGAGGTATTGTATCCTAATCACTCTGATGGCATCATGTCAGCATCACCGCCTCAGTCTGTGTTCATACAGGCTTTTTCTAAACTAGGGATGGCAAATAAGTAACACACGTATCACCAACTACTCTCCCACAACCAAGGCAGACATCATTAATCAATCACAGTTCTCTGGAATAAGCCTGGAGGTGGCTTCAATCTCCTCAATAGAGTTCCAAGTAGCTATGACTAGTCAATCAGATTGGGCACAGGAAATAAAATTTATTTGCAACTCCAGGTCTAAATGGTTGGTTTGATTTTTCCTGGCTTTTCTAATATTTCTCAGTAGCAAAATTAATATTTTAAGTTCCCTGCAACTCTAAAACCACTTAGAAAATGAAGTCTAAACTAGATGATTCTGGGCCAGGTCTAGGTTTAAATTGAAAATGAATTAATGTCATTTTTAGATGCTCCAGCCTTTCCTTTCTGTTGCTTTCATCTCTCTCCATAATAACCCTCTTCTTATATATTATAAGCCTTCAATTCTCTCTCATTCTCCTCTAGAAAGGAGATTTTTTACTCCTTCACACTAGGGTGTAAGTGACTAAAACCATTTAAAGTGTTTCCTCTCCCAGAAATAACAGCCTTAAACTGAAGAGTAGGATAGCTGATTACGGAATTTTGTTCATTAGAATGTCAAATGGTGGAATTATATGAAGGGCCACAAGTTTTCTTCCAAAGCCCTGAAATCATGCTGCCATCTTGGCAATGGGGCAAAACTACCTGTGACCTCATATAGATCAGTGTGGATTATACCAAATGGGGGGATCCAGATCTTTTAGGGTGGTGATTCCCAAATTTTAGTATGCTTAGAAATCACCTATAGAGCTTATTAAGTAGGCAGATTCCGGAACCTTACCCCAAGCATTCTGATGTAATGGCACTAGAATGAGGCCCAGGAATAGACATTTTGGTAAGCACCAACTTTCCAACTCCAGTAGCCCAGGCCATACTGTTTTTGGAACCCTGAAACTCGTTGCCTGTATGGTTTAGAGGTTCACATGGATAGATCCCTTTCTAGAATACTTTCAGATATCTACAAGGATATCTTGCTTTCAGAGAACTTTGGATGAAAAAAATATGTATCGAGGAGATAAATCAGAAGGTAATCTCTTACATTACAAAGATGTTCAACATATTAAAGGATTTTCCACAGGTTTCTATTTAAAATGCTAGATTTCCCAGCGTCTTCAACATAGGATGTTACTTTAAAAATATGATTCACGCTCAAGTTTTCTGAAACCTAGCTATTGCAGAAAAACTGTTCTACCTCTCTTTAGAACTCACACTCATACTTAATTTTAAAGCTAAAAAAGTGATGTTGCTCCCCTGGGAAATTATTAAAATCCTGAGATTATACGGCCTCTGTGAGTGCATAGCTTCTAATTTGATTCAGATTTTTAAGAAAATAATAATAAAGGAGTTCTCGGACACCTAATCAGGTACACTTAAAATTAAAACAAAACCTTTCAACTAGAATAGAAAAAAATTAACTTCCCTGCTTTTCTGCCAATCATCTTTGCTCAGAAAGCTCTTCTTTGTCTCCTCCCTTCTAATTCCTTCCAGTGATGGCTGGAGCTGGCTCACTCAGGCTCTGGAAAGAAGATTGTGTGTCTCTCTTCCCAGCTCTGTTAATGAGATCACATTGGTAGCTTGAAATCAGCCTATGGTGATTTACACCGTAGAAATTGACCAACACTATAAATCAGGGCTTATTTTTCCCCCCATAGAATTGATTTATCAGCACACCACTGCTCCTGGATCTCAATCTCCTTTCTCTCAAAGGTAGTATCCTTCCGCCCACAACGAATATACAACTTCAAGTCTCTTTGTTCTGAGTCAAAAACTGTTTTTCCACTTCAATTTCTAGGTGAGGAGTGGAACGATCATTTCTGCCTTTTTCTGAGATCCAGAGCCTGTGTGGGTTAAAATTTCTCGACTTATGGGAAGCTCCTTGTCTCTCCACCCATCTTAATAGCATCCTTTAGCTTTATTTTTAGGGAAGAACCTCAGCTGGAGACAGTCAAGTCCCTATCGACTATGCCAATGAAATGGAAAATAAACTGGTTTAATTAGAAGAATGGTTTTGAATTCTGACTTGGGAATGCCATGTGTCTTTTCCAGTGTAGCTTTGTTTCTCCCTGAAGCAAAATTTCAGTCCCCAAGCCATCCCATCCCCGCAGAGACCACAGCTACTGATTACAAGCCCCAGTTTATAACTCCATCACTGAACTAGACAGAAATAAAGGCAAATCCAGCAAGAGACTGGCCCTTGCCAATTCACAAGTACCTTGCAAGTAAAATGGGACAAAGGGAGGTGAATTTACAGAGTTCAAGGTCATATTCACCATTTGGTAGAAAAACTCTCTCTTTCTGTCTCTCGCACCGAAAGTCTTGTTTGTTGTTGTTGTTGTTGTTTTTACCTAAAACAGCATGCAGGAAGTGAATGTCCTCGTAATGTAAAGGGTGCACCACACCACAAGGCTCTTCAACAACAGCACTGGAAGCACATCTGTTGCCTTGAGCCGTCCTGGGCTGAATTCTCACCCAGGGACAGCCACTAGGCAGATAGGGCGGCAGGCACACTCAGTGGTGGGAGTGAGGCTCATCAATTCCTTTGTCCCTTTCATTCTCCTGTTTCTTGTAAAAAGGATCCAACACCAATTAATTCTTGAGGCTTTTGGAGTAGACTATTCAGTTGGTAAAGTCTTTCCTACAGAATCAGAGGGTGGAAGGGGTCCATACCAATCCCCTTATTTTGCAGTGAAACTGAGACTAGAGGAGTTAAGTGCCTTGCTCAAGGTCACACAGAAGCAGAACCAGGATGAGAACTCAGGTTCCTGAGGTCCAGCTCAGTGGACCAGGACCTCTTTTTAATTTATTGGCACAAATGTTTATGCAGGGCCTGCCGTATGCCCCATACTGTGCTGGCTGGGGACACAGTGATTAATAAGCTGGACAGACCCACTCCCTGCCTTCCGGGAGTTTGCAGTCCAGTTTGGTCTGACATTTACCAGCGGTCCCCACTTTTTCACACCGCTTCTGCCACTGAGCATCCAAGCTTGTAATAGCATTGCTTCTGCCTGCAAGTCCTCACTTCTGGGTGTCATAAAGTAGCTGTGAGGGGAAGTTAACACCCAGAGGTTAAGTGGCTTGCTCACGGTCACATAGTAACAGAACCAGGGCTGCAGAAAGCATCGCTTCCAGGACTGGCTAACGGGTGGTCAACTTCAACTTTCTTATTGGTAACCCTGCCCTGCACATAGTGCTACTGGCTTATAGATATGGTGGCCATACCGTTTATCATCTACTCCAAGACGCTTCTGAAAGTGAATGGCACTACCAGGATGATAGGTGTAAATGAGGGTTGTTCCAGACAAACCAGGATATGCGGTTACTCTACTTATAGGCAACTCCCCTAGCATAGAGACCAAGGGCACAGGCAGAGAGGAGTCTGGGAGAATAGAACTCAGGTTCAGCAAGGCTTTCTTCCCACCTGGACTTCATGCTGTTGGAGTATGTCTCTAGAATGGTCAACCTCTTGGCGGTTATTGTGATCTTGATTTGTGATCCTTCACTTTTCTGAGCCAGAGTGACTGTGGCTGTGCCACTTAAGTAGAAGAATTCAAGGGCTATGAAGCTTGTAACTCCCAGCTCTGACTCAGCTGGGAGATTGCAGACACCTGCAGCAGACCGCCACCACTTCCTTCTTCCCCCAGAGAGAGTGGTCCTCGGACTCCTCGACTCTGTGCACTCGCTCCACGGCACCCCCATGGACACTGCTCATTCTGTTTATAGTCCCCAGACCCTCTTATTTCTTCACTGCTGCTTCAGTTTTCTGAAGCATAAGAAATCTCAGAAGGACTTTGAAGGGGAGACCATGTATCATGGGAGCGAAGAAGGAGAAAGTGTCCTGACCAGAGATTACTAACAAGGACTGTATGTTCCTAAATAACCAGTATGTGGTCTGACAAGCAGACATTTATTTATGGAGAGAATGAATCATAAACTGAGGCTGCCATAGGAAATCCAGAATGTAGCCTTAGACATTCAGAGAGGTGATGGAACAGAGTGACTGAGAGCTTGAGCTAATTCTTAGGCTTATATCCCAACTTAGATTTGTGACCTTGGACATGTCTTTGAAACTCAGTGTTATCACACAGAAAATGAGTCAATAGTCGTCCCTACCTCACAGGGCTGTTGGGAGGATTAAATGAGATGTACATATGTTTTCAGAACAGCCCTTGCCACAGAGTAGGAATTGGGTGAATGCTAGCTATTTGGGTGATGGGATTTTTCTCACCCTGGGCTTCCCAATAAAAAGATTATGGGTGATTTATTTTTCTTGACTAAGCATCCGAAGTCATTTGAGGAGATTCCCACAAGAGGGAGAGAGTTGTACTTTCTTCATTAACTAAAGAAGTATTTTGATTCCTTTGCAGGGATCTCGGAAGCTTCTGGAACTCATCAGATACCACATTGTCCCATTTACCCAGGTTAGCCCCACGTTTCCTGGCCTATTTTTTCTCTGCTTTCAAGATATCTGACTTAGTCTTATATTGCAATATTTTGGTGCTAGAAAATATGTGACAATTGTCCTTTATCTGTACCCTCAAGCGTATTCTCAGCCATGAATAATGAGCCCGTTATCAAAGAAATCTTCCAAGCCACAAACACTCATGACATCAAAGCTCCCATTATTTATTTCATAACATTTCAGGCTATTTTTTCCAGTGGGGACTTTATGAAAGCAGGGCTCTGTGTGTGCTCTAAATGTCTCCGTCTATTGTTCTCTTCTCATTGCAGCTTGAAGTGGCCACTCTCGTTTCAACCCCTCACATTAGGAGCATGGCCAACCAGATCATACAGTTTAACACCACCAACAATGTAGGTGAAAATTCTCCTACTGTTATCATTACTCACATGCATTTTTGCTCTGCTTATGATTATTCATCAGGTTATCCTACCTCTCTGCTAACTCACCAGCTTAAAATCTTTACAATTATTTCATTTATTTGTTGTTTCTTTCAGCAAATATCCGCTGATCAACTACATGTGTGAGTCTGAACTAGATGCCAAGGATAAGGCAGTGAAAAAGACAGGCTTACATCCCAGCAAGGAAAACAGACTTTAAACAACTAATTAGATGACCAGTTAATTATTTAATTACAATTGTAGTAAGCGCCACAAAGAGGAAGTTAAGAGGGCTGTGAGAGCAGACAACAGGAGGAGACTGAGAAAATCTGGGGGTCTAGAGGTCCTCAGGGAGGAGGTGATGCTTTGGCCAAGCTTCAAAGGATGACTATGGTGAACTTGGGCAGACATGAATAGAAGAGAGTTCCATGTAGAAGGGAGAGCATGTGCAAAAGCCCTGAGGTGGGAGGGAACAAGACTTATTTAAGAAACTCAAAGAAGGCAGCATTATTCAGCTAACTCCTGGGGTTGTAATATCAGCAAAAGTCAGGCAGCATTGAGATTATGTCTCCTGTTGGTTCACTGTTGATGGTGATGATGATGACCACTCATCCTTTCAACAAATATCTATGGAGTGCCTACTCTATGCCAGACACCATTCCAGTTCCTAAACATAGACTGACGAGCAAACAGACAAAAGTCCCTGGTTGCATGGAACTTTCATTCTAGTAAATAGGAGGCTAGACAATAAAGAAATTAAATAAATAAAATATATCATATCTTAAAGAGTAGTAAGTGCTAAGGTGAAAAACAGCAAAGCGAGAAAGGGGAATAGACATTGGGGATGGGGCTGACATTTTAGATAAAGTGCCCAAGAAACCTTCATGCAGAAGAAAACATGTGAGCAAAGACCTGAAAGAGATGAGGGAAGGAGTAGTGTAAATATCTGGGGAAAAAGCGTTCCAGAGAGAGGGCACGGCAAGCGCAAAGGCACAGAGCGAGGAGCACGCTTGACCTGTTTGAGGAACAGCAAAGTCACTGTGGCTACAACAGAGGGAGTAAAGGGAGAGAGGCAGGAGAGGAGGTCGAGGCAGTGAGAGAGAGTAGGAGAGGTGGGATCAGGTCATGCATGGCCTAAGAACTCAGGCTAAGGACAGAGGCTCTTACTTTGAATGAGATGAGGAGCCATTGGAGGATTTTGAGCAGTGGAGTGATGTGGTCAGACCTACATTTTGGGAGACTGGTGAGGAGGAGGTGGCAATAACCCCGAGAAGAATGACGGTGACTCAGACCTGGGTGGTAGCAGGGACATGGTAAGAAGTGGTGGAATTCTGAAGGTATTTCAAAGGTAGACCCAACAGAATTTGGTGATAGATTGGATGGGAGATGAAGAGAGAAGAAGCCAAGGATGACCCCTGAGCTTCTGACTTGAGCCACCAGAAGGATGGAGTTGCTATCAATAGTGCCGGTGGAGCAGAGTTGGGGGAAAAGCGGAGATTGGAATTCTTTGCTAATTTGTTCATTTTCTGCCCCCTCCCCTGCAACACAAGCAGAACTTGTCTGGGTTTGTTCACTGGTGTACCCCCAACACCTAAAGCAAAGCCTAATACAAGGTCAATAAATGTATTTGAATGAATGGATCCCCATTTCACTACAGAAAGGTGAAACAGCCTGCCCAAAGTCTCATAGCAAATATATTGTAGAGCTAGAATAGTTACACCCCCTCTATGGTCTGGCATCTGCAAGGACCGTTTCTGCAAGGACATCCTTACCTGCTTTCAGTCAAAACTTCATTCAACAGATTCATCTTTCCCTGTCAGCCAAGCCCTTCTAATAGAATCTTCCACTCAGTGAAAAGTTAAGGGAAGTTGAAGGCTTTTCAGAGAGGCCACCACCAGGCAGATTCGCCTGAGAATGGCTGGTGCTCCTGCAGCGCAGAATGAAAGATATCATTGCTTCTTTCCAGGGACAGCTTCTGGCAAACGGTGTGGCAATGGAAGAAATTGAGGTCGCTGCCAAAAATGGCCGAATTTACACACTGACTGGAGTTCTCATTCCTCCCTCCATCGTCCCAGTTCTGCCCCGCCGATGCGATGAAACAAAGAGAGAGATGAAACTGGTAAGAAAGCAAATAAGGTCCCCCGATCAGCCCCGCAGAGGAGACAACGTCCTTCCTCTCACAATTCTGAGGAAGCTGCCAAGGAGAGTTTCAGTTGGGGGAAAAGAGGATATTGAAATTCTTTGCTAATTTGTTCATTTTCTGCTCCCTCCTCATTCCAGAGGGGTTTCTATCTTCATGAAGAGGCAGGTAAGCCTGAGGTCCTAGCTCATGGAATGTGAACCAGGTTCCTTGGGGAATTTCCACAGTGATAGATGCTGCCCAGGTATATTCGTTTTCTAGAGCTGCCGTAACAGATGACCACAAACTAGGTGGCTTAAAGCAACAGAAATTTATTCTCTCACAGTTCTGGGGGCCAATAGCTTGAAATCAAAGTATTAGCAGGGCTGTGCTCCCTCTGAAGGCTCTAGGAGGGAATCCTTTCCGGCCTCTTCCTAGCTTCTGATGCCTCCTGGCGATCGTTGGCGTTCCTTGTCTTGTAGCTGCATCACTCCAATCTCTGCCTCTGTCTTTACACGGTCTTCTTCCCTGTCCGTGTCACTGTGTGTCCTCTTCTCTTCTTGTAAGGACACCAGACATTAGATTTAGAACTTACCCTCATCCAGTATGACTTTATCTTGGCTAATTACATCTGCAAAGACTTCCAAATAAGTTGTAAACTTCCAAATCAGTTTGCATCGATTTCCAAATAAGATCACATTCTGAGGTTTGGGGGAACAAGAAACTTGTTTTGGGGGCACACTATTCAACCCACTACACCAGAAGAGGTAGGATCAGACTCCTGCCTCTTCTTCTCCTGTCACTTGCTCCAGGCCCATGGCTTTACTCTCTCTAAGAGGGACTTAAAATAGAATTGCTTCTCAGGTAGATGCTCTGGCCTGGCCAATCAACCATCTTTCTGTACTTCTTTTCAAATACCAAACTTTCCGTTTGCCTATGAGCTTGTGTACAGGAAATGGGCTTTCCTGTTTCCATAGCAACTTTTTTTGGCTCAGCCAGTTTTATTCAGAGCACCCCGAATTTCAACACTGCTGTACATGTGATCTTTATTTCCCATGGAAACCATAACCCCAAAGTTGCAGCAATAATAGGTCTGGGTCTTTCTTTTCAGGACACTTCAGTGATTGTTCTCACAATATCCTTGGAACATGGGCATTGAACAGGGAATAATGGCCTCATTTTGTAGATTTTATTTCATTGATCCCTCTTCTTCTTGTCATGAAGGCTGGAAAGAGCTAGTGGAGTACCTGGCACAGGACTGTGGCTGATTCTTTTGATTCCAGATTTCTTAACTGATGTAACGACTCTGAGATATTTTAGGCTGTTGTGAGGATACTAGTCCTCCATGCCAGTCACATACCATCTGGGGGATTTGATTCAATTCTCAGCACCCCTTTTAAGAGGGGCAAAACCTCAGTCACTTTCCCAGCCAGTCCCTGGCCATGATTTACATTTGGTTCATTCTTTGAAAAAAATATTGGCAGGCATATCATCTGGCTTGGACTGGGATGAAGATCAGAACAGGTCAGCTAAGAATAGTCTCATCTCTGATCCCAAAGATTAAAATACTAGGAAAACAGGGCCTCTACAGAAAAGACTCAATAGGAGTCAATAATTAGACTCCTTCAGAGCTCCCCCACCCTGAGCAGCTGCCATTCAAGTTCAGGGAAGGAAGTCTAGGGAGGGACAAGGGCAGCCCTAACTGCTTGCCTTGTGGTAGGGTTACTCTGTTCCAGGTTGTTCAAAAGCTTGTTCTCCATCTCCCCAAAGCAAAGAATCAAGATGTGGGTTTGAGCCGCAACGCAAATTTTGGCTCCACAAGGAAAAGAGCTTCCCATTAGCTGCCTTAGAATGGAGTCTTCTTTTACTATTTTCTCTGGGTTTAAAGTCAAATCTGTCTTCTCTGCATGGTTTAGGATGGTTTTGGTTACATTTATTGAAAGGACAAATGCATTCTCTGGAAAGTATTTAGGGCTAACAAAGAGTAGGAGCAGCTGGTACCTTCTAGAAGTCTCAGTTGTCACCAGGCTGAATCCAAAGCTGCCTTTGGGCATGTATGTTTGGATTTTAGAGGTTTAATTAATAACTCTCTGTACTAGTTAGGGTCTTTGCAGGAAACAGAATTTATCCCGATGGTTCAAATGAAGAGATTTTAATGATGAAGCTACTACAGAGGGATGGGCAGGGCTAAGGAAACCAGCAAGTTATGCTGGGGCATCCAAGAAGAAGCAATGGTAGGAAACCATTCCCACCCCAGAACCAGAGAGTCGGCGGCGAGAGGGGTTGGAGGTACCTGAACCCAGTGAGAGCTGGAAGAGTGGAAGAAGTGAGGTCCATCAGGCCTGTAGGGATGGTGCCCAAGCAGACAGGGAGCAGGGAAGAAATGCCTTGACCTTGCCCTCCTCCTGCCCACCAGTATCCTGCTGGTGCCTCACATTGGCCAAGACCAGAAAGAAGCTGGCAAGGGAGGCCGGGAGACCATCCTTCAAGGTCTACCTGCTGGAGCACAGAGCCCGATAGAGAAGGTCAGAGAACGGACCTGGAGAGATTTGGAGGCACACACCCCTTTCCTTCCTCCTGAATTCAGAACCAAAAGAGCAAGAACGGGAGACCGAAAGGCAGAGAGTCAATGTTCAGCTAAGCTAATTGGAGAACGAAGAAGGCCTTAAGTATGTGGCCACTGTTAATACTTTGTCCCTGACACAAGTGGACAGCTGCAGTGTCCCCTCAGGGGCAGGTCCTTCTCTGCACAGCAGAGAGAGTCGGTCAGAAGACTGAGGCCTGTAGACAATCCGACTCTGAAGGAGAGAGAGGAAGGTACTGCTCTGAGCAGGCTCAGTTCCTTCTCCCAAACCCACCGGCACTGACTTCACTCCTTCTCTCTGGGGAGGAGGGCGGTGGGGAGAGAGGCCAGGAGTTTTAGACTAATGGAACCCCCTTCACAGGGAGGAAGCATGAGGCCAGATGGCGTGGTCCCCTGCCCCTCTTACAGGGACGCCTGTACTGATCAGCTGTCTTTCCTTCCAGGGCACTTGCGTGAGCTGTTCGCTCGTGTACTGGAGCAAATGTCCTGCTAACTCCGAGCCCACAGTGAGTGTGCAGCTACGTGAAATCACACATCACCCAAGCCCACCCCACTGGTGTGGTTTCTCCTCCTTTCTACCTTCCTTCCTGAAAGATACTAATTCCAACTGGGGTAATATAAGGTCAGCTCTTAGCCTACGATATGGGGAATGGTAGATAGTTAATGTTTGAATCCTTGCTCATTAACCCTAGGTGAGTTGCTTAGCCTTCTTACTCTTATTTTCTTCATCTGTAGGTGATAATAATAACAACAACAGCAGCTTTAGTACAGACAAAAACCCAAGACCAATACCTAAAGCAAGAAGCCACTCAGTCAAGGTTCATTCCTTCTCTACTTTTCCCTCTTAAATAAAATCCAGTGTTTGTGTAGGGGAGGCCAAACTTTACCTCCACTCTCTCGGGGTCTCCAGCTGGGCCTCAGAATTAAATTGACATAAGACAGATCAACAGGAGAAAAGTACCCCAATTCTTACATGTCATGGGAGCCCCCATAGGAGAATGAAGACCCCAAGAAGTGGCAAAACATAAATGTTGACACAGTAGGTTAAATAAAGAGAGGCAATTGTGGAAAAGTAACTAAAATGTATGGGAAGGCTATAGGAAGATCAGTTATTTCAACAAGGTCTGTTCGTACAGATTTTTCCCAGCTTCGGCTCTCTGGTGACAGGATGTTTCTTTTCCCGTGGTACAGGGTGGGCATCTTTCACATGGGAGTTTATCTCCTGTTTTCAGAAAGAAAAGGGGAGATCAGAGCATCCCTTTTGTATCTGCTGTTTTTCAAGTGCCTTTAGCTCAAAATAATCTTGATGCGAAAGTGGCAAATTTGGGATGGCATATTCTGCCACTCTTCATTCATATTTGCTCTTCCCAAGCATTATTCTGGAGATAAAGACAAGAAATATCAAGAAAATGACACTAAGACCATCAAAACCTTTTCAAGTTGGATTGAATTCCACACACGTCTATTGAGGATTATAGTGCTGGTTCTGGGGGCATAAAGATGCATAAGATACAGTTTTGTTTTGTTTTTGTCTTTAGAAGCTCTATCCTAAAAGGAAAACAGACAGTTGTACAATAATTCATAGTTCATATGCCAAGTACTCTATTAATGGTAAAAGCTAAGTGTTCTAAGTAAAACTGATGATAGAAATTTCTGCCTTTAATTTTGCCTAAGAAAGAACATCCCAATGAGGAGTTTCATTAACCCCTGGGATAGATCACTAAGGAAGGTGATGGGCTCTTTAACGCAATCCTATTGTGAAGCATTTAATAAAGCAAAACATTAAAATTAAATAGACACAGGTGTTCAGATATTTATTTTGCTTAATGAAGCCATCACCCCTGAGTCCTTCGGGATGCTGTCAACCAGGGCATATGGAGAGGGAGGAAAAAAGAGGAGGTCATGTTGACTAGCGTCACAGTGATCACTGTGTGTGTGCTAGACATAGTTCTAAATGCTTTATTCAGCAAACCTATGAGATAGGTATATTATCATCATAATCACTGTGTAATCTGGGAACTAAGGCAAAGAAATATAAAACACCTTGCACAAGATTGCACAGCTGATTCATGGCAGAACCATGTTCCTATGTTGCCTCTGGCCAAGGAGGAGGAGGAAGACAAATGAGACACACAGGTTGGAGCCAAAAGAGCCCCAAAACGGCCCCTCCCAGGCTCCCATGATCTACACTTGGTTAACTATCATGAGATCCAACAAGAGGGCTGAATGTTCCTTCCTCAATGACCCCAGAATTCCTTTATATCTGTAAGATTTTAGGACTTTATAGCCCATGAAGTTCTCATGGCTCTCTTCTTGAGCAAGAGCCTAAAATGAAGGGGTAAACTCTACATAAACATACATCTAACACAAAATTTGAGTCAGGGACTAAATATTTAGGACAAAACTTGAGAGTCAGCATTTTTGTCCCATTTCACAGATTGGGCAGCTGAGGCCCACAGAGACTACAGGACTTGCCTATGATATCCTAAAATCAGTAGGTGGTGAGACCCATTCTCTGGACCTGCCACTTACTAGCAGTGTTCTTTAGAAAAAATGCTTTAACCTGTCTGGGCCTCAGTTTCCTCATCTATAAAAAAGGGATGAAAAATATCCACATGGAGATGAAGATTGATGACCTCACATGTGCAGTGTAACCCTAGTTAGTTCTCAACAAATGGTAGTTCTAGATAATCATACACAGGCATCAGGGGTTACAGCATGCAAAAGTGCATTTAAATCTGCTCCCCCCCTACACACTCATACTCCTAAGAGAAAAACTCAGACTACTCCTATTGTGTTTGGTGGATCTTTCTACAAATTAGAGATAGACTCTTTACTGGCACCAAAATTTCTATGTAGGAGGAGCTTAGGGATGGCTATAGATTGGAAGGGGAGGCTAAGCCACATCCAGGAAGAACAGGAAAGTGGTCCCTGATTGATTAGCAATGTCTGCCATGGCATGAGACGGGGAGTAAAGGTATGTGTGCTCTGTGTTGTGCAAACCCTGGCCTGTATTCTACCAACAAGGAAACAGGCCTAAAGAGGGTGACTAAGCTCTGACTGGGACCCACGTGTGCTGGTGTGGTCTAGTGCTCTTTCCTTACATAAAATGGAACTAGAATGTCTAGTGTATGTAGAAGCCCAGCACTGCCCAGAGGACCTCGAAATGCAGACTGCAACGCTTTTTCTCATTGGCTTTCCTCCAGGCACTCTTCACACACAAATGTGTCTACACTGGCAGAATAAGGAGCCTGAAGAGTGGCTGTGCCAGATACTGTAATGTCACTGTGAAGGTGAGGAGCATATGTGGCCGGGGCCCTCATCCAGGCCTACAAGGCCCAGACAGAAGCCAACAAGGCTGGGCAGCTCCAGAGCCACTCTTGGGCCCCAGGGTCTGTGCGGTCACTGTTTGTCTGTGGGCCTTGGCAATGTCTTCCTGCAGTGAAATTGAAGGGTGGAGTCTCTACATGGAGACCAGGTCACCCCCTTCCCTGAATCCATCCCTCCCGTGGTTCCCTATTGCTCTTAACATAGAGCGTGCACTCTGGGCTGCCCCACACGGCCCACCCTCTGCCATGTCTCTGACCTGTCTCTTCCCCTCATTTCCACCTCAGAGTGTGCACACTTGCCATTCCCTCCCTTGGAATGCTCTTCCAGGTTTTCTTGGGCCTGACTCATCTTTCAAGTCTCCATTCAACTGTCACCTCCTCCATCACCACCTAATCCACAGTGACGCCCAGACTCCCCCAACCTCTGTCCCCACCTGACGCCACTTTATTATGAAACTGTATCACTCTCCGCAATTCTCTTCTTCTTTTTTTTTTTTAACTTATCGTCTCTTCCCTGACTGGTTAGAACATAGCTTCCATGAGCACGAGCTTTCGTCTATCTTGTTCCCATGGTGCCAGAGCCGGGCTGGCCCCCGAGGTCGGCCCTCAGTAGGTTGGTGGTGAACAGATGGCTGAGCACTAGCCATGCCCCGTATTCAAAAGGAAGACTCAAGCTCACTGGGGGCACTAAGGGTGTTTATGACAATAATGGAAATTAAAATAGATCTCCTTTGAGGAATTGGCACTCTGCTTGGGGTTTCAAAGGCAACACGTATTTTGTTTCTCAGATACCAAAATGCTGCAAAGGCTTCTACGGGCCCGACTGCAACCAGTGTCCAGGAGGCTTCTCGAATCCATGCTCGGGGAATGGACAGGTGACAAAGACAGTCCTTGATGCGCACTTTTTCATGAATGCTGGGGTTGACCTGCCTTAAGTCAAATCACAAGATAATTTTTAAAACCACTAAACCAAGAAGTGATACAATGACAGCCGCTGTTCCCAGGAAGTAAGAGAAACAGATCAGTTACTAAAAAAACAGGTGTCTGCAGTGGAAGGAATCTGGGCTGGGACGGGGTGGGGAGGGAGGAGGTCCAGTGATGTTGCTCCTGGTCTTTGCTTTCCTGCTGTTGACTGCATGACCTTGGCCACCTCAGGAAGGCTCTCTGGACCGCTCTCCTGTGGGAGATAGCTGGGCTAGCCTGTGTTGATCTCCAAGATTCCTCCCAGGGTTAAGATTTTATGATGTTTAAAAAAAAATAGCACTTTCGAGTGATTGCTTTATTTAATCCATCTATAGAACCTAGCGAAATGTGAAGGCCAAATCTTAACTCATCTAGCTTGGAGGCTGGAGCTAAACAAATGAAGGTAAAAGTAGGTGTGGTTCATACGGGAAATTATAGATTTGTGCATTTAAGAAAGCCACATCTAGAATATGCCTCTTTTGGGGTCGGCCCCGTGGCGTAGCGGTTAAGTGCGCGTGCTCCACTGCTGGCAGCCCGGGTTCGGATCCCGGGCGCACACCGACGCACCGCTTGTCAGGCCATGCTGTGGTGGCCTCCCACATAAAGTGGAGGAAGATGGGCACGGATGTTAGCTCAGGGCTGTCTCCCTCAGCAAAAAGAGGAGGATTGGCATGGATGTTAGCTCAGGGCTGATCTTCCTCACAAAGAAAAAAAAAAAGAATATGCCTCTTTCAAGGGGAAGGAAAAACTGTGCAGCCACAAGTGGGGACACCAGGCAGGTGCAGAGAACAGGATGAGGCTGGTACCTGTAGCCAGGTGGTGAGCACAAATCTAACCTGGAAACAGCTGGGGAGGTGGAAGGCAAAATGCTTACCACTGAAGGGAGAAACACGGCCGTGTGAAGTCATGGATCCCAGCAAGCAAGAATCTGCAGAGGAAGGCCAGCCTTTATTCTGAAGGTCATTGTTTGGAGGTTCCAGTTCACCATTGTGACCCCCCTTGAATGACTTCCCTTAAAGTTCTAAATCCTGGCTCGAGACCCCCAAGGTTGTCGTATTTTAGCTTCCTACCTGATACCAACACAACTCCACTCTCCGAAAGGAGTCCCAAGGGTCATTTCAAGCAGGACTGAATCTGCGTTGAAAGAAGTCAGGCCACAAAATGAAAGCATCTGGGATTCCTTGACGGGTGTGTGTTGTCCTAACGGCCCATGGGGCCTGCCTTTGCCCACAGTGTGTGGACGGCCTCGGTGGCAATGGGACGTGCGTTTGCCAGGATGGCTTCCAAGGCTCCCAGTGTCAGTTCTGCTCAGACCCCAATAAATATGGACCCCAGTGCGACAAAAGTAAGTTGCCCTTCCAGAGCTTCCCTCCACTCCTCAGCCAGCACCCCTGCTGTACTGCAGCAAGCCGATGGTGTGGGCCTGGTGGCATGTGCCCCTTTGCTTGGTGTATGCCCTCATCACAGGGCATGTCTTAGGCACATGCCAGGTTGTGGCCCCACCTGCAGAGTTTCTGAGACAGTAGGCCTAGGTGGTATCTGAGAGTTTACGTTCCTAACAAGTTCCCTGGGATGCCTACACTGCTGGTTCACGGCCCACACTTTGAAAACCAGTCTCTTACGGCTTCCTGCATACCTGAAATCAGTTCCATATCAAGAAACAGACTCACTCCCTACCTTTCAAACAGTCCTCTTCCATCAGCCCCTCCCTTTGCAAAATTTGTGACCTTGGGCAGGTTACTACATCTCTCTAGGCCCCCGTGTCCTCATCTATAAAATAGGGATAATAATAATAACTACCTGGTAAGGTTAGTACAGGTTATAAATGGAAAGCATTTGCCTTAGAACAATGTCTCACACCTAGTATGCACTACCAATACACTAGCTGTTATTATTATCTATTATTGTCATTGCTGCTATTCTAAGTTCAGTGACAAAAATGTCATAAAGCTTGTAGAACATGTCAAAAGTTCTATAATAGGCATTGAAAAAACACTGTTATGTAATCTTAGAAAATGCATTGTGATCTTTAAAATGACATCATGTGTATATTTGTGCTTATTTGTATGTATATTTAGATGTATATTTCCAAGAGGATAGAATAAAAGGAGTAGATCAGAGTTTGCTGTGGAGTCAAACCAACCTGGAGTTAAATCCCCTCTCTGCAGCTTACCGGCTGTATGACCTTGGAAAAAGTCTCTCATTGAGCCTCAGTTTCCCCATCTATAAAATGAAGATAATAGTGCTACCCACATCAGAGATTATTGATTATTAGATCATAATTCAGGGCTTTAGCACAGAGCTTGCACCTAACAAGTAATCAATAAAGGAAGCAGTTCTTATTATAATCACTAACTCCACTCATCTGTTACAAACACACAACCCTTCCGCTCTCTTACCTTGTCTGATCCTCACAACTACCCCTCAAGATGGACGTGATGCCAGCACAGCAGAGTCAGGGCTGCTGATCCTAGTGTAATGTTCTTTTTGCCAAATAAAGTTTCTAAGAAAAAATAAATAAGGGTCTATTCCAAAGCCTGCCAGCTGTGGCATTTCTACGAGGCCAGCAGGGCAGGCTGCCAAGGCTGGGGGCAGTGGTGCTGGGCTTCCTGCTTGAACGCCTCTCCTGCCTGGTCTGTGGCTGCCCACATCTCACACAAGGAGCCTCCTCTTCATTCTGGGTCCTGTTCCTTGCAAATTAAGCCCTGACTTACGTAAAAGTTTTGAAAAGTCTTTTTTTGTTTTAAATCTAGCTTTTCCAGCCCCGCTCGCTGTGTTTCTCTTCTTTCTTCTGGACCTTGGCTCTAAGCACCCACACGAATTTCTCTCCCATCAGTCCCTTCTGGAGCAAAACCACAGATTCCTTCCTTTCTGATTGTATTTGAGCCCCCAAATCCTTGCCATCTGCCTTGGAGAATCTCCATCTCCTTCTTTTCACTCCCATGTGCATAGGAGCCTGAGTCTGATGCTGCAATTCTTAAATACCTATAATCAAAAGCAAAGTAAGCAGCTATGGTTTAAAATGATAACAGGCAAGTGGAAATGCCAGTTCAAATAGTGGTCTACTGTGTTTACACATGGGCACTAATAGAAATGGAATTTGAAAGCCTGAGTTCAAGTCCCTGTCTGGGAACTTAGCAGCAAGTAGCCAATTTGCTTCGCCTCTCTGAGCCAGTTTGCTCATCTAGAAAATGCAGTGGTGCAAGCACCCACCTCCTGAGACTGGTGACAATTAATGAGATGGTACAGGTAAAAGGCTGGCCTGACGCCTAGAACAGTCAGTGTGCAAATGCTGGCCATCAGTTATTACTGGTTTGCTGTGACAGAGAGTGAAGAATAAATGTATAAGCTACACGCCAGAGGCCATGCCGGCATGAGAAATCACTTCTATTTATTCCACCATGTCCTCGTGAAAAGGTGAGAAATTTCCAGACTAAACTCTCCCACCACACAGTAGATGGAAATTGAGTTCCTGGGCCTCTTTCCCACCATCACAACCCACCCCTCCCCCCACACCCCACACGGATACATAGAAAGCAGCCTTGAGACCAAGCTCCTCTCATGCTTGATGGCACAGCCAGGCTCACCAAGTGCTCTCTCAGGGACACTGAGAAACACTTGAGATGCTAAGAAATAGCTTCCAGAGCCTTCCCCTGGCTCAGCCCCAGGTTCTACTCCGACAGGAGGGAGTGGGGCGTGAGGCGAGGTGGTCCCTGTTCTCCATGACCCGTGTGCCCCCATGCTAAGCGTGTCCCCTAAGCCCTGAGTGTCCCTCTTCCTTCTCTCTCAGAATGTCTGTGCGTTGACGGCACGTGTGACAACAGGATCGACAGTGACGGGGCCTGCCTCCCCGGCACCTGCAGAGAGGGCTCCGCGGGGAGATTCTGCCACAGGCAGACCTCAGCCTGCGGGCCCTACGTGCAGTTCTGTCACATCCACGCCACCTGTGAATACAGCAATGGGACAGCAAGGTAGGCCTGCGAGGGGCACCACCCTTGACGGCCCACGGCCACTGTGTTACCTGTCGACAGGCCCAACCTGTATCTAAACTCTTTGTAAACTAAGACCTGTTCTCTCCAGCTGCCACTGTGGCTTTTGTGGAGAAAACTCAGACTGAGCTGGGCTCAAATTGCAGCACTCCTTGCTTTGAAACGTACAGGCTGTGTGACCTTGGGCAAGTTCCTTAACCTCTCTGAGCCTCACTTTCCTCATCAGAATAATAAGGGTGATGTTGCCTATCTAGCATGGCAATTGTGGAGATTAGAAAAAAATGACTTTAAAAGCGACAGGGCTAGCACATCATAGGTGTTCAGTCATGAAAACTGTAATTATCATCATCACTCCAGCATTGGCTTTTATGAAAGGTAAAGATTTGTCCACCAACTTTCCAACTCTTTAAAAACACATTTACCTCCTAAGGCTGTTAATAACTTCGCTGTTAAATGCATCTTACAAGAAATTAAGTCTTGGTCATTGGATCACCATTTGTTTCCTTAATTCTAACATATGCAGTGGGCTGGGGGTGGGAGGAAATGTCAGAGGAAATTTTTGTCTCTGGGCATATCTGGTTCAAAGGCAGTAACCACCAAAAAATATCCTGGGAAATGCGGAGAAGGCCTGGAATATTCCTGGTCCTATTTTTACAGCACTTTTCTTAATTTGTGATTACACAGTTATTTGCTTAGCTATTTGTGGTCTGTCTGCCCCACTAGACTGTAGGCTGCGTGGGGCCAGGGACTGTCTTTTCTCTTTCACAATTGTGAGATAGAAGTGCATCTTCCTAAGGAGTTAGGAGATACACCAGAGCAGAAGGCAAAAACCACAAGCCATCAGAATTGCCCTTAAAACCTCTTAAATCACCCCCAAAGGACTTTCGACATGGGTCTGTCTATACCATATAACCTTAGGTCAGTCAACCAGTGTTTGAATGGATCAACCCATTTCTTCCTTTGGGTACCAAATAAAGTATTTTTTTCCTCTAGGAGCCTTGATGCACGAAAAATATATTTCTTAAATTTTTGTGAAGCACATATGACTGAATTTGCAGTAGTGACAGGGTGCATGATGGAGCCACAGGGTGTCCCAGCACCTATCAGAGGGCACTCAACACATATTGGTTGAACGGACAGCCTGCATTTAATAGCAGAAGTATCACAGTGGAACTTTGTGAAAGGAGTGTCTGAGAGGGTAAGGGGCCAGGAAACTATGTCTGCTCACGGAATGGGGCACCTGAGAATTTTGTGTTTGCGGGGGGGTGGGAAACCTGAAGGACCAGAAGAGAAAGAGGGGAGATCTCACCTGACTGTCATTTTCAAATATTTTAAGAACATTCGCATAGAAGAGAGGGTAAAGTTGTTCTCTGCTGAACCAGAGAAAAGAACTAGAGTTATAAAGAGGCAGATTCCAGTCCAGTAAGAGCAGAAAAGCTGCCAGATGTCGAGGTTGATAAGGTACAGGTGTGTGCAAGGGCCTTGGTAACCGCTCTGCGTGCATTAGCTCATGGAATCTTCACCACAGTTCTATGAGGGAGGCGGTATGATTAGACCCATTTTCTAGATGAGGAAACAAAGTTTCCCAGAGGTTAAGGGGCTCACCCAGGGTCACACGACTGCTTAGAGGTGGGGCCTGGATTCCCACCCAGGTGTGTCTGACTGCAGACCCCAGAAGTGCCCGTGACCACCTTGGTACTCTGGCTCCCTGACAAGGGCAAGCTGTCAAACCATGAGCCAGTTCACCCCTGTCTAGCTGGCCTCCTTCTGGGGGCTTGGTGCTTACATTCTGGGCCTGATTTCATGCACTCACTCTTCTTTGCAGCTGTGTTTGCAAAGCAGGATACGAAGGTGACGGAAGCCTCTGTTCAGAGATGGACCCTTGTGCGGGATCAACCCCGGGGAGCTGTAGCCACAATGTGAGTGTTGGTCTTCATTTCCAAGCTCCCTAGTTTTTTAGGAAATCCTGAGGGAAGGCTCTCCAAAAGGCGGTGTCTGATGACTTCATTTCATGAAGCACGTTTGTTTGAACCTTGCATTTTAAAGATGGTGCCGGGAGCCCCATGTGAGCCTCCACTTCTTAAATCCAATACGGTGGGTGTGCCCCAGATCCCCACGTGTGGAGGGCTTTGGGCTCTTAAAAACCCAGCCTGAGAATCAGACATTGAGATCGTTAGTAATCAAGTCTTGAGTCAAACACTACAGCTTACAAGCGACTCTAATGCCCGTGATCTCGTTTGCTCCCCCCACCAACCCGATGAAGCAGGTGGTGTCATCCCCGTTTTACAGATTAGGAAACTGAGGCTCAGGGGTGTTATGTGACTTGCCCCAATTCTATTATTATCAGGAGTGTAGCCTGAACCCCACTGCTTTCACTAATACCTTTCTAATATCACCACCATCACCAGGCCCTAGTCACCTTCATTCATCACCCCCAGTTTAATGATGGGTCCCCCTGCTGCCTCTCTTGCCCATCTACAAGACATTCATTGTGTGCCCACAGCCAGAGTGGCTTGAAGTGGGTCAGATCATGTTTCTCCCATGCTGAAACCCCTTCAGGAACTGCCCCTGGCTCTGAGGATGAACTAACTCAGAGGCAAATGCTTTCCCGTAGCCCGCCAGACTCCTCTTTTGCTAGCCCTGCCCGCTGAGACAGCCTCATGTCAACAGCTTAGCTTGTACCTCTCCTGCTCTCACCCTGTTTCTTCAGCCTCCTGGTGTGGTCATCCTGAGAGGCCTGGGAGTTGGTCCAGTGGTTAGGAGCCTGGGCTCCAGCATCACATAGACCCGGGTTCATGCTTCTATGCAGCTGTGTGACCTTAGGCAAGTTACTTGCCTCCTCTGAGCCTCAGTTTCTTCATCTGTAAAACAGAGATAATAACAGTACCCTCCTCAAGATGATGGCTTACACCTGCAAAACATTAGGAACAGTCCCTGCTCAATAAATGACAGCAATGCTAGTGGTGGTGACCATTAGCTGGCCAACTCCAAGCAATTTTGCTCTTTAAACCATCTCATCTTTTCCATTGATCTCAACAGAAATGTGCATTTTAATCATTTCCATTGCACTCCATGCAAATATGTGTTTCTAGAATGTACCTCTGGAAATCCTTTTTTGGAATCATGTGGCTGGACTGAGGTTTCAGAGGTTTTGCTTCTTCTTTTCCTCCTGCAGGCAGAATGCATCAGAACTGGCACGGGGACCCACACCTGCGTGTGCCAGCAGGGATGGACCGGGGACGGAAGAGACTGCTCAGAGATCAACAACTGCCTGCTGCCCCTCGCTGGCGGCTGCCACGACAACGCGACATGTTTGTACGTAGGCCCCGGGCAGGTAGGTGTGACATGGCAGGGAGTAAATAGGACACAGGATTCCTGCAGTGGCTTTTTCCCGCCCTGGACACCGAAGTACTTTGGCTAGAACTTATTGCAACTTTTTATCATTTGTAGCAGTAAGAATGGGTTAATTGTCACAACAAACTTATGATGCAGGTACTATTTTTTTTTCACTTTTTGACCCCTGTCATCATTTTGCCCACCCCCACCCTCTGCCTCTGGCAACCACCAATCTGTTCTCTGTTTCTATGAGCTCAGTTTTGGAGGCTTTTTTTAGATGTCACAGATAAATGAGATCATACAGTACTTGTCTCTCTCTCTCTGACTTGTTTCACTTAGCATAATGTTCTCAAGGTCCATCAATGTTGTTGCAAATGGCAAGATTTCATTCTTTTTTATGGCTGAATTATATTCCATTGTGTATGTATACCACATCTTCTTTATCCATCCATCCATCAGTGGACACTTAGGTTGCTTCCACATCTTGGCTATTGTAAACAATGCTGCAATGAACATGGATAGGGGTGCAGATATCTCTTTGAGTTAGTGTTTTGGTTTTCTTGGGATAAATACCCAGAAGTGGAATTGCTAGATCATATGGTAATTCTATTTTTAATTTTTTTAAGGAAACTCCTTACTGTTTTCCATAGTGGCTGCACCAATTTACATTCCCACCAATAGCGCACAAGGGTTCCCTTTTCTCCACATCCTCGCCAACGTGTGTTATTTCTTGTCTTTTTGATGACAGCCATTCAACAAATGTGAGGTGATATCTCTTATGGTTTTGGTTTGCATTTCCCTAGTGATTAATGATGTTGAGATCTTTTCATGTACTGTTGGCCAACTCTATGTCTTCTTTGGAAAAATATCTATTCAAATCTTCTGCCCATTTTTTAATTAGATTTTTTTTCCTGTGGAGTTGTATGAGTTATTTATATATTTTGGATATTAACCCCTTATCATATATATGATTTGCAAATATTTTCTCCCATTCAGTAGGTTGCCTTTTCATTTTGTTGATAGTTTCCTTTGCTGTGCAGAAGGTATTAGTTTGATGTAGTCCCACTTGTTTATTTTTGCTTTTGTTGGTATACTATTATTATTCCATCTTATAGAAAAGGAAATTGAGGCACAGAGAGGCTAAATACTTTGCTCACATCGCACAGAAAATAAACCATAATGTGAGATTCACACCCAGATAGTCTGACTCCAGAGCTGCCCTCTTAGTCACTACCTTTCACCACACTTTATCTGTCTGTAGCACTCTACAGTTTGTTGATCACTTTCACCTAACCTCATTTAAGGGAGACTGAGGCAGAGAAAGCTACTGCTTAGGAATTAATCAGCTCTGGGGGAGGTGATGTCGACTGTAGTAGGATTGCGGCCATGGAAATGTCCTGATCATGAAAAAGCTCACTGCAGTCTTATGCCTCGCCAAGCATTTGGCAAGCAATTGCATTAATTTTTGACTCACCTGGGTTGCCAGATTGCATTTGAGAAAGAAAAAAAATTCCTTGGTATCTGTATTAGTTTGCTAAGGCTGTTATAGCAGAGTGTCACTAACTGGATGGCACAGAACAACAAAAATGTATTGTCTCACTGTTCAGGAGGCTAGAGGTCCGAGATCAAGGTGTCGGCAGGTTTGGTTCCTTCTAAGGGCTGTGAAGAAGAATCTCTTCCAGGCCTCTCTCCCAGCCCTGGTGGTTTGCTGGCAATCTTTGGCATTCCTTGGCTTGTACACGCATCACCCTGATCTCTGCCTCCATGTTCACATGGCATTCTCTCTGTGTGCATGTCTGTGTCCAAATCTCCCCTCTCTATAAGGACACCAGTCATATTGGATTAGGGACACACCCTCCTCCAGTATGACCTCATCTTAACTGAACTAATTACATAATAACAATCCTATCTCCAAATAAGTTCGCATTCTGAGGTACTGGGTGTCAGGACCTCAACATACGAATTGGGGGGCGGGGAGCGCCAATGCAACCCATAATAGTATCTATCCCCTCTTTGTTTTATCTTCTTTTCAGCAGACAAATTTTTTTTTTTTTAATTTTTTTATTTATTTATTTTTTCCCCCAAAGCCCCAACAGATAGTTGTATGTCATAGCTGCACATCCTTCTGGTTGCTGTATGTGGGACACGGCCTCAGCATGGCCGGAGAAGCGGTGCGTTAGTGCGCGCCCGGGATCTGAACCCGGGCCGCCAGCAGCGGAGTGCGCGTACTTAACCGCTAAGCCATGGGGCCGGCCCACAGCAGACAAATTTGAAAATCATCCTGATGGGGGAGAAGGAGGAAGAGAAAGTTCTTTTATTGGTGTTATATATGAAGTAAAATAGACCATATGTAGGATTTCCTTCAGTAGTTACTAGCTGGCTTGAAAACTTCTCGATATTCCAGACGGGCACAAATCCTAATTACCATGAATGTTTATTTGAAAAAACAAACTATGTTTGGGTCAATATGTCAGGAGGTTGTCAGGGTTGGGTGTGCAGAGAAGTGCTACCTCAATACCAGATGGAGAAGATTAAATACTCTTTTTTATAAGGTCTTGCTCTACCACCTAAAGTTGTATACAAGTGTGTCTGTATACATATACTTATATATAAGATATACAGACTTCTCTTAAAAAGCATACATAGCAAATAGTACTTATTCACTTAAAGATAAAAATTTGTAAATAGAAGTTGTATTCCTTTCTTCCTACAACCTAATGAGGTCATATTGTATCACCTCTGGAATGCACATATCCATTCTCTAGACCAGTCCCTCAATAACCCTTCTAGAAGCATACATGCCTGCTTTCCCACCTCTGTGCATTTCTCCGACATTTGCCCTCAGCTTGAATGGCATCCCCACTCTTCCCACCCTCTCTCAAGGTCCAGCCATGTCCCACTTTCCAGAACATTCCCAGTCCATCTCCCCTCCTCTGAACAGCAAATGGTCCTCATCACAGAAGCATCTTGTGTGCCAGTTTATCCGTAAGACTTATAATAGCTCATGTTTTCCAGCGTTTAGTAAGACTGGACTCTTCTTATTTATATTGTACCTACTTATGCTTTGTTTTCCTCTCTAAACTGAGAGCAGCTTAAAGGTTCATTGCTGGTTCCATAATAGTCCATCAATACCTGCCTTCTTAATCTTTTGAAGAGATTACTCCTTTTTAATTTATTTTAAATGTCAAAATAAGGCTTAATAATGGAAGCCATTTTGAAAAATAAAAAAGTAGAGAAAAAAGTTAAAATCATTCACAGAGCCCCCACAATCACCATTCATACGCTGATATATTTTTTCCTTCTGGTCTTTTTAATGCATGGGTTTTTATTTTCCTTTGCTTTCTTGCAATCAATTACAGTTTTGTTTGGTTTCTAATCTGCACTTAACACAAACATTTCCCGATTTTGTCACACAACCCATTATCATCATCATATTTAGTAGCTGTATGATCAGGGCCACTGCTTCTGTGGTGTATTTTGTGTACCGCACAAAGTACCCAGCCTGTGGGGCAATGGGGGCTGAAATCCAGCCTGCACCCTGCTCACCATGGTATGTACCCTGGTGTGGGCCTAAACCTTCTCAGAGGAAGGGGGATTTTTTTATTGCATGAAGATGCTGTCCACCTGCTAAGCCACTTCCCGTAGGTTTTCCATGTAGAAGTGGTGCCTTACACAAATTCACCTGGTCAGAGGGGAGGCCTGTCTAAATTAGACAAAGTGCTTTATAGACTAGCAGTGGCCCTGTGCATGGATCCCCACCAAGTAGATACGCCATGGCTTACTTTACCTATCCCTCTTAAACGGAGGAGCCAATTTTTCCAATGTGATGCTCTTTAGGGTCTAAGTTCTCTGAACCTCTCCATACGGTCCTTCTGGGGTAATGAATTCAAAAAGAAAGTACCGAGAAACTATCGGGTTGGGAAACAGTAACATAGAATGTAGAGACCAACAGCTCCGGAACCCAAAGTGTAACAACAGAAGACACGAACACTGTTCTCTAGGAGGGCCAAACAGCTATGGCTTCCCTAGTTCATTTTTCAGTGCCATGTGAGGGCAAGTCATGGAAGGAAGTTGTTTTCAATAATCCCCGCTGACTCTGTTCTTGGAATTACAGAATGAGTGTGAGTGCAAGAAAGGATTTCGAGGCAATGGGATTGACTGTGAACCAATAAGTTCATGCTTGGAACAAACTGGGAAATGTCATCCACTGGTGAGTTACTTGATTTCTTTTATCCTTACTAAAAAAATTACTTGAGAAAGAAGGTTGGGTTATTTCATATTTGGGCCTACTAATGAACAAAATCTTTCTTATTCCCGAAAGGAGTCTCTAAGCAGAATGTGAGTAGTTATTACAATTTTCACTCCATTCCAAAGCTTGGAAAAACCAACATATGATTGCCAAATAAAATACAAGATTGCTGGTTAGATGTGAATTTCAACTAAATAACAATCCTTCAGCACAAGTATGTCCCAAATACTACATAGGACAAATTTATACTAAAAAGTATTTATCATTTATTTAAAATTCATCTACAACTTGGTGTCCTATATTTTATTTGCTACATCTGGCAATTCTAAACCAACGGGATAGTTTAAAGGATATCTAGACTCCCCTTTAGAATGTCATAACAAAATTTTACCCAAAGAATTGGTGAAAATGCCCATTCAAGGGTAGGTTGTGCCTTGTGCCTAAATTATGGAAGAATAAGCAAAGATATTAGAGCTGGTCATGTTCATGTTTTCAAAAGAACGTCCACTAAGCTCCCAAAATCAGAACCAATGAAGATGACACCTTAGTTATAGTGCTTTAGATGCAAGTAACAGAATCCACGCAAATCAACCTAAGCACAAAAGGAATTTGTTGGGAGAACCCCAGAGTAGCTCCATAGGCAGGAAACACAACCCAAGACTTCCCAAGCACCCAGAATGAGGACCTGAAGACACCAGGATCAAGGCTTCTTCTTCCCCTAATCCTCCAAGACAATGCCATCTCTCATTTTGCCTCTCTCTGTGCATTTGTTTTCTCTCTGTCTCTCTGTCTCTGTCTCTCTCTCCCAACTTTAAACGCTTCTCTGTGCATCTTGGGGTACACAGCTCCCTGTTGTTAGAGCAACATCATCCCCCACCACCAGTGATACCTGCTAACTTATCAGCTCCCCATGTCCCAATTCCAAATCACAGGAGAAAGGCTCTGACCAGCCCAGCTGGATCCAGATATCCACATACGAGCCAGTCAATTATGACCAGGGACTAGAGTAACATATTATGAACATGGCTGCCAGGGCCCACCTCTAGTGTGTGTATAGGGGGCAGATTTTCAAAGAAGACAAAATGGAGGGAGATGCCCCCAAAGTATCTGTTACCCAAGAATCGTGAGAGCACTTCATAAAGTGAACAAGCCCCAACTCTCCTGCTTAATTTAAGCCCAACCAAGCCCTGACATAGCCAATGTCATGTAAATTCCAAAGCTTGGAAGAACTGACATAGGGTTGCCAGGTAAAATACATGACACCAGTTAAATTTGAATTTCAGATACACGATGAATCCTTTTTTACCACAAGTAAAATTGTGGTAAACTTTTTAAATTTAATTTAAATTATAAAAAATGCCCCCAAATATTACATGGGACATACTTATACTAAAACTTATTCTGAAATTCAAAGTAACTGTGTGTCCTGTATTTTTACCTGCTAAATCTGGCAGGGATGAAGAGAAAGAATTTAATTGTGATTAGATAAGAGCTGCACCAAACATGCAGACACAAGCCTTTCTTTGCAACCCTGAAGGGTCTACAGGTCACTCCCACCCTCTTTCAGCCCCAAATCTGCAGTTCTCACCTAAGATCCTGCCTGAGGTCTCGCAGACGTAACTCCTAACTCTTTAGTTAGGAAAGCAAACCATTTCCTCCCTCTTCGTTTTATCAGGCAACTTGTGAGTTCACTTCTGGCGTCTGGAGCTGTGTTTGTGGAGGTGGCTATGAAGGAGATGGCCTTCTGTGCTATGGAAATGCAGCTGTGGTAAGTCATCTAAGATGAACTCCAGTACCGAAAAATAAAGACAAAACTCTTAAAAAAAAAAAAAATGCTCTTAGCTAAGATGTCTTTAAAGGGCCCTACAAATCATTTGCTCTAGGAGATTTTATATGAAGCAGCTTGCTTCTCACAGATGGCATATGTGCTCTGTGGGTCACAAATTTTCTAGAAGGGAGCTAACTTTTATTTGGTACCTTCTGTATACCAAGCAGTCTTGTCTTCCCTTTCTTGCCTTTCTACCTCTTTCCATTCCCAAACTTCCCAAATGAGAAAATAATTGGCCCCTGCCGAGCCCTCTGGGGGTTCCTGTCTGGGTTGTGTGCCTCCTATGGGTGCCTGGAGCATCCCGTGCTTACCCCTCTCTGGGGCATGTGTGTGTGTGTGTGAACACCTTCTGCGTACCAGGTGTCTTACTAAACCCTTAACGTGCAACAGTGCCCCCATTTAAACCTCAACCTCACAACAGCCCTCTGAGGTTGATGCTATTATTATGCCCATTTTATAGATGAGGAAACTGAGAGCCTAAGTAAACTTGCCTAAGGTCCCTCAGCCGTCTAAGCACTGAGCCCATGCACGTAACCACCAGTGTAGAATATTCTATCCATGTTGTGCACATCACACCGAATGGTCATTGCCCGTACATTTGTCTGTCCCCCCACCACTGGACTGTAAGCTCTTGAGAGCAGGTCTTTGTCTTGTTCCCTACTTCCCTCCCGCTGTGTATGAAGGCTTGTTGAAATGAGAAATAAAGTAAATTAATGAATTTTCTCATCACTTACTTTTTGTTCAACTCATCGCAGCTTGGTCCCTGCACCTCCTCTCAACAGAAACTGTTGGCGTCACAATCCCCAGCACGGCCACCTGCCCAAACTAGAGCCTCTCCCAGGTCCTTGTTCCCCTGGCTGGCTGCAGCATCTGACCCCTGGCCTCCCTGCCTGTTCAGGGTCCTTCCCACCCCTCACTTCACACTGTTCCTTCTACTTACTTCGTGGGGCCCAGGAGCTATCTCCTGACACCCAGACCATGGAGGGTAGACCCAGCATTTTCTCTGCACTGTCCATGGGCCTCATTTCCTAAAACTCTAAAACCCTGCTTTCACAGTGTCCCTCTCCTCCCACGGAAAATAAGACGAAGTCCAGATCCTAGGCCTGGCACTCCGGGCATCTTCACACAAGCTCAACTCACTTTTCTTCCAAATAGCTTAGCTTAGCTGTAGCTTAGCTGTAGCTTCCCCAGCTCCATGCTGCCTCTGGTCCCCTCTCCCACAGACCCAGCCTCTGGGCTTTCTGCCTTCAGAAAAGTGCCCTCTTCTCCTGTAAAGCAGCCCCTTAGGGGATTACACGACCATCTCAGCTCCTGTCTTTATGCATTTACTAACTAATGTACCTCTTACCAGGTATTTACTAACTTACTTAATAGCCTCAAGTACTTTCAAAAAGGAATTGAGACAGCTCTGAGATTTACTGTCTTTATGTAAATTTGCATATAATTGTGATGGCCATTTTCATGGTGTTTAATAGTTTAAAAAATGTTTTCACATACATTAACGCATATAATATTCATAATCCCAGGAGCAAGCATCATCATATTTGTTTTTAAGATAAGGGACTTGAGTTCTCAGAGAAGTTAAGTGACTTGCCCAAGATCACATAGCTGGTAAATGGCAGATCTAGGAATTGACCCTAGTCCTTCTTAACTCAAAGTCCAGCGCTTTCTTTACTCAATCGCACCTCCAAACGTCACTGATCTACTGGCACTGCTGGTGATATAAGTTGTATAAGAGCAGGAGCCATCGTTTCCCTTTCATGTCTTATATCCTCCCTTCACTCCGACCTGGTGCCAGTCATGATGGTTCAATACGTATGTTCGTTAATAAATTCCATGGCGGATAAATTAAAAATCAGTGTGGCTGAAACTCGCTGAGCATGTGCTGCGTGCCAGCCTCCATTCTAAGCACTTTAAAAACATTAACTCCTCCTCCAATTCTCACATCAGCCCTATGAGTAGGAGCTTTTATTATCCCCATTTTACAGATGAGAAAATTGAGGCCCAGAGAAATTAAGTGACCTGCCTAAGAAACTAGGAAATGGCAGAACCAGAATGAAAACCCGGGTGGTCTGGCTCCGTTTTCCAAGCCTCTACTCAACACTGTCTCTGAAAGAGGGCTATTTACTGAGCTCAGTGACCCTCCTTAGGGTTGGGTGGCCATGTTCTTACAAGCTAAATTCTGATTTGGGAGAGTTTTAGATTGTGGTTTCATTTGAAGTTTCTGGGATTACCTCGAATATAGAAGATAATGGAGCCACTAAGCATGAAAGCAATATTCAGCTCTGGTAACATGGGAATTCAATAGCTGGGCACCCATTCATGTCAGCATCAGCGAGGCTGGCAAGGAAAATGAGCCCAGCCCGGGAAGCTAAGTGCAGGCTACCCAGAAATGTGCTGTGATTGTGCTTCTCATTGTTCCTTCTCTCCCCTTCTCTCTTGTCTCTCCCTCCCTCCCTTGCACAATGTGAATAAGGAATTGTCATTTCTCTCCGCGGCAGCTATATTTAACCAGTGGCTAAATGTGAGTACCTTTGTTAGAATTTAGGATCGGGAATGTATATAATTTTAGAAATTTGGAAGGTATATAACAGAAAACTGAAAAGGCAACTGGTAAGGAGGGAGGGCAATTGTCTAGTGCAGTGGTTCTCAACTCTGCCTGTGCTTCAGAATCACGTGGAACACAGTTTTTAAATAGCCATGCCTGGGCTCCCACCCCCAGACACTGATATGATTGGTCAGAGGTTTGCTCTGGGCGTCAGTGTATTTTAAAATCTTCCCAGGTCATTCTAATATGCAGCCGGGGCTAAGAACCTCTGGTCTAGGATAAGCTGGGGTGGTCAGCTTTTCAGCCAACTCAAATATCTATGTATAGCTTCATGCATCACAGAGGTGTTTTGAAAACGTTGACATAATCCATGTTACAATCCATCCTTGTAATTCACCAAGTTAGATGTGGGATTTATTCAATCTGGGATACTTCACGTGTGCTTAGCTCTCAGTCCAACACGCCCAGAGGAGCTTTTCTCTCTCCCCTGGAAAGTTCTAGAACAAAGAATCCAATCCTCACTCTACTCAGTTGTCTGAATCTCTGTCATCTTTGCCTGAGTGGACCAAGGTGCCTGGCCCAGCCAGCCATCACAAGTGGTTTATTCCCTTTAAAAAGACACGTGCCAAGATAGGTAGCTGCCCAGCACCCATGCCAGGACAGCTTCTCTGATCCCACCACAAGGAACAGCGGGGACCGAGAGTCCTATTGCGCATGCTGATTTCCATATAGGCCAACCCCACATGCATAAGCTTGCCCAGTGCTGTACTGGACCCACTCATCCTAGCTGATGACAGCACATCTTTCCCAGCTCCACTTTCAATGCTGTTATGTTGGTAGCTTGAGATCAGCCATGGTGGGTGTATTTACGCCACAGAAATCAGCAAACACTACAAACCGAGCTTTTGCTTTTTTTTTTCCTGGAGACCCAGTTGTTAAACATAAGCACACTGCTTCTACCCAGAACTAGCTCTGAGTAAGAGTGGAAAGTAGGTAAAGTTTGATTTCGGGCCTCCAGTCTCTCTCCCATGCTGAAACTGTTCCTATAATCTTCCCACCATCCTTATTCCAAAGGCATTCAAGGATTCTCAAGGTTCTCAGCACATACATGTGCACACACAAGCACACACACACACGATCCTATCAAGACTATTCTCTGACTCTTCATTTAGACTCAAGGGTAAATGACTGATAATGACTCAAAATGTGACCTGATCATGAAAATTTGCCTTTTGACAAGGCTTACATGTTTAAATAAAAGGAATGAGTCTCAGAAGGGAAGATGAGGCATCAGCCAGTGGGTGGGATGGATTTGGGAAAAGGGTCCCTAGGACTTTCCCAGTACCCCTGAAATTACATCACATGGGAGATTGTCATCTCTGCCAAGCATTGTCAGCCCTGTTTGTACCCTAACATGAGTCGGGCCACTTTCTTCTCCTTCTGTGATTCAGAACGCTTCTCTACAACCCATGCTGTCGGCCGCCTCCAACCTCACTGTCCTCGTGCCTTCCCAACAAGCTATTGAGAACATGGATCAAGAGGAGAAAGCCTTCTGGTTGTCCGAGAGCAATATTCCAGCCCTAGTAAGGTAGGTATTGTGTATTTTATTCTTCATGATATCTTACTGGCATCAGTGTGAACGAAGTTCAATGAAGGGAAGCCACATGGTCCCTCAGATCCGTGGAACTGAACAGGCTCTAGGCCTCCCCTCACCTCCTTCCCCCAGGTTGGTAATAGTTAACATTACTGACAGCCAACTCTGTGCTAATTGCTTTACACGTAACTCAGTTAATCCTTGCAACAACCCTGTGAGATAGGCATTATAATTATTCCCATTTTATAGATGTGGAAACTGAGGCACAGGGTGGTTAAGTAACTAACCCCAGGTGCTATGGCTGATAATTACAGGCGGAGATTTTAAATCTGGCGGTCTGACTCTAGAACCTACTCTCCTAACTATTCAGTGATACTGCCTCATGCACTGATATTTCATTATAGCCCTTATGGACTGTTGTTTTAGGTACCATACTCTACTAGGCACGTACGGAGTGGCAGATCTGCAGGCTTTGTCATCTTCTGACATGCTGGCAACATCCTTGCAGGGCAACTTCCTTCACCTGGAGAAGGCAGATGGGGTAAGAGAGCACGGTAATTTGTTTAATGGAAACATGTCACCTATGTTCATATTGTACTTTTAAAATTTTATGTTATGGAAATTTCCAAACATAAGCAAAAAGTAGACCAAGAATAGAATCTCCAACCTCCATGTAGGCATCATCTGGCCTTAACAATTATCAACATATACTGATAAACACACACACACACACACACACACACACACACAGTTTTCTGTAGCAATGATCCTATACAATGTGGCCCTCTGCCCACTAGCTGACCACAGGTTCTTCCTGACAGACCCCAGATTGGTCCAGAAATGCAAGTCTTTCAATCCTCTGGGTGAAGGCTGTGCAATTTCACAACTTTGATTTTTATATCTGGTTAACTAAGAGCTGGCTACTGGTAACCTACTAATTAAGTCATTATAGATTACTAAAGTTTTATATGAAGTTAGGGCTGGTCAGTCAACAAAGATTTGTTGAGCACCTACTATGTGCTGGAGTTAGGGCAGTGCCCAAGGAAGAGCCGAGCCCTGTAGAAGCTCGCCTTCTGGCACTTACTACAGTGTGTCAAGGACTTGGAGTCAGTCTTCCAGTCTTCCATGACTGGCTGCCCTGCTGCACATGGCAGTGTTTTAAAACTCTTTCTATGAGTTGCACAAGACAAGAATGAAGATTCTACTGGAAAGTGAGAACTCCTACCTAAGTGACCATGGGCCACAGTCAAAAATGTTTGAGAGTTATAGCTCTAAAGCATTTCCACCTTCCTACTCATTAGTGTGAGCACTATGAAAAGGATCTATGCCTACTACTACCTAAATGTATGTGCTTCGTCAGATAATTCCTTTTAGAAAACATTAAATAGTTACATATGGTCCCACAGATTCTGTATATATTATTATGGTGATTCTAGCGCATTACATACATATATCAGATGATGGGGTTATTTTCCATCAGTGTTTTAGATCATTGATTCTCTTAGCAAGCATTAATTGAACACCCACCCTGGGAAGGCTTCTCCCAGGCTGTACAGATTCAAAGATAAATCTATCAAGACCTCTGATTTGGAGGAGCTAACCATCAAAGACACTTTTTTGTGTGTGTGAGGAAGATTGGCCATGAGCTAACATCCATTGCCAATCTTCCTCCTTTTGCTCAAGGAAGATTGTCCCTGAGCTAACATCTATGCCCATCTTCCTCCATTTTGTATATGGGATGCCACAGCATGGCTTGATGAGCTGTGTTTAGGTCTGCACCAGGGATCTGAACCTGCGAACCCTGGCCCGCCAAAGCAGAGCGTGTGAACTTAACCACTACGCCACCAGGCCAGCCCCCAAAGACACATTTTTAATGAGTTCATTCCTATATAAATGTCTCCCCTTAAGCAAAAGAGATGTGCTAGGTGGCGAGGGATGTTTTCTTCAGGGCCTTTGCTGATTGACGTGGGAGCTGCTCAGGGTGAGACAAGTCCCCTCTGCACCTAAGGTTCCCAGGAGGAATTTAATTAAAGGATAATGGTGGGGAGACGAGGAGAGAAACCAGAGAGGGGGGAGCCCAGTGGTGTCATGGTTGGTGGGTGGCTAGGTAGGTGGGTAGGTAGGGTTTTACTTGGCTCCATCCCCCATGTAATTAATATTCTTGAAAATTAGCTGGATTAATTGTCTGTATTAGTTTGCTAGGGCTGCTATAATGATGTGCCACAAGCTGGGTGGCTCAGACAGAAATTTTTGTCTCACAGTTCTGGATGCTAGAAGTCCAAGATCAAGGGGTGGCAGTGTTGGCTCCTTCTGAGGGCTGGAAGGAGCTGTTCCAGGCTCTCTTGTAGGTGGCCATCCTCATGTTCACAAGGCTTTCTCCCTGTAGAGCTGTCTGTGTCCAAATTTCCTCTTCTTATACGGATACCAGTCATATTGGATTAGGGTCCACCTTAATGGCCTCATTTTAATTTGATTACCTCTGTAAAGGCCGTATCTCCAAAGATGGTCACATTCTGAGGTACTGGGGGTTAGGACTCCATCATATGAATTTTGGAGGAGGGAGGGAACTGTCTACGTGTTTTTCAAACAGCAGGGTCACTTTAGTGAGCCTCAACCCATACTTTTTTAATGAAATAGAATAGAGTGGAATAGAATTCATGATCAGCTGCCTCCCACATTGTAGAGGAAAGTACTATTTCATTTTGATTTTGTGTATGTGTGTGTGTGATGTCTAATGGGTCACAATTTAAAGACATTTCTAACTGTGGATCATGGTCCAAAAGTGAGAAGTTCATTGCTCAAAAAGCGGAAAATCTAGAAATAATTTCAATCCCTTGGTGTACTGTATGTTGACTCACCTTCCCACCCGGTTTGTATTTACAGAATATCACAATTGAAGGAGCATCCATTGTTGATGGTGACAACGCAGCCACAAATGGAGTGATACACATCATCAACAAGGTACCGAATTCCATCCTCCCACACATGTAGCATCTCTTCTCCCTTTGTTATTTATCTTCGTGTACAGCATCTTTTTTGGGAAAAAAAAAAATACTTAGCCTTAATATAAAAGTAACCTGTATTGCACTTCATACTGTTATTTTAAAACCATTTACAGGCTCTATTAATTCAATTGGACTCAGTTACCATTTACTCAGCCTATATTCTGCAACAGGCCCTATATAAAGTGTGGCCGCATATGTTTCTTATTTATGGGAACATCTTACCAGGCACATGAGAACCTTAATATTGGGAAGTCCATACGTCCCGATGGGATGTAATCAGGAACTGGAGGAGAGGCAAGTGCTTTTGTGTCACTTTTTCACTCCCCTCTCTGCATTATTGCACCCTAAAAAGATGAGGTGGAGAAGGCCCTAGAAAAAACTGGAAAAGGGTAGAAAAAGTGTTGTGAAAATTTCCTTTTCTTCTAAGACACAATTGAACAGTATTCAAGGTATGAAATAGAAAATAAAGTATAAAGGGAAATGGAGTTTAAAGCTATCCTATAATTTTCAGTTACTATAGTAGGATCTTCATTTAAAATTAGAATTTAGGGTATATTGGAAATTTTTAACAGGTGGAAGATTAGAAAAAGCAATTAACTAATTGCATTTTAACTAAAATTATTCTCACCTGGTACTTACAGACTCATTTTTTTATTTTAAGTCACAGAAAAGGTCAACTATTTCCATTCAGAAAAGAGAGGCTATTCATAAGACTCCTGGGTACATTATCCTGCAAAGATCTTGCAATTCTCTTGTATTATCAAGAGGTATTAAGAAACACAACATTTTTTGAGCAACTGATTCATCACTTCTAGGGAACTCTGCTGGGTTTACACCTTCATATAATGCAAAGTAACGTTACTTATCAAGAGTATTTTTCTTCTTCAATCCTGGATCTCCAGGCCGGCCCCGTGGCTTAGCGGTTAAGTGCGCGCGCTCCACTGCTGGCGCCCCGGGTTCGGATCCCGGGCGCGCACCGACACACCGCTTCTCCGGCTATGCTGAGGCCGTGTCCCACATACAGCAACTAGAAGGATGTGCAGCTATGACATACAACTATCTACTGGGGCTTTGGGGGAAAAAAATAAATAAATAAAAATTAAAAAAAAAAAATTAAAATCCTGGATCTCCAAAGTCCTAAAAAACCTTTTTCAAAAAAACATAAAATTACCTCTCCTTCCTATTTATTTTTTTTTTTTTGAGGAAGATTGGCCCTGAGCTAATCTGTTGCCAATCTTCCTCTTTTCTTATTTTTTCTCCCTAAAGCCCCCAGTACATAGTTGTATATCCTAGTTGTAGGTCCTTCTAGTTCTTCTATGTGGGACACTGCCTCAGCATGGCTTGATGAGCAGTAAGTAGGTCTGTGCCCAGGATCTGAACCAGGGAATCCCAAGCCTCCGAAGTAGAACGTGTCAACTTAACTGCTGCACCACTGGGCTGGCCCCTTATTTACATTTTTGATGAACACAACCTCATTAGTGGAATGGCACCTCAACCCATCTCTTTTACTGAGTGTTATTATCATGGGGCTGGTTCAAGTCCCACTTCCTCTGTGAGGCATTCCCTGATCCCTGCAGCCAGTATTACTAAAGTTGACATAGTGTCAACAGGGTAAGTTCTAGAGTCATACAGAATCTGAGTTCAGGGACTTAGCTAGCTGTGTGACCTTGGGCAAGTTACATAACTTCTCTGAGCCTCGTTTTTCTTCCCCTGTGAGGCTTAAACAACACCCTCTTTCTCAATATCTGCTGCCTTGTGGGACCTCAATAAATGTTGACTTTGTTCCCTTCTCCCCTCTCTGAAATCCCATGGGATTTCTTGGTCTAGAATTCATTTGGCATAACTGTGCCCTCATATACTGATAGTTCCTCCTTAGGGAATAGGCCCTGAACCCCTGTATGATGGCATGTCCTGAAGGGGTGGAGTTGCATCTTTTCTGTGTCCCTCATCAGCCTAGCACCTTGCCTTCTGTACAGTAATAATTGGAATAATTGACAGCCCACTAGGTGCCAGGCATTGTGCCAAGTGTCATGCGTCACATTATCTCATTTGATTTTTACAACAACCCTAAGAAAGTAGGTGCTATTGCCCCCACTTCCCAAATGAGACAACTGAGGATCCTCATGGTTAAGTCAGCGGATTGAGGAAGAAGTTATGTGAGGGCCGGCCCTGTGGCTTGGTGGTTGAGTGCGCGCGCTGCGATGCTGGTGGCCCGGGTTCGGATCCCGGGTGCGCATCGAGGCACCACTTCTCCGTTCATCCTGAGGCCGAGTCCCGCATACAGCAACTGGAGGGATGTGCAGCTACGACATGCAACTGTCCGCTGGGGCTTTGGGGGGAAAAATAAAATTAAAAAAAAAAAAAGAAGTTATGTGAACACTAAGATTCACGGACACACGTCAACCGATTCAAGTTCTCCGCTCAGCCTCTGGGTCGCACTGGCTCCCAAAGGAGGTCCTTCTATACCTGTCCATTGGACATGGTGGTCGCCTTTGTCAGGGCGGTCACGAACAGGTGCGCAGGTTCCATAAGGGGGCCTGACCTAATAAGGGTGGAGCGGGTCTGAAATTCAAACCACCTCTCTCCTCAAGCTATGCACTCTGTTGGTATTGCAAATTATCAGAGGTAAGGATGCCTTTTTTAAATTTGCAGAGGCACTCTCTGCACTAGCAGTGGCCCTCATAATTGCACGTTGTTATGTGACATGAACCTACATACTAGAGCGCAGCAAGTCCTTCCGACACATGCTAACAGAATTTGGGGGCTTCCTTTCCCAGGTTCTGGTTCCTCGGAGAGGTCTAAGTGGCTCCTTACCAAGCCTGCTCACCCGGCTGGATCAGATGCCTGACTATTCCATCTTCCGGGGCTACATCATTGCAAGTACCACGCTCTCTGCACGGCCCACTTGCTCAGGTTACCTAGGAACAGAAATCCCTCACGCATTCTTGTCTCTTTCCATCTCAGCAATATAATCTGGCAAGTGCGATCGAGGCTGCTGATGCTTACACAGTGTTCGCTCCCAACAACGACGCCATTGAGCATTACGTCCGGGAGAAAAAGGTCACAACTCTAGTAGGTATCAGCAAAAATAACCGCAGAAATTGTTTTCTGGAAATTCACACACAACATTTTTCAATCCATCCATCACGTACCATTTCACTCTTGCATTAAAACCTCCTTACCAATATCATGCAGACTCTCTCATACACGAACCTCTCCTGTGCCAGAGCTGCTCATATATTTAGTTCGTATCCCTGGAAACACACACTTGAGCCCATATACACAAGGATGCAGGCGTCCCAGGAACCTGGGAGGATCCTCATGGTTGCCCGCCTCCTCTCCCTCGCTTTGCCCTGTCCCATACAGGGAGAAGTCAGCAGCAGGAACCCAGAGGGAGTGGATCGGCTCTGTCTTCCTCTTATTCTCCCCTCTCTATCTTCCTTGATTCCTAACATCTGGGGCTAAATAGTCACAATTTATCAAAGGATTTTGTGAAATAATAAAAAGCTCCAATCATGCCAGTCTCTGGCTCAAACTCTTGGGTAGATCCCCATTTCTCACAGGACTGAGTCCAAACCACCTCCCCAGGTATTTAAGTCCCCCATAAACTGGCTGCAATTTATCTTATATTCAGTGGTGGCTCCAGAATTTTCATTTAGAAGGAGCCCAGGGTTGTCCCACCCCCAGTCCCCAGCCCTACAATGAGAGAACACATTTGAAGCTGTGTTTGCACAACAAGCACACTATTTTCACTTATATCTTTACATATGGTGACTGAGACGGAGATGCTACTGAGATGAGGACTGACACTTGAAGTCCCTCTAAGCCATCCTTGGGCCCACTGCTGTCTCCCACCAGTTCTCTGCAGAAACCACATGGTCTAAGCAGAGTGATGGTTTCATAGACCCTAAAGAAGTCAAAGACATGCTTGGTGCCTTTGCTCAATATCTACACACACACATACAGACACACACACACACACCCTGCACCCTCAATCAGGAAGGCTGCCCTCCATCCCTCACTACCTCCTGAATCCTCCATACCCATTCTTCAAGTCCAGTCTCACCTCCTCAAGGAAGCTGACTCTGGGCCACCCAAGCTGCAGACAATCCCTGAATTCAGACCATTTTTAAACCCCTTCAGCACTCAAATACCCCTGGTCTGATGAATTGTCTTTTCATCAGTGGGTGGATCTTAACTCTCCAACCAGACTGTAAACTCCATGAAGGCAGGGATGGTATCTCAGATTTTTGTAACTGGCATGTTGAATGAGCAGTAAATTTCAGTCAATCCCATAGCCTTTCTGCTTCCCAAAAAAGTCCTATAATCACTTTAAGTCGCAGACACAGTTCTCAATTAAGTTTAAAAAAAAAATCCAGCCCCTTGTACTAATCCATTTATTGAACTGAATTTACAATTAAATCTTCTCCCCTCACTGTTTCATGCTGGGGCTTTGTCCAGGCAGGAAATGGAGGAGGGGGCTTGGTCCTTGAATCAGCCAGGATCCATCAGGAGACAGAAACCACATGAGAGAATATTATGAATTACTTATTGGATATAAAGCTGTATAAATATAGTTGAAAGGTAAAAAAGAGAAATAACAACTGCAGGAAGCACAGAGGTAGCAACGGCAGGGAGCATCTGTGACCCCAAAGGCTGGGAGAACAGAGAGAAGAGGCAAGAATTACTAAAACTTAGAAATGAAGAGGAGGAGCTCCGTGGAGCTCTACCTCAGATCTCTGAGGAGGGGGTGCTGACTCCAAGGTCAGCTGGTGCCTCTGATCTTGAAGGAGGGTCCCTGGGAGTCCAAGACCCCAGACCTCTAAGAGAGGGCATCACCCAGCTGGTGCTGATGTCTGGGGGTGGGGAGGGCGTGATACAGCTGGTCTGCGAGCGACAGGCAACCGCCGTCTGGATTCAGCTGCCACTGTCGGGATGAAGGAGCGCGGCTGGAGTGATGCCCAGAGGAACAGGGAGCAAACCGGAAGAGGAGACCCCTTCTCCCTCTTCTGCTCTATTGGGCCTCACAGTCTCCCTCTAGCACTTTCCACTGGCAGAGCCTAACAGGAGCCCTGGCAGAAATGCAGACTACTATCCCAGCCCCAGCGTCAGAAAGCAGAGTGTAGAGGGGGGGTTTGGAGCTGAAAGACAATAACTTAATTAACCCTCTTCTCTCTTTCCTCATATGATGTTTCTATCGCCTTTCCTGATCCCACTAAATTCAGCTTCCATCTCACCAGGTTTGAAGTTGAGGGGTGGGAGTGTTGGTGGTCAGGAAGAGGGTAGAAAGGTTCTTGTCTAACTGGTACTGTCCTGGGATGACACTTCTCTCTTGGGGCCTGGCAAGTGTTTCAAAGCTTGCTCTCTCTCTCTCTCTCTCTCTCTCTCTCTCTGACACTTTGATAGGTTCTTCAGAGACCCCACCGGTCACTGGTGGTCTCTGACAGCAGTTCCCTCCTTCTGTGTGTATGCACTCTATTCCTGCAGTCATTTCCTCCTCAGACCCCAAGCGTCTAGAGCCCACCTCCAGTTTTCCCATGGAGAGGCCTGTCTGCCCTTCTAGGCAACCACCCAGGATAAGACCTCAGGCGCCAGCTCTCTCAGGCATGGCCTCACATCTGGTCCACAGGACACACGTACACTCTTGTCCCAAGCCCACACTGGGAGTGCAGGCCTGTCCTCCCCACTCTACTGTGGATCAGCATGCCAGCTGTCCCTGGCATGAGATTTCCCCAGTCCCACAGGCCACCCTATCTGCCGGGGACACAGATCAAGCTCCTTGAAACATCCCGTCAGACCTCCTCTCATGACCCTGAAGTGAAAGGCAGCTGGGGTGTGGGGACTCTCTCTTCACAGCAGTTCTCTCCAAAGAAACCATCTTCAAAATCCTCCCCTAACCTTTCACGCCCTCAGTCTGGGTTTTAGGGTCTTGTAACGAGTTCTTGACCATCGTACGTGGAAAATTTGCAAGTTCTCCAAGGTGATGTGTCTTGAATTTAGTATTTAATATCTACTGTGCCCTGACGCCTGGTCAAAACTTTCAGTTCAACAGACTGTTGCTCTTGTAATCCCCACAGTTCCTGGCTCATTGGAGCAGGCCAGTAAGTGACTGAGGACTGGCTGACCCATGGGTTGACTTTCAGTTCTGTGTGTTGTCCAGGAGGAGGACATACTCAAGTATCACGTGGTCTTGGAGGAGAAACTGCTGAAGAATGACCTACACAATGGCATGCACCGGGAGACCATGCTGGGTTTCTCCTACCTCGTCAGCTTCTTCCTGCACGATGACCAGGTGCAGTCCTTTTACTTAAAACCCAGGAATGAGGGTCTTAGCTCCTATCATCCATCATCACTTCCGAATTGGAATAATCTCCCCTGTGCTTCCTAAGCCTTGTCAACAAAAGACAAGTGTCTGTGTTGCACCAGAAAGTAATGACTGAGCCAGACTGCCGAGCTCCCACTCACCTTCCCTGTCACCAGCCTTCGGATAACCAGGGTGGCTTTGCTAATCATGGTATTTGAATCCCAGTAGTCACAGGTGCCCTTCAATACAGATTCCTAACAAACCCAACAGACAGTCCAAAGCAGTCTCCAAGGTGAAAGGGAACCTGACAGCAAAACCTAACTCCCAGGAAGTGGCACTGGCTCCAGGCTATAAGGAGCCTAATGACGTATGTAGGATCCAGCAGCCAAATGAATTAACATTATCATCATTGCTAGATTGTAGAGACTGTGGTCTTAGGACCAAATGACCCCCACACTGGTATTCCGGTATTTATCTCATGCAACCCCTAAATATTTAAAAGTATTTAGAATTCATAAAAAAGAATTAATGAAACTAAATATTTAAAATATAAAATTGTATTCATCTATTTCAAACATCAAGTAAGAAGATCGATCTATGAAAATTCAGCAAGAAACTCACAATATAACTCTAATATAGATTCTCATAAAAAATAATAAAAACAAACTACTAAGATAAACGATGCACTATGTTAAAATAAAGGAAGTTTAATCACATAAATTTTTGTGTGTGTGTGTGAGGAAGATCAGCCCTGAGCTAACATCCATGCTAATCCTCCTCTTTTTTTTTGCTGAGGAAGACCGGCTCTGAGCTAACACCTATTGCCAATCCTCCTCCTTTTTTTTGTTCCCCTAAAGCCCCGGTAGATAGTTGTATGTCATAGTTGCACATCCTTCTAGTTGCTCTATGTGGGACATGGTCTCAGCATGGCCGGGGAAGCGGTGCATCGGCGGGCGCCCGGGATCTGAATCCCGGGCCACCAGTAGCTGAGCGCATGCACTTAACTGCTAAGCCACGGGGCCGGCCCGAAATTTTTAATCAATAATAATATTTGGTCCTTTTTAAAAAGTACAATCTTGAAAACAATTTTCTCAGTGGCATCATCATTGAATCGGAATTGAAGTGGATTTTTGTGTACATTTTCTTTAACCTGCTTGGGTAGAAAAAAAAAATCTTTCTGATTCTTGGTTACTTAGGCAATAATCTAATTCCAAACATTTTCCTCTGACTCCTACAAATAATCTCACCTATTGTGTAAGAATTTTGAGGGGATCCTTTTAAATACATTTTCTTATTTTTCCAGGTAAAGCAATTTTTTATTGATAAAGAGCTTACCTTTTTTGTTTTTGTTTTTATCTCTGTCATCTTTTACTTCATCATGTAGAGATGAATATGCCAGTGCAGTTAGTTGAATCAGTTTAATTTCTGTCATTTTCATTTTCCATTTGTTTGGAAATTCTTCAATCTAGAGCAATCTTATAACAGAGGCTTTATCTTACAATAAACAAATAGTTCTATCTTACAATCAAGATTTTGCTTATATCGATAACTCATGTACTTTCTCTTAGGACAATGGAGATGTAGAAAGATGCTCTCTATGTGAGTAGACTTGTGTTCCAACCAAAATTTTAATGCAGCCCATAAGTCTCTGGATACATCTCACAATGAAAATGATTCACTTTTATAATTCCAAATCAACAGTATTATCGCATCAGAAGTTCTGCCATTTTGATATTTTAAGATAGCTCAGCATCTTGGAATTCTGGAAATTTGTGTTGCAATCACCATTTGACACCACCAGGAAGGTACCCTACTAGTTTTCCAAATCTACACAGACCCTGGAACACCTCTGTAGAGCAGAGCCATGATTTATCCCAACATCCAGTGGAAATTCACTTGACTCCAACTAAATCATAAGGGACTTTCACATTCAGTGCAACTTCAAATTACAGCACTTAGTAGAGTCATTGTAATATTGCTGCAGTGGGGAGTTTGGGGGATGTTATTAAACATTTTTAAACCCTGATTGGATATGAACTTGACATCTGCTTAATATAATAAAGAATTTCCCCCTCCTCCCAACCTGAGTCCTGCTACACACCATTCCCCCGCCCACACACACACATACACAGTCATACACACACACCACCCCAATTTTTCAGGGAGCCATTTGTTTCCCGTTATATTAGTTATATTAATGAATGAATTAATGACGTCACTTATTTTGCATTAATAAACCATCAAGGTATCCTTTCCTTAAAAAAATCAAAACAAAACAAATTACAACTCAAAACTGAATTTGTGTTGGCAGCATTTAAATACTGACTTATCCCCCATGTCTTAGATGCTTACAGACACACTAGGTCAAGATGGATACAAACATACCACGAACTCCAAAGAAGTCTCAAGGGAAACTAGGGTAACGCAGACCTCTGAGCAGTCTCCGCACACTAGGAAATGGTGTTATCTGGTGGAACACTTTTTACAAACTCTAAAACACTCCAAAAAAAGCTAGTTATTTTTATTCTTACATAACTGTCACTTAGCCTTTCTGAGGGTTGCTTGAAACTTAACCGTGAAGGAGAGACGTGCTAAAAGGCTAATGAGTTTCATTCTCCACGTCTTGGTTTTGGAAAGCAACACCTTCAGGATCACTAATCTACGGCACAGCTGAGCTCGTCCATGGAGCCATTTGGCCAATAAGCACTAACATAATGATCATGATTTACAATTTTTCAAATAATCATAAACCAATTAATTTGAGGGATGGAAAGAAACCTTAGAGATTATCTAGAACAACCTCTTTCTTTTACAAAAGAGGACATTGAGATTCAGAGGGGAAAAGCAACTGGCCCAATGTCACACAGCTGGATGGTGCCAGATTCAGGACTGTTACTCAGACTCCTGTCTCCTAGGCCAGAGGTCTTTCCACCACAATGTGCTGCCTTCCAGGTGAATATTGGAATATCTCCTAGGCTGTTGTCATATTGATATCCTCCAATCCCCATCTTCCACATTTCTCTTAAAATCACTGCAATAAAAATTTCCATTTAACCTTCTTGTTCACAGCTCTATGTAAATGAGGCTCCAATAAACTACACCAATGTAGCCACTGACAAGGGAGTGATCCATGGCTTGGGGAAAGTTCTGGAAATCCAGAAGAATAGATGTGATAATAACGACACTACTATTTTACGAGTAAGTTATATCCAAAGCCAGTAATGCAACTAAAGAATGTTGGCTTATTTTTTCGTAATTTTTTAAGCACAATACTCATCTATTAGAGTATTTCAACTCAGTTCAAAAACCACTGAGCATCTCTGATGTGCAAAGGACCATACCCAGCTGTAGCTCTACAAAGACAAATGAGACATGACCTCTGCCCTCGTTGGACTCACAATCTAGTGCAATAACTTGTACCTTGAGTGCCTGGGAAAGGTTGCCTGGAAGGTTGTATTGAGCAGAATTCTGAAGCCATGGTCTTCCTCAAAGGGAAAACATGCCATGCCTAGCACAGGCATGGGGAGGGGGCTATGGTGCACCTATGGCATGTGTTGGCCAAGCTTGGTCTACTAGGAGAGAAAATATGGAAATGGGTTATTTCAGTGTAATATAGGATGCAGTAATGAAGACTTTTCACTCCAGTCCATGGGATGGTGGAGGATCTTTCAGTAATAGTAATAACTGCTGACATTTATTGAGCTCTTATTATGTGCCAGGCACTGCTCTAAACATTTTATAGTATTAACCCGTGTAATCCTCACAACACCCTACAAAGTAGGAACTATTGCTATCCCCATTTTACAGATGGGGAAATGAGCCACGGAGAGGTTAAGTAATGCACCTAGGTTCACAGAGCTAGCAAGTGGCAGAGAAGGAGTTCAAATCCAGGCAGTCTGACCCCAGAGCCAGAACTCTGAACAACCACACTCCACTCTCTGGTAGGCACTAAATTAAGAACTAGATGCATTGGCCTCCTCCTGTTTTAGGAACAGGTCACACTTAAGAGTGTCTGTCATTCTTAACTTGTGCTCTTTGTTTTGTGGTAGCATATATGATCTCCACCCTGACCCCTCAGCTGGACCATGTGCTCCCATGGCTGGGCACTGTATGTGACACAGCCCCTTAGTCTCTGAATCTGGCCCAATTCACTAAATAATGGATTTTCAATAAATGAGGGTCATTGTTAAAGGAATTAGGATTTAAATGAGATAACACCTCCACATATTAAAGGATTATTAGCATCAGAAGACAATTATGGAGGAAAGCTTGGATGCTCCAACATCCAAGACCGGAAGTAGTAGAAGTGCTTGTCTCAAAGAACATTGAGGAGGTTGACCAGATGAGCTTCTCTAATATCTTTCTGATTTTCAATTCTATATCCTAAAATCTTCAGCTCCGAGGTTTGGAAAATATTTGCAGCCTCATTTTGCACTAAAAGTAATAACCACGAAATGTTCTCTTTGTCTCTCTGCTTTACCCAGGGAAAGTGTGGGAAGTGTCCCCAGCAGCCCATCTGCCCACTTGGAACTAAACCGCTTGTAAGTATTTTGTCTGTTTTGATAAAACAGTTTCCAGATCCCAGGGAGGTCCAAATAACTAAACGAATCTCAAGCATATCTTTTTTTCACTGCCCTCATCCCTTCGCTTATTTTTAATTTAATTTTATCTTTTATGTTGTATGCATCTTTCTAAAGTCTTGAATCCTTGGACCAAAGTGAAATTTTGATTAATAAATAAATAGAAATGGGTTCATCTCAACCGACGCACAAGGCAGGAAGAGATTTTTCACGTTTTTCTTTTTACAGAGTACTACCTTGTGGTATAATTACTTCGATTTTACCACCTGGTGTTCTGGCAGCCAACATTGTGTTTCTGTGTTTTCTTTCTTGTGAAGCATCTCCAAGAAACCATCTCCCTCACTTTCCAGAACATTTTAGTTGGAGAGACAGCCACACATCACTAACCTACTTGCTTTTAGAGGTTGGAAAACTTTTCTTAACTAAACAGCTGATGTAATCATCACTATTTCATAGGGTGAAGAGACGAGGAAATGTATCTATACCGTTTATTTCATGGGCAAGCGATCCATGTTCATTGGGTGCCAGCCGAAATGTGTGAAGACTGTCATTGTGAGTATGATGATTTAACCATCCTGCTAATTATTGCAGTGACATCGGGAAATTTAATCGTATGTTATACTTTAAATGCCTTTGCATGGATTCTTTCTGCCGCCTCTGCTTCCTGCTCATTATCTTCATTATCAGTCATTCAAAGTAGCAGTGGGAGCAATACAACTCAGGACAGTCCTGTAAGTCAGCAAATAGGTAAAAGCTGCACTAGTCAATTACATGATGAGGAAATTGAGGGGCTGAGAAGCTAGGGGACCTCCATGTTCTCACAACAGGGTGAAATGCCCTGTGAGCTTGCTTATAAGCAAAAAGATGGAGGAAAGGGCCAATTTCCTAAGGAAAGATAAAGTGCACCTGGTCATTTAGAAAACAGGACCCCAGAGCTAAGCACCTCTGGGCTGCTGCTTTGGAGACTGCAGGAAAATTCTTTCGGTACTGCTTCTTTCCCAGAAGACTAGACATGGCCTCTGCCTATCCTACAGAGGCGAGGTGCTCTGGCCCTTAAGCTGCAGAGTGTGGGGCAGCAGGAGATTTTGTGTTTTAAAGGCATGCAAGAATAAAGGCAGACCCAAGCCAAGCAGACATCCTGCAGGGCTTTCCCTACGGCCCCCCTTCTTTCTCACTTTTCTTCATCCTCTTCTCTGACTTGCCTTTTTCCTTTCCCTCTTTCCTACCTCCTCGGCGGAGGCCTCCATCCTGTTCCTAGCACCCTGGAAGTTGCTTCGCCTCACCCGGTTCTCAGGGGTCCTCCCCACCCCTCCAGGTGAGGTCAAAGCTAGAGCACACATCCAGTCCCACCAGCGGGATTTCTACTCCGCGGCTGGACAAAACCAAAAGACGGAAGTGCAGGTCCAGCCTTGTCCTTCCATTTCAGACGAGAGAGTGCTGTGCCGGCTTCTTCGGTCCCCAGTGCCAGCCCTGCCCAGGGAAAGCGGAGAACGTCTGCTTTGGAAACGGGATCTGCCTGGACGGAATGAATGGCACAGGCGTGTGTGAGTGTGGAGAGGGCTTCAGGGGGACGGCCTGCGAGACCTGCGCTGAGGGCAAGTACGGCATCCACTGCGACCAAGGTGCGCACTCTCCTCCCCACCCAGGCAGGCTCCTGGGCTCCCGAAACCAGCCAGGAATGTGCAAGAAAAGAGTGATTCCCCACGTGCTCCCTAAAGGGCCGGTCTCAGCAGGTGGGCTAGAATCCCACCTCTATTATCATGTGAATTACAAGAACGTCTGTGTTGTGTAATTTGCATTAGGCAGTGTTTCCAAACATTTTCAGTCACTAACCTGGACCTACCAACCCACCCCCAGCCTGTTCATTGACATTCCCCACCCCAACCACTGATTCTGTATTTGCCTGTGTGCACTGGTCCTTATGGTTACACTCTCAGTTTTGGACATTGCTTGATAGTTTGAAATGCACATTTGTGCACATTATCTCATTTAATCCACACAGAACCTTATAGCCTTGGGTATTGTTGTACCCATTTTACAGATGAGGATATTAAGGCAAAGAAGTTGAATGACTTCCCCCAAGGTCACACCTGATGCGAGGCAGAGCTGAGATTTGCATGCACACCTTCTTGGCTCCAGAGCCTTGCTCTTGAATCATGCTGTCCTCAATGTGAAGATCACTCTGTTAATTCACCCTCAGCAACACTCAAAGCTGTTTTCACAAAAATCGTGATCTGTTTGAGCCGAGTCCTCTGCATCCTCTCACCCTGATTTCCTTGTGCCCAGGGACACACACCTATGAGAGGGTTGACTTAGGAGGAGGGGTTCCCTAATCCATGATGAGAGGACAAAGCATTTTTTCTACCCTGTACTAAAAACTGTAAATTTGACCTGGCTATCACTGTTTTCTCATCAGCTAGTCCAAGCCAGACAAAATCAATATATAACTGAATCATTATAATTGGGCTATATAAGATATAATTGGAATTATAGTACTGATTTGTTCTATGTTTTTTGGAAGAGTTTTCTGCTTGCGTTTATGCGGGAGTTCCTAACCTAAGTTTCCATAGATGACTTTCTTGGGGTCCAGCAAACCCCCAAAGCTAAATGCTTTTTTCTGGGGAAGGCATCCAGAGCTTACATCCAGTTCTCAAAGAGGCTCATGACGCTGCTGTGTAAGAAAGGAATCGGCATTTCTCTGTTGTGGAAGAAGGCAGGGCCACTCCAGGTTTATCTACACCTAGTGGACTTCTTTCTGAAGTCCGCTCTTAGGGAACAAACGTGGTTCCATCCCAACGGGTCCCCCATAACCCTGGGTCTTCAGGTAACCTTAGCTGAGGACACTCTCACCCTCCTTGGGTCACTGGCCCGCAGTGCTGCACAGTCCCAAAGCTGTGGTCTCGGCTGAAGCACGACCTGATCCCCCTGTTATCCTGCTCGATTCTATCGCCCACGACCCTGCCTCCTCTGAATCCAGCCCTCCTTTAAAGACAACAATTCTCTGGAACGGCGTTGGAGAATTAAGTGCACTGAAGTGAAACTTTATAGTAACTGATAAATGAGTTATTAAGCACAAGTCAGCAATCTGACCATTTGTGGGCATTTTTCCACTTAGCATGTTCTTGTGTCCACGGGAGATGCAACCAAGGACCCTCGGGTGACGGCTCCTGTGACTGTGACGTTGGCTGGCGAGGAGTGAAATGTGACAGTGGTAAGGGCCAGCCCCTCAGTCCTAATGATCTGTTCTTAGCCTCACTTCTCAGCAGCTACATTTTTTTCCTTTCTAAAATAGAAATGACAGGGGCCAGCCTGGTGGTGTAGTGGTTAAGTTCAGCGTGCTCAGCTTCAGCGGCCCAGGGTTCGTGGGTTTGGATCCCAGGCGTGGACCTACACACACTCATCAAGCCATGCTATGACAGCATCCCACATACAAAAATAGAGGAAAGACTGGCACAGATGTTAGCTCAGGGCCAATCTTCCTCACCAAAAAAAATAAAATAAAATAGAAATGACACCTTTATTACTTCCTTTGGCAATCAAAGTGATTCCTATTTGCAGCAAAAAGTTTGTAAAATAAAGAAAAGAAGAAAATAAAAATTGCTCATACTCCCAAGGCAGAAAAGAACTATCATTAATATTTTATGTTAGTGTTCCAACCTTTTTCTAGGTATATATTTATTTATTTATTTATTTATTTTGTGAGGGAGATCAGCCCTGAGCTAACATCCGTGCTAATCTTCCTCTTTTTGCTGAGGAAGACCAGCTCTGAGCTAACATCTATTGCCAATCCTCCTCCTTTTTTTTCCCCCAAAGCCCCAGTAGATAGTTGTATGTCATAGTTGCACATCCTTCTAGTTGCCGTATGTGGGACGCGGCCTCAGCATGGCCAGAGAAGTGGTGCATCGGTGCCTGGGCCGCCAGTAGCGGAGCGCGCGGACTTAACCACTAAGCCACCGGGCCGGCCCTTCTAGGTATATAAACATATGTGTTTGGGATCATACTCTATATACTGTTTTGTAACCTACTTTTTCACTTCACCTTATATAATGGATATCTTTCTATGTGAATAAATATAGATAAATATCATTTTTTTAATTTCCATATAATGTTCCATTATATGACTGTACCACACTTTTTTAAAACAATTTTATCTTATCATAATAATGCTGCAATGAATATCTCCTATATACATCTTTTTGCATTTGTCTAATTAATTCATTTAGTCCTATTTCTAGAGATGAGTTTTCTGAGTCAGAAGTTGGCACTTTGGGGGGAGGATTTCCTGCTTATTGCCAAGTTGTTTTCCAGAGATTCTATCAATCTGTTTTCCCGGCAACAGGGTCTGAGCAGGCCCATGTCCCCCAACCCCACAGCACTGCGCTGATGGTTCCTAATGTGATCCAGGTGAGCGTGATCAGAGGAAACAGAATTTCAGGCAGAAAAAGCACGTGGAATAGCACAGATGTGGGACAGCTCTGCACATTTAGGGATCCGAGCAGGAGAGGAGTAGAGGGGCAAAGAGGGAAATTGAATAAGAACAGGCTGGAGGTGTAGGTGGGAGTCTGATGGTAAAAGGCTAAGGAGGTGGACCTTCTGCTGAAGCCAATAGGAAGCCAATGAAAGGTTTTAAACAGGGCAACAACAGGATCTTATTTGCATTTTAGAAAGATCATTCTGACACTGGATTAGAGAGACTACCCCTAGAAGCAGGTATCAGAGGCTCCCCCTCTCCTGGGGCGGGGGCTGGGGAGGAGTCGCAGGTACCTGCCAGCCCAATGAGGGCTCCCGGAATGTGGGGTTGTCAGAGGGAGTGTCTTTGCTCAGAGCTCCAGTTGATGCTAAAATCAAGGGAATGCAGAGTTAAGAGTTGGTTGAAAAGGTGAAGTCAGAAGTCTGAATGGTCCCAAGCCAAGGAGACATCCTAGAGCAGATATCAAATGCTGGGGTGCAGAGCCGGGGCCCAGAGGGCCTGGGAGAGGGGAGCAGGAAACAATGGAGTCACATAAACAGGAAGACAATCTAGGGGAATACCTAGAATAGATAAGCACTTAAGTGACAGCCATGGATAATCTATGGCTGTCACTTACGTGCTTATAAGAGCATGGTGCATGGGAGGACCGACCGCATTTAAAGGGACAGGGAACAGTCTGGAAGCTGTGGCAAGTTTTCAGGAGGCAATTAATGGAAGTCTGAACTAAGGCGGTGGCCTGACTGTGGCAGGAGAAATGGAGACATTTGATTGTCAGATGAGGTAGAATGGAGAGCACACGGTGACTAGACGCAGGAAGGAATGAATAGGGAGCAGCTGACTGTGTGGACAGTGGGCCAACTCTGGAAGAGGACAGCTAGGGGTAGTTCAGTTCGGGGGAGGTTGAGTTTGAGGTGCCAGAGAGCATCTGAGTGGAGATGCGCAGGAGTCGTTAGCTCATTCATTCATCCATCAGATACTTGCCGAGCTCCTGCCAGACGCTGGCAATGCGCTAGGGACACTGCAGTGAGCATGTGGCCCCCGCCCTCGGCAGTGTGCAGTCTGGGAGAGACGTTCTCAGGTCCCGACAGTGGCAGTAGAGCAGGCAGTGGGATCTGTGGGTGTAAGACTCAGGAGTGAGGTCAAGGCTGGAGATACAAATGCAAGAGCCATCCCTGAGCAGAGAGAAGTGTGTAAGCTTCACACTATGAAGGGGAAGAAAGCAGCGCCAAGGACAGACCACTGGACTCACTCCTCTTCCCGCTTTATCTACTGTGAAGAAAGATCCCCACCCTACTGCTCACCCAATCTAGAAACTACCCAGTCAGCCTCCACGCCGCCCTCTCCCTCACTACCATATCTAAATCATTCTACCCCCCACATCCCTTCCTCCTGCTCCTCCTCTCACCAGCAGCCTTGTGATCTGTCTCTTTGCCTTCTCCCCATCTCCCATCTCCCTCCACTTCACATTGCTGCCAGAGAGAACTTTCCAAAATACAGATGTCTTAGTTCCGACTCCTATAACAAAGTACCATAGACTGGAGGGCTTATAAACAATGGAAATTCATTTCTCACAGTTCTGGAGGGCGGAAGTCTGAGATCAGGGTGCCAGCCTGGTCGGGTTCTGGTAAGAACCCACTTCTGTGTTGCAGACTGCTGACTTCTCATGTCTTCACATGGCAGAATGGGCAAGGGAGCTCTCTGGGGTTTCTTTTTTTTTTTTTTTTAATTTTTTGTTATTGCAGTAACATTGGTTTATAACATTGTATAAATTTCAGGTGTACATCATTATACTTCTTTCTAGTTCTGCATAGATTACATCATGTTCACCACCCAAATACTAATTACAACCCATCACCACACACACGTGCCGAATTATCCCTTTCACCCTCCTCCCTTCCCCCTTCCCCTCTGGTAACCACTGATCCAATCTCTGTATCTATGTGTTTGTTGTTGTTATTATCTACTACTTAATGAGTGAAATCATACGGTATTTGACCTTCTGCCTCTGACTTGTTTCACTTTGCATAATACCCTCAATGTCCATCCATATTGTCACAAATGGCTGGATTTCATCGTTTCTTATGGCTGAGTAGTATTCCATTGTATATATATACCACATCTTCTTTATCCATTCATCCCTTGATGGGCACTTAGGTTGCTTCCAAGTCTTAGCTATTGTGAATAACGCTGCAATGAACACAGGGCTGCAAGTATCTTTACGCATTGGTGTTTTCAAGTTCTTTGGATAAATACCCAGCAGTGGAATAGCTGGATCCTATGGTAGTTCTATCCTTGACTTTTTGAGGAATCTCCATACTGTTTTCCATAGTGGCTGCACCAGTTTGCACTCCCACCAGCAGTGTATGAGAGTTCCCTTCTCTCCACATCCTCTCCAACACTTTTTGTTTCCTGTCTTGTTAATTATAGCCATCCTGACGGGCATGAGGTGATATCTCATTGTAGTTTTGATTTGCATTTCCCTGATAGTTAATGATGTTGAACATCTTTTCATGTGCCTGTTGGCCGTCCGTATATCTTCTTTGGAAAAATGACTGTTCAGGTCTTTTGCCCATTTTTTAATTGCCTTGTTAGTTTTTTTGTTGTTGAGATGCATGTGTTCTTTATACATTTTGGAGATTAACCCCTTATCGGATGTATGGTTTGCAAATATCTTCTCCCAATTGTTAGGTTGTCTTTTCGTTTTGTTGATGGTTTCCTTTGCTGTGCAGAAGCCTTTTAGTTTGATGTAGTCCCATTTGTTTATTTTTTCTATTGTTTCTCTTGCCCGGTCAGACATGGTGCTTGCAAATATGTTGCTAAGACCAATGTCAAAGAGCGTACTGCCTATGTTTTCTTCTAGAAGTTTCGTAGTTTCAAGTCTTACATTCAAGTCTTTAATCCATTTTGAGTTAATTTTTGTGTATGGTGTAAGGTAAGGGTCTACTTTCATTTTTTTGCATGTGGCTGTCCAGTTTTCCCAACACCATTTGTTGAAGAGACTTTCTTTTCTCCATGGTATGTTCTTGGCTCCTTTGTCGAAGATTAGCTGTCCATAGATGTGGGGGTTTATTTCTGGGCGTTCGATTCTATTCCATTGATCTGTGTGTCTGTTTTTGTGCCAGTACCATGCTGTTTTGGTTACTATAGCTTTGTAGTATATTTTGAAATCAGGGTGTGTGATACCTCCAGCTTTGTTCTTTTTTCTCAGGATTCCTGTAGCTATTCGGGGTCTTTTGTTGTTCCATATAAATTTTAGGATTCTTTGTTCTATTTCTGTGAAAAATGTTGTTGGAACTTTGATAGGGATTGCATTGAATCTATAGATGGCTTTAGGAAGTATGGACATCTTAACTATGTTATCCTTCCAATCCAAGAGCACGGAATATCTTTCCATTTCTTTGTGTTTTCTTCAATTTCTTTCAGCAATGTTTTATAGTTTTCAGTGTACAGATCTTTCACCTCTCTGGTTAAGTTTATTCCTAGGTATTTCATTCTTTTTGTTGCATTTGTAAATAGGATTGTATTCTTAATTTCTCTTTCTGCTACTTCGTTGTTAGTGTATAGAAATGCAACTGATTTTTGTATGTTGATTTTGTATCTGGGGTCTCTTTATAAGGACGCTAATCTCATTTGTGAGGACTCCACCCTCACGACCTAATCACTTCCCAAAGGCCCCACCTCCTAATACCATCACATTGGAGATTAGGTTTCACGTATGGATTTGGGAGGAGACACAAACATCCAGTCTATAGCAATAGATAAGATCACATTTCCCATCCCCTCCCCAGGACTTGACAACCTGCTATGGTTCTTCATAGCCTACAGGAGAAAGTTCACTGCCTACAGGAGAAACACCTTAGCAGGGTGGAGTACAAAGCTATTCACCAATTGGCACTCACCCAGTTTTCCAGCCTGGTCTCCAGTGCACACCCTGCACGAGGAGCTTCCAGCCTAGTAATGGAAATAAATGTTCAATAGTGTTCAAAAAATAGTGGTATGGGAGTGCAGAGCAAAGAGCCTCTAGACTAGAACAAAAAAGACAATTCCTTTGTCCTTGTGCAAACTCCCCACTCCCAAGCCCATGGCAGACATCACTAATCAATCATTGCACTCCTTACCTCTGAGGCCAGATGGGGCGCCACATTCTTCTCAAAGGAGCAAACCGTGTAGTCACTACCAGTTAATTCAAGTTGGCTCAAAGGTTTAGAGCAGATTTAGAGGATCTAGAAAATGATTGTTATTTCAATAGAGAGAGAATGGAGAGAAAGGGATTTCCAGGCTCAAGGAATAGCATACATAAAGACACAAATTTGCATGGCCTCCACTCCAGCCCGTTGGAGCCTATAACTGTTCCCTCTGACACAAAACAAACCACTTTTGCAGCCAGGTCTGTTTCAGGACCTTCTGTGCAACGTGGCCAGGCCCAATGAGATTTCTAGCCCAAAAGCTCTTAGCATGAGCATCCTCCCCAAAGGGTACTCCTTCCTCATCCCTAACAATTTCTTTCTGGATCCTCTCATGCCAGGAAATACCTCTTAGCTGGGCATCCAAGATCACGAACCCGTGTTATGTCCAGGAAATTTAGGAATTAATTCATCAAATAGATAGTATCTGCTGGGCGCCAGGCCCTATTTCTGCATATGCAAAAAAAAAAGTCTTAATATTAGTCATAATTAGGTGCTTGCTTGTTTGTATCACTCCATAATAAAATGATGAAAAACTAGAAAGAATAAAGAATGTAGGAAATATAAATAAAAGTAAAAAATCAAGCCCCGGGGAGGGACATGCATCAACACCCGGGCCCCAGTGGAGGACACTGTATTTACTCATCCCTGCATCCTCACCGCCTGGCACGGGGCCTGGCACACAGGAGACACTCCAGTATATGGGTCCTTCAGATTGGGCTCTGAGCTTCCTGGCAGCCAATGTAAAAAAGGATTTACATGGTCACGTAGTTTTCCAGAGTTCGCATGATGCATGCCAGTTACTTCCGAGGAAGTAAACCTTTTCCTAGCACCGAGCACAAACAAAGTTCTTAGTGAGGTTTAGTAAAAGAGGGCTGACACAGCGCTGGTTCTCTTTTCCAGAGATCACAAAGGACAGCTGCAACGGGACGTGCCACACCAGCGCCAAGTAGGTCCCTCTGAGCCCCTCTTGGGGACTGTGCCAAGGGGATTCTTTCCCAACAGTGTCCACTCCAGGCCCTATCCTCCAGGAAGTAGTTTCCTGAGACCGTTTCTGACAATTTAGGATACATTTAAGTATGAAACTAAAAATATCTCTGAAAAGGGGAGCTGGCCCTGGGGCCCAGTTGTTAAGTTTGGCACGCGCCGCTTTGGCGGCCTGGGTTCGTGGGTCCGGATCCCGGGTTCGCGGGTTCGGGTGCTATGCTGTGGTAGTGACCCACATAGAAAAATAGACAAAGATTGGCACAGATGTTAGCTCAGGGCTAATCTTCCTCAGCAAAAAAAAAAAAAAATCTCGGAAAAGGCCACCATCAACTTGCCAGATCCAGCCTGTTGAACAAGCTGGCATTTGAGTTACCTGGCATGTCGGCAAAAATGCCTGTTGTAACCCCCAGTTGAAGCCACTTTCAGAGAGGCAGAAGGAGCCCAGTGGGCCTCGCATTCGTCAAACATTACTCCCTATTCTCAGCCAAGCCTTACTTGACTCCATACTCCTAACTCCCAGAGGGGCTTAATCGGTTAATTAATTAAAAGCCCAGTAGCTGGAGTTAGATCTGAATTCGAATCAGCCTCTGTCATTTTCATTAACTGCAAGAACTTGAGTCAATTATTTAATGCCTCTAAGTCTTGGTTTCTCCATCTGTAAATGAGAATAATGATAATATCTATTTGTTGGAGTTGTTGGAGATTGTGTAGGTTACGTGAAGTAATGTGTGAAGCACAGCTCTCCAAAGGTTGGTAGCCACCCTCCTGACCCCTGGGCCAATGCCTGCATGTACATGCTCTGTAGTTTGCATGATGAATGGCTGCAGTTTTAGCTGCCCGTGGCGGGGCCGTACTAGGAATGGACCTCGAGTGCCTCATGGGGGCAGGAGCTGGGATGCTGGAGATGAAGGGGTGTGGGTGTCGTGTGTTTTTCTACAAACAGCATTTGCCCTGTCTCGTTGCAGCTGCCTTCTCAATCCGGATGGCACAGCCTCGTGCAAATGTGCGGCAGGATTCCAAGGGAACGGGACCGTCTGCACAGGTAAGTGAAGAAGGAATTTGTTGGGGGTGACGAGGCTAGCAGAAGCTGTTGAGAGATCTGTGTCCCTGCAGACTGAACGGGCAGCTGCTACCAACCGTTGACAGTGAACTAGAAGTAACAGGGCAGCTGACTGTGCCCGGGGGGATAGGAAACCAACTGTTCATGGATAGGGCATGTTGGTTTTGAGATGGGCAGGCACCTGCTCCTGTTTTCCTCTCTGATGGTGGTTCACAGCCTTGACCACAATGGGAATCACCTGGAGAGCATTAAAAAACACTGATTTGATTGACCGGGGGTGTGGCCTGGGCGTGGGGACTCTGGAATGGGAAAGAAAAGGGCTTGAGCCCTGGGTCTTCCTCCTACCACCCACATGGCCTTGGGTGGATCTCTTAGCTGCTCTGAGCCCCCTTCGCTCATTTGCAAAGTAAACACAAAACTACCTCCTCTGCAGAGTGGGTTTTAGGATGAAATGAGCTCTCTGTGCCCAATGGCAGAATGATGCAGCTATTAAAAACAGCCCCAGCATTGGACTCCCGGATTTGACTCTTAAGTGCTTATAACTTGTGTTACTTTGGGAAAGTTGCTTGACTGCTCTGTGCATCATTTTTTCGTCTGTAAGTTGCAGATAATAGGAGAATCTCCCTCCCTGGATTGTTGGATGATAACCTGGATTAATGTCTGGGAAGTGCTTAGAACAGCCCTGGCACAGAGCACTCAGTAAATGTGAGCTAATACTCTTATGGCGCCCAACACGTATTTGGTGCCAGAACAGTGGAAATGCTTAGCATCATTTTCCTCTTGAGCAGGGTATCTGGGCAGGCTTTGGGCCAGATTGTGGCAGAGCTGAACAATGATCACACCAACCTGCTTTCTAGACAATCTTACCCCGGGCATTCTCCCAGTGTGCAGGTACCCTGACCCTGGTTCCAGATGTTTCCTGCAGTAGGATGTATACAGTATGCTAGTGAAAACAGCTGGAAAGGACAAATAACTGGGATGTTTTTGTTGCCCTCTGTTTTTAGGAAAAATGGCAAAAGCAAAAGATACAAGTTAATATGGGAACAACCAACATTTCTATAACATTTTCATATACATTATCAGATGTGAGTCCCCAAACCTGTAAACAAACCTCTATGGGGGATCTCGAAGTTTATATGAATTAAGTGGCTTGTTCAAAGTCAGATGGTGAGTGAAGGCCAAGCCAAGACTCAAACACATGCCTTGGGACTCCAAGAGGATCTTGGGACTCCACTTGGATCACTCCAGGTGATCCACTTTGAATTAATTTTTGTATATGTTGTGAGGTTGAGGTCCAAATTCATTCTTTTGCATGTGGATATCCAGTTGTCTCAGATTTGTTAAAAAGATTATTCATTCCCCCATTGAAACATCTTGGCACCTTTGTAGAAAATCAACTGACCATAGATGTATGGGTTTATTTCTAGACTCTCAATTCTGTTCCATATTTTATATATATATATTCTTACGCCAGTACCACACTGTCTTTATTACTAAAGCTTTGTAGTAAGTTTTGAAATTAGGGAATGTGAGTCCTCCAACTTTGTTCTTTTTCAAGATTGTTTTGACTATTCTGGGCCTTTTGAATTTACATATGAATTTTGGGATCATCTTGTCAATTTATGCAAAGAAGTCAGCTGGGATTTGGAGGGAGATTGCATTGAATCTGGAGATCAATTTGGGGAATAGTGTCACCTTAACAATATTAATTCTTCCCATGAGTGAACATGGAACATCTTTCCTTTATTTAGGTCTTCTTTAATTTCTTTCAACAATGTTTGTAGTTTCCATACTGTAAGTTTTATACTTTGTTTGTTAAAGGTATTCCAAAGTATTTTATTCTTTTTGATGCTATTGTAAATGGAATTGTTTTCTTAATTTCGTTTTCAGTTTGCTCATTGCTACTGTATAGAAATACAATTGATTTTTGTCTATTGATCTTGAATCCTGCAACTTTATTGAACTGTTTATTAGTTTTAATAGCTTTTTAGTGGATTCCTTAGGATTTTCCATGTACAAGATCATGTCATCTGCAAATAGAGATGGTTTTACTTCCCCTCTGCCAATCTAGATTCCTTTTCTTTTCTTTTCTGGCCTAATTGCCCTGGCTGGAAATTCCAGTACAATGTTGAAAAGAAGTGGTAAGAGCAGACGTCCTTGTCTTACTCCTGATCACCGGGGAAAGCACGCAGTCTTTCACCATTAAGCACAACGTTGGCTGTGGGTTTTTCACAGATGGCCTTTATCGGGTTAAGGATGTTTCCTTCTATTTCTAGTCTGTTGAGTGTTTTTATCATTAAAGATGTTGATTTCATCAAATGCTTTTGTTCCTTCTATTGAGATGATCATATGGTTTTTGTCTTTAATTCTATTGATATGCTAATATGTGCGCATATGTAATATGCGCACATAGGACATATATGCATATGTAATGCGTATTACTTTAATCAATTTTTGGATGTTAAACCATCTTGCATTCCTATATAAATCCCATTTGGTTATGGTATATAATCCTTTTTATATATTGCAAAATTTGACTTGCAAGTATTTTCTTGACAATTGTTGTGTCTATATTCATAAGGGATATTGGTCTCTAGTTTTCTTGTGATATCTTTGTCTGGTTTTAATATCAGGGTCATACTGGCCTCAGAAAATGAATTGCAAAGTCTTCCTTCCTCTTCCAGTTTTTGGAAGAGTTTGTGAAAATTTGGTTCTTATTCTTTTCTAAATATCTGGTAAATTCATCAGTGAAGGCATCTGGTGCTTTGCAGGCTTTTGAATTATCCATATTTAATCCAATGCCTGCCATTTTGAAGTATCTTCCATTTCTCAATGACTCAAGTAAAAATGCATCCATGGTTTTTTCTTCCCCCTCTCCCTCTCCTCTGTTCTGTGTCATCGCTCTCCTCTATAGCAATCAATGCCTGTGAGATCAGCAATGGAGGCTGCTCTACTAAGGCTCACTGTAAAAGAACCACCCCAGGAAGCCGGACGTGTGTGTGCAAGGCAGGCTATGCTGGCGATGGCATCGTGTGCTTAGGTAGGTACCATCCTTCATCCATCCAGTGGCAATGGTTTAAGAGTCAGAGCCCTGTGAAATGATCCTGATGTGTGAGCTCCTATTATCAGGCCATACCACTGCTGGGATCATCTTTCAGTTTATCTGGGCAGGAAGGTGTGAAAATGTGACTGGAGGGGTATGAAGGTGTGTGATGTCCAAAAATCCCTCTGGAAAGAGAAAAGGGGAAAGCTTTTTTGAATTAAACATTATGATGGTGACTGAATTTTTAAATATTTATTCTTCTTTTATACAAGTAGCACATACTCACTATAGAAATATTAGAGAATGCGTATATGCTGGGAAAAAAATTCTGGAGATAACCACTCATTATTGTTGTATTACCCCATTTTGCTATGTATACACATACTTTTTTAAACAAAACTTCTGTCTCATGATAGATAGTATTTAGTATGCTTAGCAATATGACAGAACAACTCTCCCTGAAATTAAGTATACCTCCAAATCATTATTTTAATGGCTACACACTGTTCTACTATAAAGTTATGCCATAGTAAGTTGTCTGAATTTTAACTTTTTAGCTATAAAAAAAATACTCACAGGGGCCGGCCTGGTGGCATAGTGGTTAAGTATGGGTGCTCCCTTTCAGCGGCCTGGGGTTCACAGGTTCGGATCCCAGGCACGGACCTATACACAGCTTGTCAAGCCATGCTGTGGCAGGAGTCCCACATATAAAGTAGAGGAAGATGGGCACAGATGTTAGCCCAGGGCCAATCTTCCTCAGCAAAAAGAGGAGGATTGGCAACAGATGTTAGCTCAGGTCTAATCTTCCTCACCAAAAAAAAAAAAAAAATTCACACAGAAGAGTTGCAGGAATAGCACAAAAAAAGGACCCACTTACACTTTACCTAGATTCACTTATTGTTAATATTTTGCCCCATTTCCTTTATTATTTGCTCTATTTATGTATATACACATTTTTTCTAAACCATTTGAGAGTAAGCTATATAGATATAATATTCCCTTTATCCTTAAATACTTGAGTATATCTGAGAATAAGGATAGACTCCTACATAATCACAGCACAGTTAACTTCAGTAAATTTATTATTGATATAATACTTTTGTCTAATTATCATTTGTATTCTGATTTCATCAATTGACCCAATAATGTCCTTTTTTGACATTTTTTTCGTCTAGTGCAGGGTCCAGTTTAGGGTTAGGTATTGCATTTAGTTGTTGTGTCTCTTCAGTCTCCTTTAATCTGGATGGTTCCTCACCCTTGCTTTGTCTTTTATGACATTGACATTTTGGAATAATATAGTCCACCACCCCAACTTTTTTTTTTTTTTCTTTATAGCATGTCCTTCATTTTGGCTTTGTCTGATGTTTTTTCATAATTATATTCAGATTATGCATTCCAGACCCGATATCACACAAGTGATATTGCATCCTTCTTAGGATATCACACTAGAGGCTCGCAATTTCCACCTGCCTCTCGTTTGTGATGTTAATTTTGGCCACTTGGTCAAGGTGCTGTCTCATTTTCCACTGTTCAGTTACTTTTTTCCCCTTTGTTACCAGTAAGTGATGGGTGGGGAGACACTTTAACACCAAGCAAATATCCTGCTCCTCATCAAAATATCCTCCTAAATCTATCATCTATTGATGATTCTTCCCTGAACCAATTATATTGTGATGGTTGCAAACGATTTTTTTTAATTCCTTAATCTCTTCATTCATAGCATGTTGGGTTGGACTCCAAGATTCTATGATTCCAAGTCCTTGGCTGCAAACACTCATATTCAATTGATAGAGGGACAGATTCAAGCCCATCGACTGTGCCTCTGCTGGCACAGTCCCATCCCAGAGGAGTGGATTTTGAGAAACCACATCTGGTACGCTCCCTGTTGGGTTACTTCGACTTCAGAGTTGTCAGAAAACTGAATCACACTTTGACACCCTCGGTCAGTTAGCCGTCTTGGCTGGTCCCTCAAAATGTCTGTGCTTGAGAATGAGACTTGATTCTCATGCCAGGTGTGGGCTTTTTGTTTTAAAGAGATCAACCCGTGTCTGGAGAACCATGGCGGCTGTCACAAGAATGCAGAGTGCACGCAGACAGGACCCAACCAGGTGAGCTCTACCTCCCCGGGTGGCTTACATTTTCCTAGGAGCAAGTTCCTGGGTCCTTAGACCCAGGCCTAAGGGGAAGAGGACCTTTCTTTTAGCTTTCTGATGCCCAGAATTCCACAATTTTTCTTTGGCTTGAGACTCTGAAATGCATGTGCCACAGCAGAAGATAATATTTCTAGGCCCTCTGTCAGTCACATATTCTCTACCATAGGGAAACTTGCAGCTCCTCCCTAGAGAGGAGGTTTGGGGAGGTGGGAGAAATGTGAGGGCTCCAGTACAAAGGAGGGGAGAGGTCGAGGGATGAAAAGTCACAGGCGGGGAAGCTGGAGGCTCTGGGATCCCAGCTCTTCCTCCATCGGTCTCTGTGAATGAGCACAATGGGCAGGCAGGAAACGACATACATCAGACGCTGGATGATGAAGTCAAGTTCCTGGTAAATGTTCCATTGACGTTGCTGAGCCCTTCAGAGACCTCAGTGCCAGGTGTCCCAATGGCAGGTCAAGCAAGTGTCTAAAGCACCCAAAAATAAGAAAAAAATATATTTATTTTGAAAGACGTGTGTGTGTGTGCATGAATATTTACATATATAGTCATAGGAAAAACCAGAACAGTCAATGTTGGGCTACCTTATACATATTTTGGGGTTCAGTAGAGTTCTTATATTACACTACAAACGGGGTCGGGAAAACCTATAAGCTTTTCAGTGTTCAGGGCCTCTACAAGTTCTCCTCTAGACGCAGAAGGCAGTGAGAGGGACGCGGGGTTGATCTCTGAGACAGGACCTTAGTCCAGGAGGGGCAGCTAGTGGGCATCTTGGTAAAGGTTTGAGCCGAGATCAGGGCCCTTGATGATGGAAGAGGAGCCTCGAGGAGCAATGAGAACCTGCCGTTTGGCCCTGGCTGGCCCCGCCATGAGTCCAAGTTCTAACAAGCAGACATGAGACCAGAGCCACTCATCCTGAGTGGAAGGCTTTTGTGTGGATTAGAAAAGCCACCCCTCAGGTGGATGCATCAGAAGCAGGTGCCCCTTCCGGTGGGCACACAGCTTGGTGAATACAGGGTAGCTGGGTTTTAGCCCCACTCACCCCTGTGCCAGGTGCTCCTGAGTAGAGCACATGTGACACGGGGGTGAACTAGACAGTCCCCAACTTCCTGAACTAGACAGTGTCCCCTCCCTCGACTGGAAGCCACCAGCTGACTTCCCTGGCCAAACAGTGGCTTTGACTGACAGTTTTCACGTGTGTAACTCATTTGGCTCCAAAGGAGTCTTCTGCCATCTCCTTGCACTGAGGCCTTTGGACTGAGCGTTGGTGTAGATGAGCAAGAACTGAGCATGAAGGGGAGTGGGCCATAGCTTAGCTTCCTTGCAACTGAGCCTTTACCAACCAAAGACAGAAAAGAGGTGAGTGCCAGGAAGGCAAAGGACCAAATAAGGTAACAAAGTTAAAAAAAATCAAGTCTCTTGGCAGCAGAGATAGGATGTGTAGGAGATGCCAGTGCTAGAGCAAAGTGTGCCAAATGTGCTCAAATGTAAGAAGACAGTTATCATTAGAGAATAGATATTACCAATATCAAATACGGAATCTTCTAGCATGACCATTACCATTATAGAATTTGAGCGTGAGGCCAGTAGAATCTATCTGTGAAATGACCCATTTCCTTCTCCTCCTGGACAGGCCGTCTGTAACTGTTTGCCAAGATACACTGGAGATGGGAAGGTCTGCACGCTCATCAACACCTGCCTAACCGTGAGTGTGGGTCTAGCCGAGCCCTCTGAGGTCAGGCCTAGGGTGCCTCCCACCCTGTTCTAGGGGATGGGGCACGAGATGATCTCCTTCGGAGCTGCTTCTGGGCCATGAGCTCATTCCTCCCTCATGTTCCAGTCGTAATGTTGGAGAAACTCCATTCTCTGCCTCTGTCACTCCATCTCTACCTCTGTCTTCACGTGGCCTTCACCTCTATGTCTGTGTCTCCTCTTCTAGTAGGAACGCTTGTGGACGTAATCTAGGATGATCTCATCTCGAGATCCTTAATTACATCTGCAAAGACTCTTTTTCTAAACAAGGTCACATTCACAAATACCAGGGCTTAGGACTTGGGCATACCTTTGGGAGACCGCAATTCGACCCACTGCAGATTGAGAGGAGTGAAGGTCCTTGTCCAAGATCACAGAGCGAGCACACGGCACAGCCAGAACTTGAACCCACATCTGTCTGACTCAAAGGCTACAAGCTTGACCACTTCTTGTGGTGCCTATTTCTCCCACAAGGTGCTGATCCCCAGAGGAGGCCCAGTCCATATAGCTTACTTCCCTAATTCATATCGCTGCCCATCTGAGAGCCTCCAGCTGTGGGCATGAGAACGGCACAGACACCCCGTAATGAAAGCCCTCCCTTTCCAAGCGAGGTCCCCACTGTCCCCTTATGTTGGTCTGGTGAGTTCCTCAGGAGAACATGTCCCCACATGAAATGATTGTGTAGGGACACTAAGGAAGAAGCTGCAGAAGGGGGGCTGGGATGTGGAGCTGTTACAACTAGGCCTGTGGCCAGCTTTACTTTCGCGACAGTTCTTCAGTGGCCATTTCCATTTTTACAAAATGGCTACCTTGTTTCGGCAACTAATGCAATAAACCCACATGTACCTGACACTCAGCTACAAGTCATTAACTCATGGCCACTCTTTTTTTCCTCTGTACCCATGACTGCCACCACCCACTGGATTCTTTTCAAGAAGAAAGGAAGTTTGTTTTCTTGCAAGATGAGTAATATTAAGGCATGTTTTTACGTTGATGAATATGATCCAAAAAAGACAAGGGAACTGACACTGAAGGAGAGAAGGTAGATTGTCACAGGAGAAAAGTACATGAGTGGACAGCTAATCCTTGACAAAAGATCCAAGAACATACGATAGAGAAAGGAAAGTCTCTTCAATAAACGGTATCAGGAAAACTAGATAGCCACATGCAAAAGAATGAAAGTAGACCATTATCTTACACCATGCACAAAAATTAACTCAAAATGGATTAAAGACTTGAATGTAAGAGATAAAACTCCTGGATGAAAACATAGGCAGTATGCTCTTTGACATCTGGCTTAGCAGTATCTTTTTGAATACCATGTCTCCTCAGGCAAGGGAAACAAAAGAAAAAATACACAAACAGGACCACATCAAACTAAAAAACTTCTGCACAGCAAAGGAAACCATCAACAAAATGAAAAGACAACCCACCAACTGGGAGAAAATATTTGCAAATTATATATCCAATAAGGGGTTAATTTCCAAAATATATAAAGAACTCATACAACTCAACAACAAAAAAAACAAATAATCCAATCAAAAAATGGGCAGAGGATATGAACAGACATTTTTCCAACAGGCACATGAAAAACATGTTTAACATCACTAATTATCAGGGAAATGCAAATCAAAACTACAATGAGATATCACCTCACGCATCAGAATGGCTATTATTAAAAAGACAAGAAATAACAAGTGTTGGAGAGGATGTAGAGAAAAAGAAACCCTCATACACTGTTCGTGGGAATGTAAATTGGTGCAGCCACTATGGAAAACAGTATGGAGATTTCTCAAAAAATTAAAAATAGAAATAGCATATCATCCAACTATTCCACTACTGGATATTTATCCAAACAACGTGAAAACACTGATTCGAAAGATATATGCACCCCTATATTCATTGCAGTATTATTCACAATAGCCAAGACTTGGAAGCAACCCAAGTGTCCATTAATGTATGAATGGATAAAGGAGATGTGGTATATATACATAGTGGAATACTACTCAGCCATAAAAAAGACGAAATCATGCCATTTGCGACAACATGGATGGACATTGAGGGTATTACGCTAAGTGAAATAAGTCAAACAGAGAAAGACAAATACCATATGATTTCACTCATATGTGGAAGATAAACAAACAAACTAACACATAGATAACAGAGAACAGATTGGTGGTTACCAGAGGGGAAAGGGTGGGAGGAGGACGAAAGGGGTAAAGGGGCACGTGTGTATAGTGACAGATGGAAACTACACTTTTGGTGATGAACACAATGCAATCTATACAGAGGTCAAACTATAATGATGTACACCTGAAATTTACACAATTTATAAACGAATGTGACCTCAATAATATAATTTTTTAAAAAATAAGAAATCATATACGTACAAGATAGGTGCAGAAAGGACCCATCTAATTGTATGTCAATGGTTAGTTTCATGGGGGTGAACACAGGCTTCTATATTAGAGACCTGGGAATGGGTGAGGTACAAATGCAGCACAATAGCATGTCTGTAATTAGATTTGAGAGTAACTTCTGTCGCCCAGAAAGTTTTGGATAATTTGAATTTAGAGAAGAAATTAATGTGAAGCTCAAAACTACAACCTGAGTTTTTATAAAAGGACAATTGCATAAACATGGCTCATCTCTATGCATGCAAAAGAGTAACTCACTCTGTGTAGGGAAATCACACAGAGAAGATTTTCAATGCAGACTGTTACTGAATAACCAGTCTAGGATTCATATGTACAGAAGTGAATGAATGAATGTATGTGGCTAATCCCTTAACAGCCTCCATCTCCTTCCCAGCGGCAGAGATCTCACTCTGGAGATGACCCCTGTGAACATATCGAGTGTAATAAGGCTTTCACTTCACCCTCCCTCCCCCTACACTAGTCCCAGGTCCAACCAATCCCCGAATCACTGACACCAAATCATCCTTCAGCCTGTGCCTTCACAGCCAGAGAACGGGGACCTTATTAACCCCCAAGAGAGATCAATACAGTTTTGGATATCTTGGAATCATAATGATAGTAAGGATTTTGGCATCTTTTGAGCATGGTGACTATTGTTAATAATATCATATATTTGAAAGTTGGTAAGAGAGTAGATCTTAAAATTTCGCATCACAAGAAAAAATTTGTCACTATGTGTGGTGATGGATGTAACTAGACTTATTGCGGTGATTATTTTGGAATATATAAGATATCAAGACATTATGTTGTATACCTGGAACCAATATAATGTTATATGTTCATTATACCCAAATGAAAAATAGTCTTGTTCAAAAAACAAAAAAGAAAAAGTACATGAGTGGGTGAGAGGAATGGAGGAATGGGACGCAGAGGCCACAGGTGGAGAGGGGAGCCTCAGATAGAAGCCGGGGCAGTAGGGTAGGTAGGTAGGTAGGTAGTCAGTCAGTCAGTCCATTAGTTGGTCAGTCAGGCAGTTAGTTAATTAGTTAGTCAATGAGTTAGTTAGTTAGCCAGTCAATTATTGAGTTAATAAGTCACACATGGACACCTACTTCATGCGGCTCTTTACTATGAATTAACTTGAAAATGTCTACGTCTAGCCATTCTAAATAAATTGTTAGTTCTGTGGAGACAGAGACTATACATCCAGTGGGAAACCTTGCACACTGTGACACACAGTCAGGTCAGTGGGCATCACTGGATACCAGGCACCATTCTGGGCACTGGGAATTCATCAGTGACCAAGCAGCAAAGTCTCTTTCCTTAAAGAATTTACATTTAGAGGGAAGAGATGGACACTTAGTATGTAAAGGATTAGTCAGTCAGTCAGTCAGTCAGTTAGTTGTTAGTTCATTTGTTCAATAGTGAGTGACAGCAGAGTGAATGAGTTCAGGCCCAGCCAGGTGGTCAACCTCAGGACAGGAAGAGGAGGAGGCCCTTGTCAATCTCTGTCTGTTTCCTCCATGAGGTATGAGTTGAGCTCATCAACTGAGAGTGAGGGGGCAGTGACTAAGAGTTGAGGAGAACACGTACTCAGAGTACATGTACTGGAAGAGTATAGAAGTGTTGGTGTTGGTATGCATAACTTTGAAGGGAGTCCAGACAGCACATACATGTGACTTTTTCCAGCAATTCTCCGCCAGGATGGGCCCAGAGGTGGCAGAGAGGTGGCCCAGGTGGGCTAGGGTTTTGCCAAGCCATTGTGTTGGAGGGAGAGAGAAGCGAGGTGGGGTTCGCAGTGCTCTGCCTTGCCACCTGGGCTGTGCTAAGATAAAGCGAGGAGCAGGGGGCCAAGTGGGCAGGAATGTGGGTGAGAGAGAAGAAGGCTGTGGGTCAATGGAGGTTGGGTCATTGGAGGCTGGAGTTGCAGTGTGAAAATAGGTAAGTGGAAATGATAAAAGTTGATGGTCAGAGAGAGCAGGGTGTTTGAAATAGAGCTTTCATTAGTGGCCCACTTTAATGTTGACCCAAAGTCAAGGGTGGTCAGGGGGTGGTGGCAGAGGTGGAGTGGGGGCAGGTGCAGTAGAGGCCATTGACATGGATGTTGACACTGCCAAGGATGACGACAGGCGTGGAGGGAAAGCTAGTGATCCAGGCGCCACTGCCAGGACCGAAGAAGAAGAATGCGAGATTGGAGATTCCATGTGCTCTGAGAAAGCTGGGGTTTGTAAAGGATGAATGAGTAGAAATGGTTTGGAAGTGGCCGTGAGAAGAAAGATGCTATCCCAGGCCCAGACACTGAAGTGTGGTGTGAGGGAGATAAACAGCTACTCTTGAGGGCACAGGGAAAGTAGTATTTGCAGGAGATAGATACATCTTCAGTAAGAGGCGAAGAGAGACTTCTGCGAACAAGTGGAGACTGTAGGGAGTTTGCTAATGGCAGCAAGTTTCAGAAGGCAGGGGAAGGGTTGTGAAGGCGGTAAGAGGTGGGATATGGGGTCAGATCATGGGTGTATAGAGCAACATGGAGGGGAGTGTCCGTGTGGTAGGAGGTAACCTTGGGTGGCTAGACCTCTGCTGCTGACTGGGATAAACTGGAATGTGGGATGAGAGGGGATTCATCTTGGCGGTCTTGAGCATGCTGGGTATTGGACAAGTAAAATCCAGAGTACTTAACTGGAAGATCTGGGCCCCTAGGACATGGTTAATGGCTTTGCAAGAATCAGCTTTCTGGAATAGCTCATTGAGCTGTGTCAGCTCGAGGCAGGAATCTGGGGTGGTAAGTCCATCCTGGGCCAAAATCTCAGACTCCACAAATAGTTTTGCAATGGAGGTTGGGAGGGAAGGAAGATTTTACAGCCAGCCTTTAAGCCCATTGACCTGCTTCTCTGTTCGTCCCTATCAGATTTATTTTTCTGTGCTTTATATTGCTTCCTCACCTAGAATCTTTGCTTAGGCTGCAGAGCCCTTCTTGGTGTTCCCATGGATGTCGGCTTTGAACTGTACTTTGCTTTGTTTATATGTTGGGTCTCTCCCATCTTCCACAGCTTATAAACTGTTTGTGGACAAGGACCATGTGTTCACTCCATTTTATACCAACTGCCTTCTAGCTGATGACTGTTACCCTTGCTCTGATGGGATCAGACTCTAGCCTAAAGCTGGGAAGCGTCACACAAGATTGGTGCCTTTCTAGTTAACCCTCGGGTGCCGAGAAACGCCTCATTTGGCAACTCTAGGCTTATCTATATGGGGCTGGGGATCTGCTCAGAAGGACCTACCATCTTGGAATATAAGGCTAGATGAATAAGAGGTCCTTCCAATTGCAGGGAATTGAAAGGCAAGTTCAGAAAAAGGGCAAGTAATGCAAACCAGTCAGTCAGAGAGTGAGACAAAAGAAAAATTCCAGCACAGAATTGCTTTGTGAATAGTGGCAGAGCTGGCAAACTAACTGGTCTGACTTCCATCCCCCACCCCTTGGAATTTTTACCAGAAAAATGGCGGCTGTAGTGAATTTGCTATCTGCAATCACAGTGGATCAGAAGAAAGGACCTGTACTTGCAAGCCAAACTATATTGGAGATGGGTTTACCTGCCGTGGCAACATCTATCAGGTAAGGCAAGGCATGTGTCTGTGAAGTAAACTCTACTTCCCTCACCGTGCTAAGAATCCAGGTAGCTAAGGAATGTGCAAGAGTTTTGTAACATGTAAAGCTCTATAAAAATGTGAAAGGCAGTTTTGATATAAATTGGCAATGAAAAGAAATTTTATTACCCATGGGAATTCATTTGACCTGGAATGTAGTGCTTCAGATCGATGGTTCCAGAGTCAGAATTCACCTGGGTTTGAATTCAGCTCTGCCAATTTGTGATGTGACTTTGAACAGATTACATCAACTCTCTATGCGTCAGTTTCTTAACCTGTAAAAGAAAATAATGATACCAACCCCATAGGATATAAGAATTAAATGAGATAATGTGTGTAAAGGGCACAGGGCATACAAAATCAAAGGCATTGCCGTGATGTGGATTGCCATTGGAGTGTGTGTGTGTGTGTGTGTGTGTGTGTGTGCAGGCACACGAGCATCTGCACTGGGCGTAGAGGATGAGGCCATTTGATACTTGTAAATTTCAACCTATCATAAAGGGCACGTTCTGTTATTTGGTTTAAAGAGGGACTAGAGCATTCTGGCTGATCAAATGTTGTTAATAGAGTAACTAAATCTGCCATAAACCATATTATTTAAAAATATTTGAACTGTTAAAAATGTTCTTAAAGCTCAGATGCTTCTGGAAATGGCTGAGCCTTTCTTTGATAAATCAGATGGTGACTCCAGAAAGGTTTTGGAACTCATAAAGTATGTCCACATAGTCATCCTGAACATCAATTGTAAGCCTGTAGATGGGGCTTGAAAAAGGCCCAGCGCGGCAGATTTCCGGTTAAAAGGATGGTAGATTCTCTCAATCTTAGAGAAATTGTCCTGCAACAACTCACATTGTTCTTGACTATCATTCACAGACATTAAGTGAATCTGCCCTGTTTTTGTTTCCAGGAGCTTCCCAAGAACCCAAACACTTCCCAATATTTCTTCCAGTTGCTGGTAAGAATATGTGTGTCTGTTTAGCTTCAAGAGTTGGATCTCAAGCCAGATGCAGGATAACCCTGTAGCCCAGAGTTGATGAGGGTAGAAGAAAGGCTGGGAACCTGCATTTCTGGCCTTAGGCTCTGTGTTGGCCATTTGTGAACTTCTCAGGGCTCAGGCGGGCGGCGTGAAGGAGTGGAATGAGTGTCACGCTGGCCCGTTGAACATATCAGAATGCAGTATAAGAAAAAACTGCCATCGTACCAATGAAGAAAAGCATTACTGGGGCAATTAGTTAACTCTTTATATGAAAATATTAAGTTAGATCTTTCTGCACATCCTACATCTGAATAAGTTCCAGAGATATTAAAGAATAAAAGACAAAAATCTTGAAGAATAAAATCATAAAATCTAGAAGAAAATATAAGTAACCATAGGATCTTAGCATTGGCAAGGAGACAATTAGAACGGTTAAGTAAATCATCTTATTACTTATATTTGTATTCCCAATTATGTAAAATAGTTATGTGTGGAAGAGACACTGGAAAGGAATACCTGAAAATAACAGAGGTTACTTCTAGGTGGTGGGATTATGGGTAGTTATTTTCTTCTTTATGCTATGTTTGCAAATCTTCAATACAATAAGCACATGTTAATTTTATAAACAGATAAAAATAAACATTTATTTCAATGACAAAGAAACTGAAGGAATTTGAATCTAAGACTAAATAAAGTACAGCTCTCGCCATCCAGTTTTCACTCTCTGCCATTTGTTTGAGCCCCTGCCTGTATTTATGTTAAGTACATGGCATGGGGCCCCGCCTTTCTTCCCACAGGAGCATTCTGTACGAGACCTGGCTGGTCCAGGCTCCTTCACCGTTTTTGCACCTTTATCTGCAGCCTTTGATGACGAACCCCGGGTAAGCACGAAGCTAAGGCAAGTGGAAGAGGTTTGGGACTGGAACAGTCTTTGGGTGTCACCCTGGAACCAACACCGGAGACGTTTCTGGGCAGGAGATTTAGGCCCCGCTGGAGCTGACTAGCAATGGAAGGGGCTGCCTCCCAGCATCAGGACCCCTATCAGGGGAAGCATTCAAGTGGATTTGGGGGAATCACTGGCCAGAGACCCTCAAAGGACATTCCTGAATAGGGTAGGAGATTGGAAAAGACCAATAATTCTTAAATGATACAAACCTCCCATAGAAAAAAAAAAAAAAAAACAAGAGAATGCTGGATTAAAGGGACTTATTTTATTTTATTTATTTATTTTTTTGTGAGGAAGATCAACCCTGAGCTAACATCCATGCTAATCCTCCTCTTTTTGCTGAGAAAGACCGGCACTGAGCTAACATCTATTGCCAATCCTCCTCCTTTTTTTTTTTCCCCAAAGCCCCAGTAGATAGTTGTATGTCATAGCTGCACATCCTTCTAGTTGCTGTATGTGGGACGCGGCCTCAGCATGGCCGGAGAAGCAGTGAGTCGGTGCGCGCCCGGGATCCGAACCCGGTGCCAGTAGTGGAGCACGAACAATTAACCGCTAAGCCACGGGGCCGGCCCTGGATTAAAGGGATTTAAATAGCTTCTTTTCTTGCAGGACTTATCAAAGCCTTTACTGTTCTAACATTCACTGGGACTCTTCATGCTGGATTTCCCATTAATATATAATAATGTAGCAAACATCTATCGAGTGAAACACTGGTTCTATTGCCTGGCCTAGATTAATGCATTTAGTCTTCATGACAGCCCTGTGAACTGAATGCTATTATTATCCCCAAGCGGATAATACTTGTCGAGGACTTGGAGACAAGTAACTTTCCCAAGGTCACATGACCAGCAAACGGAGGAACGAGGACTCACACACGACTCCAGAGCCCACGTTCTTAACCACCGCACACTCTGCCTCTCTATGCACACATTTTGGGGCAAAGCAGGGGCACAAAAATAATTTTTTAAAGAATTTGACATTGATAGTTTTTTTTAAAAAAAAAAGCATCCAAGGAGTTATCATGAAACAATGAGAACCTCGTGGGCTTTTTATTACACCGACTTGGTGGTTAATATTGTCTGCATTTTGATTTACAAATGGAGAAGCATCGTGATCTTTTTCATGCTAAAGGTTTAAATCCGGCCCAGGGAACTCCCCAAGAGGGGGATGTACTATGCAGTGTTTCCCAGCATTTTTCACAAGAAAACTCTTTCTTCAAGTAGCATCTCATGCGACCTGGGTTCCTTGCCGCCTGTGTTGTGAGATGCTGGACCAGAGGTCCAAGTTCTCTTCCTCTCTGAGATTATACAACGGAAGCAGGAAAGAACTAGGGCCACTTTCTCCCTCTTGTCTGGACAGTGTCTATCCTGTCACCCTGACCACAAGCCAACCCTGACTGCCTGCTTCCCAGGGTCCCGGTGGGGAGAGCAATGCGGGGGAAGGTGGAGGAAGGGACAGCAAAAAGAGAAAGAGTCGGAGCAAAAGGCTCCTGGCTCTGGCTGGGACCCTCTGATCTTCTATGACAGATTAAAGACTGGGACAAACAGGGCCTAATGCCCCAGGTTCTTCGGTATCATGTGATCGCCTGCCACCAGCTGCTTCTGGAAAACCTGAAATTGATCCCGAATGTGACTTCTCTCCAAGGGGAGCCCATTGTCATCTCCGTCTCTCAGGTAAAGGAGGCCACTTCAGGAAGGTGCCCATTTTCCTTGGGCCCTCTCTCTTCTCCTCTTCCCTAGAGCAACACCAGTAATACTAACAACCACTGACACATATTGAGTGAGTTCTATCCGCCAGGTACTATTCTAAGTATTTGATATGTACTAACTCATTTAATCCTCAAAATAATCTCGTAATGTAGATACTATTATTTTCCCCAATTTACAAATCAGGAAACTGAGCTTAGAGAGGTTAAGTAACTTGTCCAAGGTCACACAGCAAGTAAATATTAGAGCTGGAATTCAAACTCAGAGGCAAGGCAGCTTCATCTGGTCAAGAGAACTGCTTCTGGCAGCATTGGTCAGAAGCTGGAGAGGGAGGAAGGCCACTTGATCAAAGCTTTTTGATCAAAGCCGTTTGACCATGCTGGTCCCCTCCCACCCCACAACAGAGAAACAGATGGTGGCTGTGGAATTCCTTTCAAAGGGAAAAAAGTGTGTGGTGGGGACAGATGAGGGGGTTGGTGGTATAGAGAACACAGGTGAAAGAGAAGCCAGTTTCGATCTGCTTGTTATTTCATATTTGAGAATCACAGTGAAATGACTATTTTGGTTGATTATTTGCTATTAACTTCTCCAGGTGAAAATTACATCTTATCTCAGTTTTCTTTTTATAATCATAGTAAAACCTGTGCTCAAATAACTTGGATCTTCAGATTTTGCCCACAGCTCTACTTAAACATTCACTTTCGTGATGATTTAACATGGTTGGTGAAGCCTTCCGAAAAAAAGCCATTTTGTATCTATTTTTGTTTGTGCTCATTTCGTTTTTTTCTTTTTTGGTTGATTTCAGGACACGGTGTATATAAATAATAAAGCTAGGATCATATCCAGTGATATCATCAGTACCAATGGAATCATCCACATCATAGACAAATTGCTGTCTCCCCAAAACTTGCTAATCACCCCTAAAGATGCCTCTGGAAGGATTCTGGTGGGTGAACTCACTGTCCTACTCCCTGCAGAGTGACTTATAATACTCATCATTTATTATCTCAACTCTGATTTTGAGGCATTGTTTTGAGACATTTTAATTTTGCTGCTTCAATCTCAAGCTACTATTAAAAGCCTAGTAAATATTATTCTTAGTAAAAAGTAAGTAGATAAGTCTATTTTAAATAGATAAATGGATTTTGTAAATTTTTCTTTGGTGTCCGTGAAGACAGATGGTCCTGCATAGATTTGGAAGATGGAGAAATTACATAGATGGAGGATAGATAGATAATAAGTACACAGACAGATAGGTGATAGATAGATAGATACATAGATAGATAGATAGATAGATAGATAGATAGATAATAGACAGATAAATGATACATAAATAACACTAAACCTAAACCTGAAATAAAACTTTCTCAATTGACAGAAAAGACTATTCTAACTTTTATTGTTATGTGTTAGTATTGGCCAGGGATCTTCATTGCAAACAACAGAATCCACTATACCTAACTTAAAACAAAAGGATTTCTTAAGATATTAAGTACACCATCAAATCTCTTGGAAGGCCAGAGAGCCTAATTCAAGTGCTACACAGCTGGGAACATAGGAGCCCAGGGGTACCTGCAAAGGAAGGACACCTGACTTCACCACGGGGCTGTCCCGACTGTCATAGCTCTGCTGGTGCCACCTCTCTCCAGCCTCACCACCTAGGACACAAGAGTCTGGACACCAGATGCCTCCACCATTGTGCTTGTCAGAAGATCTGATCTCCCCGCTAGCAGCCACAGCCACCTAACATTGTATCTTTCCACCAATCGGTTGCATAAGCTCTTCTGCTTGGTGGATCCTGTAACACCTATGGGGCTCTAGCTGCAAGGCAGTCTGGGAAAATGTAGTGCTCAGCCTCCCAGCCTTTCTAATGCAGAAAGGCATGGATGGGTACAACGGAGCTGGAGTGGGCACCAATGCGCCAATATCTACAGCAACTGCCACTTTTCTTAAAGTGCTCTGTGAACTGTACGAGGAACGATCTCATTCCCATTCTTATTATCTTTGCAGCATAATCTTACGACAGTGGCAATAAACCACGGCTACGGCAAATTTAGCAACTTAATACAGGTAAAAATGTAGGAGAAAAGTTGCCTCAGGGGATAACCTGCCTAAAGAGGTTTGTTTTCTGGAGGGTTTTTTGTTTGTTTTCTGTTTTGTTTCGTTTGGGGCACTAGCCAGCTGTTGTGGGATCCGTGTGGGGAAATCCTAACTTTCTAGAGAGCAAAGTCATTCTCTGCCACTCCATTCCCAAAATGGGGTACGGTTTGTTCAGCTCTATAGTGTACACTGGCCAAGTTAGAAATTGAAGTATTTGAGGCTGGAGCAAGGGAAAGGAATTAGGGGGTGCCATTCCCTGAATCAGGCACTTCAGACCTGGGATCATCACCTCCATCATGGATATGGGGAAGCGAGGTGGAGAGCGGGGGAGCCTATGAAACAGGTAGACATTGCACTTAAAACCATATCTTTCTGACTTGAGAGACAGTTCCCACAAATTGAGCAGAAAAACTTCATGTCCAAGCAAAGATTGCAGAGGAGAATCAGGGAGGAGCAGGTCCTCCCAGGCCCCCTGTCCTCCACTTACCCCAAGACGTTCCAGGAAGGTTCTAAGAACCCTGAGCGCCCCCATAGCACAGTCTACAAACTTCTGCATAGACCAGCGATTTCCAAAATGGTCTGGGGCTAAGACTTTCTGGGGAGGCTTTTAGAAATGGAGATTTCAATGTGCTCAAAATGAAAATCTCCAAGGATGTTACAGACAAGGTAATCTTTATTGCCCACCCCCAAAACCTTATAGTCACCCCCACACTTGGGCATCAGCTCTGGTTGAACCCAGGCTTTTATAGCAAATTAGCAAACCTCTCTGGGGCTCAATAAAAGGGACTAATAAAGCCTACTTCATAGGGTTGTTGGAAAAGTTACAAGAAAAAAATGTATATGATGCACCCAGGTTATAGAAGGCTCTCAAAATGATTCCTCCCCATTCATCTGGCAATTTCCTTTTTGGGTCTATGTGATCTAGAAATCCTATAAATATGCAGAAGTATATCAATATTAAATAGGTTTCACTTTTTTAAATGAAATATGAGAAAAATGCTAAAAGGGTCTTCGAGAAATTAAAATACTTGGGCAGGAGTAGTAGCAAAAAACAAAGATATTTGCTAATTTTCCTATTAACAAAAGCCCAGAATTTGACTTTCTGTTTTGCTTTTCTAAGAAAATGAGGGTCCCAATGGCTGGAGTGTGTAACCCCTGAACCACTCAGAGACCCAATAAGCCCTGGGGCGGGCACAGAGGGGCCCCCAGCTGCCTCTGGTCCTCAGACTGGACCCTCTGCTCATGCTGGGCTTTGCCACGTACGTGACCAGCTCCCTGCGTTTCAGGATGCGGGCTTGCTGAGCGTCATCACTGACCCCATCCACACTCCCATCACTCTCTTCTGGCCCACCGACCAAGCCCTCCACGCCCTCCCCCAAGAACAACAGGACTTCCTCTTCAACCAAGATAACAAGGACAAGCTAAAGGAGTATTTGAAGTTCCACGTGATCCGAGATTCCAAGGTATTTTGTTTTCACACAGAAGTGAGTACAGTGATGCCCTGGGGTGATCAACTCCAGGAATTGTCGGTGTGTCTCAGGCTCCTTGGAGGCCTGAGCATCCCCTGCCCTGCCCAGTCCTCCTCTGACTGGCCGTGGTTAAATGACCCCTGCAGTATACCACATCTGGTTCTGGTTCTATGACCTGCCATTTTTTTTTTTCTAACTCTAACCGATACCCAAGAGCATCCATCATTCCTCTCTTGTACTGCACATCAGCATTTCTCTTCCCTAGTTCACGTGGCAAAATGGCTGCTGATAGCGGTTCCCAAGTTTCTCCAGATGGACTCTTTCTCTCCCAGTTCCAAAACTTCTAGGCAAAGAACTGGTCGATCCAGCTGTGATCAGTTCACCCTGAACCAATATACTGTGATGAGAGAAGCAGGATCTTGTAGGAACATGGCAGCTCTTGCTAAAACTCTATCGCTCTGAGTCCTCAACCAGGAGCCGTGTCTCTCTCCAGGAGCGAGTCTATCCAATCTGAGAATGCCAAATGCCCTAACTCTGGTTAATCCATCGGACCTGTATTAGTTTCCTAGGGCTGCCCTAACAAATTACCACGAACTGGGTGGCTTGAAACAACAGAAATTTATTCTCTCAGAGTTCTGGAGGTTGAAAGTTCAAGATCAAGGTGCTGACAAGGTGGTTCCTTCTGGAGGCTCTGAGGGAGAATTTGTTCCATACTTCTCTCCCAGCTTCTGGTAGTTGCTAGAAATCTCTCGTGTTCCTTGGCTTATAAATGCATCCCTCCAGTCTCTGCCTCTGTTGTCACATGGCTGTCTTCTCCCTGTGTGTTTCCATGTCTTCACATGGCATTCTCCTCTTCTCTCTTCTTCTTATAAGGACACCAGTCATACTGGATTAAGGGCCCACTCCACTCCAGTATGACTTCCTCTTAACTAAGTACATCTGCAACGACATTATTTCCAAGTGAGGTCACATTCTGAGGGGGTCAGGACTTCAATAAAGTTTTTGGGGGGACACAACTCAACCCACAGCGGTGCCCTACATGCCCTATACTATTTCCCTAACCCACTGACCCTGCCTTTGGCTTCATGCACCAAGACAGCATCTCCCATGTACTCCCAAGCATAGAGCGGGGATGCAAGGGTGACTGAAACCAGCCCCGCTGCCAGAGACTTTCCCTGCAGACAGAATCTCCACCTTCCTAGAGAGCCCATGACCATCCTTCCTTTTGATTATAGCTACTGTCATTTTAAAGCTGGAATTACTAGAACTCTTGGATAACTTATATCTGAATTGGGTTTGTTGGCAAAGCTCCTTGGGGCCCTTCTTCAGCCCAGATTTGCGGTATTGAATGTGGCACCATCGCTCCACAGATTTCAACAGTGGATCTCCCCAGAGCTGCTGCCTGGAAGACCCTGCAAGGTTCAGAGCTGAGTGTGAAGTGTGGAGCTGGCCGTGACATTGTGAGTATTGTCGCCCAGGTGGGAGTCAGGAACCCATTAACAGCATCCCCCCAACCACTGCTCCTCAAGGAGAGGGTCATTTTTTCCCCTGTTGACAGCAAGCTCTTTTCTCTCAGGGCCTTCAAGGCTGTTTCCCCCGGGAGTAAGTAACTGGATATGGAAATCTGAGAAATCCTGGCTAGCCCATGCCCTGCTAGCAGGTGGCAGGGAGCCCCCCTTACACTTGTGGAGAGCAGCTTGCGGTTGATTTTTTTTCCCCTTTTTTCTTTTTATTTCATTAGTTTTTTTTGTAGTGCACTTCTTCCCATGAGACATCTCCCTGAAGTGGGGGAGTACACTGTCATTCCTTTTCCTTCCTTCCCAGCCCTACTGCAGCCTCCCCTTCAGCCTTCTCTTGGCAGTCAGAGCCAGCTCTGGGCTCCACCCACCTAGATCAGCCAACAAACAAACAGTTTGCAATTTTCACCTTCCCTGGCTAGTTCCTGGACAATTTTACCTTCCTATAATTCCATATGATGAAAGGGTCTGATAGGATAATAGTCGCTACATCATATATCTTGCATATAATGGAAAATCCAAGATGACAGCGGCTTAAATATATAAGGGTTTCTCTCTCTTGTAAAAGAAATCTGGAGGTAGGCAATCCAGAGATAGTATGATTGCTCAATGGGAGAGCTCCCTCTGTTTTTCTGCTCTGCAGCACACGTTTCCAGCCCCATAGTCACCTCAAGGTCCAACATGGCTGCTGGGGCACCAGCCACCATGTCCACTTTCCAGGCAGTAGGAAGGAGGAAGAGCAAAAGGGATGCAGATCCCAGCTGCATTGACTCCTGTCAAGGGACCTTCTGAAAAGTCCCATACAACATTCTGTTTACATCCTATGACCAGCCAGAATCCCTTTGGTGTTTAGATTGGAATTGCATTGAATTTATCACTGAAAATGAGGGAGTGTTAGCAGCTTTACAATCCAGCTTCTGGAAAGTTATCCCAATGTACTTACACTCTTGGGTCAGCTGTACTATCTCCATAGACCAAAGTCGACACCTATCAAAGAAGTATAATAAGAACATCACTGCTCTTTCTGTGTGCTAATATAGCTTCCAGAGCAGTGTGCAATGTATTATTCAGTTTGCTCTTTAAAACAACTCTATGCGATGGAATCATTAATCCTATTTACCTGGTGAAAAAAATTAAAGCTCAGAAAAGTTCAGTGACTTGCCCACAGTCACGCAGCACGTAAGTGGAAGTGGATGGATTTAACCAGTTTTCCAGTGTTCTTTCCACTGAATCACACTGTGTCCATCCCATCAATAGATGCTGAGATTTATCTTTTTTCTTTTCACAGAACTTTCTAAAAGCATTTTGCTTCCTGGGGGGAAAAAATGTATCCATCAATTTACTAGCTGGGTGGACCTTATGGAAGAAAGCCCTAAAATTGTTGCAAGCATTCAATGACATAATGTATCTAAAGCACAATTTAGACAATGGCTAGTACGTGAGAAAAGAAGTTATTATTATCATTATAAAGCTAAAGCCCATCACTTGTATATCCTGGAAAGAAGGTTGTGCCAGGCTAAGTGCTGGCACTAAATAAGAAGACTGAGTTATGCACATGAAGTGGCCACATCAACAGAGTTTATCCTGAACCACAGCCAGGTCCTCCCTGTGCCACCCTGTCACCCCCGCTGCCACTATCTCTACTTTGGTAGAGGCAATGTTGCAGAGCGGCCAAGAGTGTGCGTGTGGAGGCTGACTGCCGGGGTACAAATGCCTACACCACCACTTACTGGCTACACGACCTTGGGCAAGTTATTTAACCTCTCCCTGCCTCAGTTTCCTCATCTGTAAATGGGGATACTAGTAATAGGTGCTACATCCTGGGGTTGTGGTGAGGATTAAAAGAATTTGCACAGGTAGAGCACATGGAACAGTACTTGGCACATCCCACAAGCTGGGTGTCTGCTAGTCTATATATTTGTATTCTTAGTTCTTTCTGAATCTTGAGGTGCTGGCCACATTATATGGAAGAAGAGAAGTCTGAGAAGGGTTGTTGACTGTTTCCCCTCTCTCTCTGTCTCTGTCTCTCAGGGTGAGCTCTTCCTGAACGACCAAAGGTGCAGAATTGTGCAGCGGGAGCTCTTGTTTGACCTGGGTGTGGCCTACGGCATTGACTGTCTACTGATTGATCCCACCCTGGGGGGTCGCTGTGACACTTTCGCCACATTCGACATCTCGGTCAGTCCTAAAATCAATACTGTAGTGGAGAACCTTGGGGCAAAGAACAGCCCACATGACCCAGCATGGACCCTGCTGTGAAACCACTGAGGGCTGGTCCTCAGTGAGCCCAGGACCCAAGAGAGCTGAGGGCCAAATGACGGTGTTCTTCAGACTCGGAATCCACAAGTGTCTGCTTAGCCCTACACAGGCCTTGCACATTCTCATTTATCCACCCACCTGCGCATCCATTCATTCCCTCGCCATTAAGGAAACAGTTGTTGGGTACCAACCATGTGCCAGCTCTTCTAACAGTCATTTTCCAACACACCCATCCATTCAGTCATTCACTCATTCATTCAACAAACATTTTTTGAGCTTCTGCCAGCTTAAACCATAAGAAACTGCCATAGTTGACAGAGTGTAGCAATTTCGTATGGTTCAATCTAACATTATATGCCAACCACACCTCCATTCATTTACTCATCCATTCATTTAACGACACTGATTGAACTTCTGTCCTGGGCCCTGCCCTGTATGAGGCATTTTCACATTTCACACTCATTCATCCATCCAGTACCATTTATTGAGTACTACCCCTGAGCCAGCCCTGGCTCAATGCCCATCTTACCCCTACAAGAATCCAATAATAGAAGTAGTTATCGTCAACTCTATTAGGGAGATTTGGAAATTGAGTCTCAAAGAGGTGAAGTGACTTACATGGTAAAGTATGTCACCAGTTGATTTTGATACCTGGCAACTTGTAGGCATTCGATAAATATCCCAAATTATTCAGATACCAATCAGCCAAAGTAGGAGATGAAAAACCAGTTGTCCTTTCTGCTATGGAGGTTGTGGCCTTCTTAACTTCCTAAGTACCTTCACACACATCTGTTCAGTTAACCATTTTCCCTCACCAGTCCCCTGAAGATGAAACAGCAGCAACAATTATTCTCCCTATTGTATAGATCAGAGAATTAAGGATTGAAGAGTGTGATTGGTCAACTGCGACCTCATTTCCCACTGTGACTATGCCCGTGTGACACGGACCTGGTCCAGCTCTGTGTAAGAGGGAACTCTGCACCCCAAAGAATTAAACCAAGGAGCCGAGGTCCAAGACAGACCTTCAGAATTCTCCACGGCAAAGTTGCCGTGTGTTTGCTTTTAAATTCTTGATCATAGCCAGAATCTTAATCAAGATTAATTAAGGTGTTAGTCAACTCATCAAGGCGTTAACCACGGGCATTTCCTTGTGTTTCCCAATATTCATGATTTCTAAGTGTTTCTTTTCTTGCATACTAGGGGGATTGTGGGAGCTGTTTCACTACTCCTAGCTGCCCAAGATGGACTAAACCAAAGGTAACTATGAATGCAGTGATAACATTTGGAGAACAATAGGTTTGTTTCATTATCAGACCCCAGTCTTCTGGTAGGTGTGAGTATGTGTGCATGTGTGTGCATCTGTGGGTGTGTTGTATAATTTATGTCATTCTTCAACAACCAGGCCAATGGGGTGAGAGACAAACATTCTTAGCCCAGGCAACCTGTCAACTCACTGCCCACCTTCTAGGACTGTATAGAAATGTCATGGGATTATAGACCTAGAAGGGACTTCAAAGATAATTTTCATTATAAAAATAATAGCTGCATTTTTGTGGCTGCTGTCCGTGTCCCTGGCTCTGTGCTGGGCCCTTTATACATTATCCCTATTTCTCATTATAACATTCATAGGAGGCTATTATTACCTCCACTTATGAAAAAATGAGTCTCAGAGAGGGTAAGAAATCAGCCCAAGGCCACACAGCGAATCAGGAGCAAAGGTAGTATTAGAGCCCAGAAAGCAATGTAAGAGTAGTGGTTAAGCCAATGAAATTTGGAGTTCACGGATATGGGGTCAAATTCCAGCAGGTAATCTGTGGCAAATCACATAATCTCTACATTTTTGCCTCTGTAAAATGGAGCTAATAACAATTCTGTGTGTGGTTATTAGGAAAAGTAAGTTTTAAAATGTGGGTAGGAAGCTCGGCACATAGTAAGTGCTTATTAAATATTGGTTTTATTACTTATTCCAAAGCCAAGTTCTCTCTACTCCAGTAGTAAAACCTCTAACAAAAACACCCCTACAAAATAAAACGTAACTCATAACCGCCCTACTGATGATTTGGGGGCCTTGCCGCAGACCCCTCCTGCCATAGAAAGCTACCTCTCCCCCACTTCCTCCCTAGGCAACCACACCTTTTGCAAACAGCTCTAAGGGTCAGCGAGACCTTCCTCTTAAGACTGGGGAGAAATCTTCCTTTCGTGCCCCCTCCCCCATTCATTTACCTATTACGCCCGTAATTTCTTGCAATGGGCTCACAGCCGTTGAGTGTCATTTTCGACTTGGGCAGTACCCGGGATCCTCCACTGGGGGCGGACTAGAGCCCAAGAGCCCTGTCCCCGCGGTGGCAGGCGAGGGACGGTTCACTCTCTTTCTTTAGGGCGTGAAGCAGAAGTGTCTGTACAACCTGCCCTTCAAGAGGAACCTGGAAGGCTGCCGGCAGCAGTGCATCCTGGTGATGCAGCTCCCCAGGTGCTGCAAGGGCTACTTCGGGCGAGACTGTCAGGGTGAGGGCGCCTCTTACCGCCTCGCGACTCGGAAAGGATTGTGCGATCACTGGGCAGCTTTGGGGAGTACTCAAATTGTAAAGGGGGAGAGGGGGAGTTGCATCGCTCCTGATGACTCCGCTCAGATAAGATCCAAAAGCAATCATTCAGAAGAGCTGTGTAGCTTGCTTTCTACTTTTTTCTTTTGTCGTATTTTGTTTTTTTAAAGAACTGAGATTCTACTGTGCATAGATTCTAATTGTGTCTTGCTTTTTTGCTTAACTTATAGCGTAAGACATTTCCCATGTTGCTAGAAACACCACATTTCATTTTTGACGCTAGTCCATGATACTGATAAGCACGTGAGTTTAAATGAGTTTAAATCTAATAGAATTGGCAGGATGCTAGACTAATATGATATGTGTGGGCCATTCTTTCCTGAAACCCTCCTGTTGTAGGATGTGTAACATCGCCCTCCCTCTCTTACCTCCTTCCCAAAGGGCATTTAGGCCCATCCCGAAACCCCTGTATCTAGATACACCTTCTGGCCAATAATACATCAAAAACAGGAGCATAACAAATACCATGGCCCTTCCCATCTGCCATGCCTTGTTTTAAGTAACCACATTTATTGAGTGCTACTTCCAGTATATATCAATACATTTAAACCTTGCAACAACCCCTAGGAAGTAGATGCCATTGTTGTCTCCGTTTTACAAATGAGAAAATGGAGACACAGAGAGGGTAAGAAGCAAGCCCCTGGTCCCACAGTGTGTCTCCAGAAGCCATGGTTTTAACTACCATGCATACTTCTCTGTTCTTCCTGGTCCAGCTGAGAAAACTCTGGGCTGGGAGTTCACGCAATCACCCAGCCTCCACTCTGCATCACTAAAATGTGGACCATTCACAAAAATCGGGGCCACCTCTTATATTTGTTCAGTGCTTTGTCTTTTCAAAATGCTCTCAGTTACAGTACTTCGTTTGATGCCCATAGTCACGATGTGCTATAGGTCAAGTGGGCACTCTGTCATCAACGTCATCATCTCGACCTAAGAGAACTGAAGCTCAGAGCAAGTTCATTATTTAGCCCAGATCTACTCAAATAAAGGTCTCCTGACCCCCCAAAACAGTGCACGGTTCAGTATATTGCCCTGCCAAGATAGAATCCTATCAGATACACTTAAGTTCATGTCCCATAGGCCAGTGGCTTGCCCTAAACATCCAGTGACACTATGTGGGTGTGTCCCCAGGGCCACCATCCCTCTGGGCTAATGGAGGTCAGAACCCACAGCTGAGGACAGGTTGGCAGCACATTTACAAGGGTGCTGAGCTGCTCTGGGTCTGGGGACACTGTTGAGTCACGGCTGTCTCATCTCTTCCAGCTTGCCCTGGAGGACCAGATACCCCGTGTAATAACCGAGGTGTCTGCCTCGATCAGTACTCGGCCACGGGGGAGTGCAAATGCAACACCGGCTTCAACGGGACGGCGTGTGAGCTGTGCTGGCCAGGGAGATTCGGGCCTGACTGTCAGCGTATGTGGCCCCCTCCCCTGTGCTAGCCTGTCGTTCAGCTGTGTGTTCCCTGTCCCCATCCACAGCATCCGCCTGACCTGGAAGCATCCTTCTTCCTCTCTCTCCCGACCACCCACTTCCCATCTGCCTGCCCTTGCATGCTTTTCCCCTCCTTGGATGTGTTCCCAGTTTCTATCCACTGAAAGAGCCTCATCTCTGGAAGTGAAACTCACATCCCCTGCAGCCACCAAGGCAAGCTGTGGCTGAACCACATTCAGTCATTCAGTCATTCAACCAACACATATTTACTGAGTCCTTATGAATATTGCTGGCTAACATTTATGGAGTGCCTACACTGTGCCAGGCACGGAGATTTACCATATAATCCTCACAACAACCCTTTGAGGTGGGTACTATTATTATCCCCACTTAGCAGATGAGAAAACTGAGGCACAAAGAGGCCTTAAGGGACTTGCTCAAAAGCCAGGAATTGTTCTAAGTTGTAGGGATACAGTGGTGTGGGGAGGGGGCAAAATCCTAGCTCTCAAGGGATGTACATTCAAAGGGAGGAAACAGATAAAAACTGCAGAAACAAAAATAGTTACAAAGGCTATAAAGCAAAAGAATCAGATGAAGAGGAGGGAGAAGGAAAGGAGGCGCTGTTTTTGAAGACATCTCACAAAGGGAGTATTTGACTAGAGACCTAAGCGAGGTGTGGGAGCCAGACATGGGGATATCATCAGCAGCCCTGTCCAATCGAATTTCAGCAATGCTGGAAATGTTCTATAACTCTGCCATCAGGAATGGTGGCCATTGGCCACATATGGCTATTGGACTCTCAAAATGTGTGACTGAGGAACTGACTTTTTTGTTTTAACTAATTTAAATTTAAATAGCCATGTGTAGCCAGTGACTACTGTACTGGACAGCACAGATTAGAGGAATGGCTTTCCTAGAAGAGAGATGAGCAAGTGTAAAGGCCCTGAGGCAGCAGCAAGCTTGGCATGCAAGGAATAGCACAGAAGCCAGGGCGGCTGAGCAGAGGGGCAAAGAAGAGGAAGAGAGGAAGGAAATGAAATCCGAAGGTCACCAAGGGCCAGATAACATAGGAGCTTCTTGGCCAGAGACAGGTCTTCAGCATCTATTCTAAGTGTGATGGGCAGCCATGGAGGATTGTGAATGGAGGAGTGTCATGAGCAGATTAGAAAGGATCATTCCAGGGCCAGCCCGTGGCTAGGCGGTTAAGTGCGCGCGCTCCGCTACTGGCGGCCCGGGTTCGGATCCCGGGCGCGCACCGACGCACCGCTTCTCCGGCCATGCTGAGGCCGCATCCCACATACAGCAACTAGAAAGATGTGCAACTATGACATACAACTATCAACTGGGGCTTTGGGGGGTAAAAAGAAGGAGGAGGATTGGCAACAGATGTTAGCTCAGTGCCGGTCTTCCTCAGCAAAAAGAGGAGGATTAGCACTGATGTTAGCTCAGAGCTGATCTTCCTCACACACAAAAAAAAAGAAAGGATCACTCCTGCTGCCCTGTAGCAGAGCAAGAGCAGAAGCAGGGCCGATTTGGGGGAAGCTAATGCAGCAACCTAGGTGAGCACTGGTGGTGACTTGGGCTGGGGTGGTATTGCTGGGGGTGGCGAGGAGTGGAAGATTTTACATCTCTTGAAGATTTTACTGTTAACTAGATTTCTCGTTAGGAGGCCCCAGATGAGTTTCTCTCCCCCTTCTATTCTGTTACATACCCATGACACCCTCTACTTCTGTGTTTATAACACTCACCGTATTATAATTACATGTTCAGTAGCCAGTTACTCCTAAACCATAAGTTCCATGACAAGAGGGACCTTATGTCTAATGTTTTCCACTGTAACCTCATTGCCTGCTAGTGTCTGCCCCATGATAGCCACTGAATAAGCTATTTTTTGAATGTTTGAATGAATGAACGAATGACTAGGGCATAAGGATGGTGCCTCCTACACCGACAACACAGCCAGCAGGTGGTCAGCGAGCAGGCTGACTGGATTTCAATCCCTGATCACCAATTCCTGATCACACTCCGATTTGCTTTACAGCCTGTGGCTGCTCGGACCACGGAGAGTGCGATGACGGGATCACGGGCTCCGGGCAGTGCGTCTGCGAAACAGGGTGGACGGGCCGCTTCTGCGACACTCAGACAGGTCTGTCATGGGAGCGGTCAGCCACCGGCAGCACCATGCTGCAGTGGTCGCTGCCAAGAGCATCCAGCTGAGCTTGGGGGGTCTGACTGACACCTGGAAAAAACAGCAAAGCAGGTGTTCCCTTTTCCACGAGGAAAAGATGCTTTGGATGTGTGGCCCCAGGCCTCAAGAGGTTTGGCGACTTGAAGGAAAGTTAGATGAAAAGATTTAACGCGAACCCATGAAACCACCATGTGGTCAGCTACAATTGTGGAAGGACCCATCTCAGGCAAAGAATACAGGACTGGGCAGGAATGGTCCCTCAGGATCGTGGTCCTGGGCCCAGATGTGTACTGACACAGAGGTCAAGTGGTTTCATAGAAAACACACGTAGAAAACCAGGATCTGGGGGCTGGCCCTGTGGCGTAGGGGTTAAGTGCACACGCTCCACTGCTGGCAGCCCAGGTTCGGATCCCGAGCGCGCACCAATGCACCGCTTGTCAGGCCATGCTGTGGCAGCGTCCCACATAAAGTGGAGGAAGATCGGCACGGATGTTAGCTCAGGGCCAGTCTTCCTCAGCAAAAAAAACAGGAGGACTAGCATGGATGTTAGCTCAGGGCTGATCTTCCTCCCCAAAAAAAAAAAAAAGAAAACCAGGATCTGACCCCTGATTCTGCTACTTACTAGACAAAACAGCATGGGATAACCCACCCTCTCTGAGACTCAGAGACATGCTCATCCCTAAAAAGGAGTGCATGGTGCGCATTTTGCAGGGGGAGGATTGTTGTGAGGGTCAGAGGTGGTATTTTGACATGCCCAGTGTATGTGGGTGCTCACAAAGAGTAGCTGCCATTATCATTGTCACCGTTATCATCGTCGTCAGAATCTTGATCCTCACTGAGCAGTCAGTTTTCTGAAGCCTCTCTCGTACCCAAAGCCCTGTGTGCTGGTGGAAGGTCTGAGATGTGAAGGTTGAATTATCCAATGTGCATCACTGTCATTTCATTCTCCCCGGGGTCAGAAGGGCATGACTAAGCTCTTCCTATGGGCTTTAGCAACTTGAAGTTCCAGAATTCCGATAGTACCCTTAACTTCAGTTCCTCCTCCTCCCCCCTCCTCCTCCCCTACCGCCCCATGGCTTCATGCTGCCTGTTGACCCTGCAGCCCCATCCAACCACCAAAGCTCCAGACTTCTCCCAAGCCCACTGGTGCCCTCAGAAGGCCATGGAACTTCTCCTCCAATTTAACCATCTCCATCTGGAACCCCATGCCCTTAGGGTAATCTGCCAAATTCATCTCTGCTAGCAAATTTTGAGGTATAAAGTTTTAATTGGTTGCCCCTAAAGGTAACATGTTTGCATTTTAATCTGGATAACATTGCAGAGACAATGTCATAATATAAAGGAGTAATTCTGGAATCTCAGAATCTCCAGGCTGGGAGGGACCTTAGCAAGTCACCTGCATCCTCTCGCTGCAAGGGGGCACTTTTGAAACACAGTGGAGGTCAGAGAGTCTTGGGAAGACGCCTTAGGTGGGTCCCAACTCTTCATGGCATGCGTGCAGGACGAATGGTGACCTTTTTCTTTGCAGTTTTACCCCCAGTGTGCACACCTCCTTGTTCTGCTCATGCCACCTGTAAGGAGAACAACACGTGTGAATGTAACCTGAATTATGAAGGGGATGGAATAACGTGCACAGGTGGGTCCCCTCCGAGCATGTGTGAAATACCAGCGTGCTGCAGGAGCAGAGCTCGACTCTGTCATAGTGCCTGGGCTCCAGCCTGGCCCTTTTACTTCCTGCCTGGGCCACTTGGCAATACCCACCTTCTCTGCAACTCAGCTTCCTTGATGGGTTTGTTCACATCTGACCTGCCCACCTCCCAGCTCATGAAATTGCTTTGCAAACTGTGAGGCACTTTATTTTACAGCATTTTTGTAACTCTACAAGTAATCCAGTCATACTTTAAAAATTTCAGAAAATACACTACAGTATTGAAAAAACAATGGCAATTAAACCTACACAGACTCACCACTCTGTGAGAACCATTCTGAACATTGCAATGGCTGTCTTTAGCAGTTAGGATATAGGTTCAGCCACACAGGCTCATAGAGACCCAAATGAACAGTGACATAAAACAAGGCAGAGGTTTAGATGCTTATTCTTATTTCAAATAACAGTTTGAATGGAGGCATCCAGGGCTAACCTAGGGTTTCACTCTGAAAGGTCATCGGGGGCCCAGCCTCCTTCTATCTTGTTGCTCTGCCATCACTCACCTGCCTGGCCCTAGATGGCCGCTTCCATAAGCACATCCCAGGCAGCAGGATGGAAAAGGAGAAGAAGGAGGCAAACCTCCTTCCCTGTAAGGATACACCTAGAAGTTGCTAAAATCCTGTCTGCTCCCATCCCATTGGCTGGACCCACATCATCTGTCACACCTAGCTGCAAGGGAGCCTGGGAAATGTAGTCTTTGGCTGGGCAACATGAGCCCAGCTAAAAATCTATTACTATAGAAAAAGAAGACAATAGGTATCTGGGGAAAGCTACCCATCTTGGCCACAAGTACTTTTAACTTTTTTCTTGAATAAAAACTCATATAGAGATATAGACTTTCTTTACAAAAATGAGATCTTGCTATACCTGCTGTTTTGTAATCTGCTACAGGGCAGTCCAGAAGTGGGTCAGCGCTCAACAATGGCAGCAAAGACCTAGCTTCTGTCTTTCTGCTCTGCCATCCTTAGGGTGAGGCCTTTTGCCCTTATGTCTATTCTCTCAGGGTCTCAAGTGGCTGCCATGACTCCAGCGAAAAGGCAGGCAAGAGAATCAGACGGCTCTCCAGCTACTCCTGAGGCTAGAGCTAGTGTACTATTGGGCTGAAATTTGGGAGGCCGTGAAAACAAAGGTCATCAGAGGCAGCAGACACAGTGGGGAAAGCACAGGCTTTGGAGCCAAACCGACCTGGGTTTAAGTCCCGGCCCCCCACATTATAGCTGTTTTGCCTTTGTCAGTTCAGATAAGCTCCCTGAGTTTCAGTTTGCTCATCTGTAGAATGGGGGTAACAATGTCTGTCCCACAAGGTGCTCAATTGTGTGCTAACTCACACACACACACACACATACACACACATAGGCAACTGTCCTAACAGTAAACTCCCAAACTCATTCAGAAAACTACCAAAGTGAAGCCTAAACATATGTGACAACTGAGGGCAGAGGAGGACAAGGGCCACCAGGCCTGGTCTGTGAGGGTATTAGCCACAGGATATTAGTGTTTCCAAGGCCAGCACAGAGGGAGAGAGGTGCCGACATGTTGGGGCCTTTTACTCCCCCAGTGCCACTGGTCCTAGGATGACCTATGCCCCCAATCTGAAGCCCCAGTGACACAGATGGTGGTTAACTGAGCCCTCTGTCCCCTGCTCTTGCAGTTGTGGATTTCTGCAAACAGAACAACGGGGGCTGTGCAAAGGTAGCCAAGTGCTCCCAGAAGGGCACGAAGATCTCCTGCAGCTGCTCGAAGGGCTACAGGGGAGATGGCCACAGCTGCACGGAGATAGACCCCTGTGCGGACGGCCTCAATGGTGGGTGTCACGAGCATGCCACCTGCAGGATGACAGGCCCGGTGAGTCCCCCTTCCCTCGGGAAGTTTGGGAGCAGCTTCTCGTGCCTCACTCAGCTTGGGCTCTGCTTACCGTTCAGCCTCTTCTAAGCTTTCTTCCCACCTCAGTCTATTTCCTGTCAGGTCTGCGGGCTAAAAACAAGGTTATGTCCCAAGCAGATAAAGGACTTTAGTGGAAAAACTGGGGAAATCCACATAAAGTCTATTGTGTAGGCAATAGTAATGTACCAACTCTAATTTCTGGGTTGTAAGTAATTTACTATGCTGATGTGAGATGTTAACATTGGGGGAAACTGGGTGAAGAATATATGGGAACTCTCTCTGCTATCTTTGTACGTTTTCTATAAATCTAAAATTATTCAAAATAAAAAGTTTATTAAACCAAAAAGAGTTGGTAAGAAGTGGCAGGGAAAGTGCAAGTTGGGCACTCACTCAAGTCTTCTTAGAATGGACTCAGTGCCCTGTTGCTCTTTTATCTGTTGGGTAGAGAAGATGGTGGATGATAATGTCCGTTATGGTTATAAACGTGAACCTAGAGTCAGACAGCCTTTGCGTCTTAGCTCCTGGACTTAGACGCTGTGTGGCCTGGGGCTGGCTACTTAATCTCTCTGAGTCTCAGTTTCCTCATTTGCAACGTGGGCCTAATAATAAGGCAGACCTCATAGGATTGTTGTGAGGATTAAACAAGATTATTCATCGATTCAACAAATGGTGATCAAGCACCCACTGTGTGCTGTTGCAGAGGGTGGGGACAACACTCATTGCAGAAACAAATGCACAAGACACTTTCAGAGAGCACCAGGAGTCGTGGAGAACAGTAATTGGGCCAATGTGATAGAAGGGACCGGAGAGCTACTTTATTTAGGGGGCTTAGGGAGGGTCCTTCTGAGGAGCGACATTTGAGCTGAGATGTAAAGGATGACGTTTCATCACAAACCTGTACAAAAGCAAGACGAAGCACTAACTGAATTCCCACAGGACAGGAGAGGCATTTTTCTTGGTCTTTCTGAGCATCTCCTATGCTGGATGGCGGCCCGCAGAGCACTCGGGGGGCCTGGGGTCCTAGAGAAGGGGCTTTGTCATCTTTTCCCACTCTCCCCACAGGGCAAGCACAAGTGTGAATGTAAAAGTCATTACGTGGGAACCGGGATGGACTGTGAGCTGGAGCAGCTGCCCATTGACCGCTGTTTGCAGGACAACGGGCAGTGCCACGCCGATGCCGACTGTGCCGACCTCCACTTCCAGGGTCAGTGTGGCTAGGCACTGCTGGCCCGAAGCCCCTGGGCTTCCGGCTTGGGGAAGGGACCTGTGCAAGAACAAAAGGAAAAACAAATTACAAACCGAGTCCAAACAGCCTGATCATTGCCCAGGACCCAGCACCCAGCAGGCAGCAGGCTTCTGTCATAGAGGGAAGGACTAAACCCAGAATTGGACCCCAAGCCATCAGAACCAGGAGGGAGCTCAAAGGTCAACTACCATGAATCTTCCTGATACATGCTTTCCCCAAGTTGCTTAGTAACCCCTGCACCTGTTGACTGGAATTGAATCTCAGGAGCATAGTTTAGGGTTTCAATAACAAAGAGGAAGTGCCTGCCACATGCAGAAGCAATTTCTTAGCAGCTGTTTTGATTGGCACATATCCCATTGCACATAAGCACATTAATTGGCATACATCCCATTCACTTCCAAAGATTATTTGAAGGGCTTCTAATAAACCCACAGGTATAACAGAACTAAGAATCATAACACACGATAAAGTAAAAAGCCAAGTAGAAGTGCAGAGTGCGGGAGATAGGACATCTTGAAATTTGATGGGTGAAAGCCATAAAGGACCCACAATCGTAATTCTGAGCCAGGGCAAGGAGGGACTTCAGTGGTTCAGAAAGCAATTCAGAGCACCGCGTATTATGGCGGATCAAGATTTATTGGATGTCTCTGACTGGGTCAGGTTTGTTTTACAGACATGGTAATTTTAGTGAGGCAGTTTTTATACATCTCAATAACTATTGACTTAACATCTGTTGTGTACCATCTTAGTCCATTGGGGCTGCTACAGCAAAGTACCATAGACCGGGTGGCTTACAAACAACAGAAATTTACTTCTCTCAATTCTGGAGTCTGGAAGTCCAAGATCACGGTGCCAGCACGGTAGGGTCTAGTGAGGGCCCTCTTCCGGGTTGCAGACTGCCATCTTCTCATTGTATCCTCATGTGGCAGAAGGGGCAAGGGAGCTCTCTGGGGCCCCTTTTATAAAGGCTCTGCCCATTTATGAGGGCTCCACCCTCATGACCTAGTCACCTCCCAAAGGCCCCACCTCCTAACACCATCACATTTCAACATATGAATTTGGGGGGTACACAAACATTCAGTACATAACATATGTAAAGTCCTGAGACACCTCGAATCCCTTTTGGGGATGAGATAGAGGATGTATATAAGCAGGGGAAACATGTAGGATATATGACATTGTCTCCTTGCAAGGAGATTCCCAATGTAGTTGGAGAAATTTTTTTAATTAATAAGACCAGGAAAAGAAAGTAATAAGATAGAAGACAGCAATTTATCTCATGCTGATGGTGCAACTGAAATGAGAGAGAAAGAATAGAGAAAAGTTGAAAGCAGGGACTCAAACAGATATTTGTACACCCATATTCACAGCAGCCTTATTCACAATAGCCAAAAGGTGGAAACAACCCAAATGTCCATCAACAAATGAATGGATAAACATAATGTAGTATATCCACACAATGGGATATGACTCAGCTTTGAAAAGGAATGAAATTCTTATACATTCTACAACATGAATGAACCTTGAAAACATTATACTACGTGAAATAAGCCAGACACAAAAGGACAAATATTATATGATTCCACATATATAAGGTACCTATCATAGACAAATTCACAGAGACAGAAAGTAGAATAGAGGTTACCAGGAGCTGAGGGGAGGGGAAATGGAGAGTCATTATTTAATGGGTACCAAGTTTCTGTTTGGAATGATGGAAACGTTCTAGAAATGGATAGTGGTGATGGTTGCACAACACTGTAAATGTACTTAATTCCACTGAATTGTATATTTGAAATGGTCAAAAGGGAAAATTGCATGTTATGTATATTTTGCCACAATAAAAAAAAAATTTTAAAGAATAGTCAGAGAGGGGAAAGATCTCCAGGTAAGATGGGAGAGGGAGTCCTCAGAGAAGCTGAATAGAGGCCTGAGACTATGGTGGAGACTTGAGAGATGTTTGAACTGAGCTAAATACTGAGGAGCTGGGAAGGTATTTCTGCCTGGGGGACAGCATGGACAGCAGAGAATTCTCAAGGGTTGACTGAGAAGGACGAGGCAATGAGGAGGAGACAGAGCATCATATCAAGGCTATGACCCCAAGGTAACAGGGTCTCTACTGGGAGGAGGAATGAGACGAAGGAAACTTAAGGTTTCCATCTCAAGAGACCAAACCCAGTGGTGGTGTTGGGTCAAAGCAGATGGGAGGGAAGGTGACGAGAAGTTTGAAAGCTTGGTTGGGGACACTCTATGTTCATGATGATGGTGGGACTTCCAAGCAGAGAGATTTGATAGGCAGTTGCTATTTAGAATGGGGACCAGGGACGTTGATTTATGAGTCATTTGCTTCAAGGAGTGTGAAGTCAAGAAATGCTTGGTTTTTTTCTTTAGGGCACAATTCTTTCAGCCAGTTCTGCCTGTTCCCAGAGCTCACCGACAGGTGGAAATCTGTTGAGTTCATGGAGCATCATCCATCTTCTCCAGGGGGCTTTTCTCTTCTCCTTTCTTATGAATACCAAGAAAATGTTGGTAGTGATACTAAGTGACTGGGCATCACACTGGACCCACCTTCTGTTGTAACTGAGTGGTTACCCTTACAAGACAGGACAGCACTGGGGTAATGCCCCAGCCTTTCGTGTGGGCATGGTTACAGCCACCGCACACTCAAGAGGAAGTGCCTGTTCTCACATGGTTCAGAGAAGGGCAAACCAGCACAGACTGTACAGCAACCAATTTGACAATGTGTGCTCAGAGCCTGAAAGTAATGCATGCCTAGATTTGGTAGCTCCATTTCAAGGAGCACATCCTATAGAAACAATCTAAGAATTGAATAAAGATAAACATACCATCCTGGCATTACCTAACATCACAAAAAATTAGCAACAACATATAAGTAACAGTAAAGGATGATCAAATATACTGTTATACATCCACTTAAATGCACTATTAAGAATTGTGTTTTCTTGGCAAGGAGACAAGGGAAAAACTTCTTTTCATCCTTCCCCAAGCTGTTATATTGGTAAGTGTTTGCATTTCAGATAGACTGACAAGATCATATGACCTATGGAATGCACTACTGAGCTATGGTTTTAAAAGAAAGTCTTCAAGTTAGCTCTTTTTTGGTATAGAAACTGCCCTTTTAGTGGCATTTGATAAGGAATTTGACCATATAAAAATGTGATTTGGTTCTTGAACTATATTTCTGGTCTCTGTGTTCAATTGTCTAGCTAAAAAAGATCAGCTATGGAAAAATTGATAAAAATCTTCCATTATCTTAGTGGGAAAATGGCTAGAAAATTTTTTTAAAGGCATAGTGGTGATCATAAAACACACAGAGTCCTTGGCAAAAACTCACTTTAATGTATTTTTTTCATTGCTGTAAAGTTCACAAAAATCATTCAATTATAAGAATCGGGGGAAATCATGTTGCCAGAGAAAATTTATAATATTGGTAAATAATCATGATTTAATGTTGTTATACAAAAAGATTTCTAAAAACTACATTTGCAGTATACTGCCACATTTTTAATATATATGATATGTAAATGAATAGGAAAAAAGACTGGAAGAGTTTGAAATTATATCAAAAAAAAAAGTTACAGGGGCCTGCCTGGTGGCGCAGCAGTTAAGTGCGCACGCTCCACTGCGGCGGCCCGGGGTTCGCAGGTTCAGATCCCGAGCGCGCACTGATGCACCGCTTGTCAAGCCATGCTGTGATGGCGTCCCATATAAAGTAGAGGAAGATAGGCACAGATGTTGGCTCAGGGCTGATCTTCCTCAAAAAAAAAAAAAAAAAGACAAAGTTACAAAAAATAAAGTAAAAATTCTGGAAGGAAGTACACCAAAATACTAGCTATGAAATAATGGTTATTCCCAGGGAGTAGGATTATAGGTGATTTTTTTTTTGTTTCTTTTCTTACTTTTCTGTGTGGCCCAGATTTCTAAAATGAACACGTGCTATTTTTATAGTTAGAAAAGAAATAAATATTTAAAAGGACGGGCTTCAACACATCTTGGAGGAGGGTCACTTCCCAAGACACCCTCGGATACGGCTGGCCTTCCACTTTGAAAGTCCCTTGATGGAAGCACTGCCCACCTGGCGGGCTGACAAGGACAATTCCTCTCCTTCCCTTCTAGATACCACCGTTGGAGTGTTCCATCTACGCTCCCCGCTGGGCCAGTACAAGTTGACCTTTGACAAAGCCAGAGAGGCCTGTGCCAACGAAGCTGCAACCATAGCAACCTACAACCAGCTCTCCTATGCCCAGAAGGTAGGTTCCCAGTTGGTGGAACAGGTGCAGGCAGGGTCCCCAGGGGAGGAGGTGCAGCTTCTTCTTAACATAGGGGAGACTTAGGCTGTTGCCTTCCTGGAGAGGAGCGCAGGGAGCTCCTGGAGCAATAACGATTCATCACATCCATTGGGCATCTACTATGTGTCAGGCACAGTGTCGGTGCTTCATTGACATTACTGTCCATCCTTACAACATCCCTGGAGGTAGGAGTCCCTCTTGCCATTTTACAGATAGGGCACCCGAGGCTCTGAAGGTTTAGTAATGTGCCCAATGTCACCCAGCCAAGAGGTGGCAAATCCAGTATTCAAATGTAGCCCTGACTCCAAAAGTCTGTTCTCTTTCATGACGTTCAACCATCAAGGCAGAGGCACAGACTGGGAGTGCATACCTCACAGCTGGAAGCCAGAAAGAGATCAATAACCACAAGCCTAGGCTCTCCTTGAGCCCACAAAGCAGTCAAGTCTCTCTGGAATAGCTGGAGCTCTGTGTTTCTTGAGGGGCTGTGAAGGGAGTAAATGGGGATTGCCCCAGCTCTCAGCCACAGCCACCTAAGAAATGGACCTCTGCCAGGGCTACTCTCATGGCCTCTAAAGAAGCCCTGCCCATTTGGAAAGGCCAGCACCTTGGAGTTACCTGCTAGTGATCGCTCACTGGGAGTAGACAAGGTCTACATGGTATGATTTTAGGGCCCTTCCTCCAACCTCCATCACTACCAAATCTCTCTACATTTCTTCAGACCTGACGTTTCTGTACCAAGGAACAAAGCTTTTGATGCCAAGACCCAGCATCTTGGAGGGTCTGAATTTCTGCTCTCCTGCTTGCTGGTTGTGTGGCCTTGATCAAGCCATTGAAACCTCTGTCCTACTTGGCATGTTTGTAAAAAGACTAAAAGTAATAGGGCACAGTGACGGGCACACAGTAGGAACTCAATTTTTAAGATTAAGAGCTCTGGAGTAGATTGTATGGGTTTGAATCTCAGCTCTGCTACTTGCTGGCTGTATGACTTTAAGCAAGTTACTTAACTCTCTTTGCCTCAATTTTCTCAATTATATGATAGAGATTTTTTAAAAGTCCCTGTCTCAAAAGGTTGATGTGAAGGTTAAAGATGTTGACACATGAAAAGCCATTGCAACAGAAAGTGGCCCAGAATAAGCTCTCAATAAGTGTTAGGATGATGGTGATGGTGAGGATGATGGTGAGGATGATGACGGTGATGATGATGATGGTGGTGATGATGATGGTGATGGGAATGATGGTGGTGATGATCAATTAGAGTTCTATCAACCCGTAAGCAGAAGAATTTGCACCCAGGGGTAAATGGCTGATAGCACATCCTTTCTCAAGAGCAAAGAGAAGAGAAATGAGAGGGAAGGACTCACGCACCTACAAGAAAGAGAGGGCACCACTTTCATCTATCCAATGGCTCAATCAACAAAAATTTAATCAGCACCTATTATGTTCCAGGCACAGGAGTACAATAGGCAAAATGAGCCATAACCCCTCACTCCATGGATTTTACAGTCTGATGGGGGAATCAGACGTTAACCAAAGGACCCCACAACAAATATGAAATTGCAGCTGACCTGTGGCCACATCTGTGTCCCTACAGGCCAAGTACCACCTCTGTTCAGCAGGATGGCTCGAGAGTGGGCAGGTCGCCTACCCTACAGCCTTCTCCTCCCAGAACTGTGGCTCTGGAGCCGTTGGGATAGTGGACTATGGACCAAGAAACAAGAGTGAAATGTGGGATGTCTTCTGCTACCGGATGAAAGGTAACTGCCCCAGCTCCACTCCAGATCCCAGACCAGGCAGCTGCTGAGCCATCCTCAGCCTGGCCCCCAATCTCCAAGGGTGAGCTGGGGCAGCCCAGGCCCCTGCCTCACTGGTGTGGGCCCCTGTGTGCTCCTGCCTTCCAGATGTGAACTGCACCTGCAAGGTGGGCTACGTGGGCGACGGCTTCTCGTGCAGTGGCAACCTGCTGCAGGTTCTGATGTCCTTGCCTTCCCTCACAAACTTCCTGACGGTAAGTCCCATGTCTGCTTGCTTTCGCCTCCGGGAAGGAGCAGTTGCTTCAAAGCAGGTATTAGAGAGGTGAGTCCCTGAGAGAAGGCAAAGACTCACATTCATGGTTAAGAGCACGGACACTGGACCACATTGCCTGAATCTGAAGCTTGGGCTTGCCACTTACCTGTTGCATCACCTTAAACAAGTTCCTTTCTTCTCTGGGCCTCAGTTTCCTCATCTGTAAAATGGAGATGATGATAGCACCAACCTCATAGGGTCATTGTGATAAATAGATGAGTTAATATCTATAAAGCACTTAGACCTGTGGCCAGCACATGGAACATGCTATATTAGTGTTAGCGAGTATTATTATTTCTGTTTGCTTCTAGAGCAGCTTAAGAGTCTGATCTGCAGGAATGAGATGCTCTGTTGTCTGCATGGACAGGGTGGGACACAATTAGCTAAGCCTGCCTGGTGATCACCCAATGAGCCAAATTATCAACATGGAGTCAACCTGCATTTTGCACTGCCCTTCAAGTCACTTCAGAATTCTACAATTATGTCCAATGAAGAGAAAGCCCCAAGTGGAGAAGCATTTGGTGTTGGCTGATCAAAGAACTGAGCTAATAATGATGACAACCAGAGCTAACATTTCTTGGCATTGACTTTGCACTGGGCACTGTCCTGAGTCTGTCAGAGCACTTTTGACTCAGCCCACAGAATAGGACTTTCCCTTTCATAAGGGAAAGGATTTGCTCTGCCTTGTGGCTGGTATATAGTAGGTGCTCAATAAATACTTGATAGAAGAAATAAATCCTCATGCAATCTTATGAGGTCACTTCTGCTATTATTCCCATTTTGTAGATAAAGAAACTGAGGCTTAGCAAGGTCAAGGACACAGCTAAGGAGAGGGGACTGGGCATAAGTATAGGGCTTGCAGGACCAAAGCAGAAGTGAGACAAAGGACCCCAAAATGATAAGTTTTTGTCCACAGACCAAGGTATCCATCTAACTGGTCTAAAAATCAAAGTTGCTGTAAATACTCTAGAGATAAACATCCAAACTAACACTTCTGCTGTGTGGGAGCTTGGCTTGTGACAGCATTTCAGAGAAAAGACAGTGTCAGAACAAAACCCACTGGCTGTGTGCCCTTCAGCAAATTAATTAACTGCCCTGGGCATCAGTAGTCCTGTCTGCACAATGACAAAGTTGAACTGGATAGTGTGATTTCTTAAAATGTGTTCAGTGAGTATTAATTGAGCACTCACTATGTGCTGAGATATATCAATGAAAAAAATAAACAATAAACAGAAGAAATAAGTAAATCATGTTGAATGCTAGAAGGTGATATATACTGTGGGGGGAAAGGTAGAGCAGGGGGTGGGGTGGGGAGGGGAGGGGCCCCACAGGGTTCCCATTTTGCCCAGAGTGATGAGGGAAGGCCTTAGTGAGAAGACGGCATTTGAGTAAAGTGTGAACAGAGGGCAGAGAGTCAGCATGCAGATTTGGGGGAAGAACATTCCAGGCAGAAGGAACAGCCGGGCAAAGGATGAAAGGCAGGAGTGTTTCGGGCAAGTTTGAGGGACAGCAAGGAAGCCAGTGTGGCTGGAGGAGAGTGAGCCAGAGAGAGGACAGCTGGACATGGGGTCAGAGGAGAAACAGTGGCCAGATGGTTTGGGCTCATGGGCCACTGTAAGGACTTTGACTTTTCCTCTGAGTGATGTGGGGGCCGTTGCAGGGTTTAACAAGAGGCGACTCAAGATTTGACTTCACCTTTCACGTCATTGCACAGGCTGCCATGTTGAGAATGGTCTGTGATGTGGCTGTGACTTAGGACCATAGGATTCGTGAGGAAGGCAAAAGTGCTCCTAAAACCCCCCACACAGGGGAAGTCAGAAGAAACAGCAGAGGAGTGGCAGCCTGGGTGGGGGCTAACGTCAGGAATATGCCCAGACGGGTGGTGTCCTGTGACCCTCTCCAGCCACCCCAGTCTTCACACACCAGGGCTGGCCCATCTGATCCCTTCCTCCCCCTCCCTAGGAAGTGCTGGCCTATTCCAACAGCTCAGCCAGCGGCCGGGCATTCCTGAAACGCCTGACTGACCCGTCCACCCGCAGCACCCTCTTCGTGCCGCACAACAGCGGGCTGGGGGAAAATGAGGTGAGTCGGGTCCCTGGTGTCTGGGTCTTAGACTAGCGCTTGCAGACAGCATCGGTTATCGACCACCACAGCGCTGTCACAGATCACCCCAAAGCTCAGTGGCTACGCATTTACTGAGCGCACACATCTGCAGATCAGCTGGCGATGCTTCTGGGCTTGGCCAGGCATGCTCACGTGTCCGAGATGGGCTGGCCTGCTGGGCTCTGCTCCACAGGGCTCTCATCCTCCAGCAGGCTAGCCCGGGCATCTTCTTTCGGCAATGGTAGAAAGTGGTGAGAGCAAGCCCAGTCCTGCCAGCGCTTTTCAAGCCCATCTGGTCACACTGGCTAACATGCCAGTGGCCCAGCAGGTCATGTGGCTGAGCCCAAAGTCAGACTGGAAGGTCCTCAGAGTTACATGGCAAAGGGTAAGGAGAAGGGTGAAGAACCGGGCCATTGATGCCATCAATCTACCACACCAACCTTCTCCATGTCATGGCACACAGAGGAATTGGTCATATTTATTCAGCCCACCCACAGATGGCTGACCTACAGGCCCTACCCCACCTGAGGGCTGAGAGGGGCAGTGCCTCTGCCCACTTTTAGTCACACAGGACCGACTTGTCCCGGGACACACTGGGAAGCTCTGCTTAGACCATAAAGATGACTTTCAATGCCCCATCCTAGCTAGAAGTGAGCCTCTGGCAGAACCCAGGCAACGAAAAGCCAAAGAAAGACTTGACATTTCTTCATCTCCACATGGAGGGAGAAAAGCCAAGGTCATCAGAAGTGACATTTTTTTCTGTGTCCTCTTTATCACTAAAAAGAAAAGTATTGCTTGGCCTTTAAAGACAGTCCTATGTTTCTCCTTTCCTCTCAGACGCTGTCTGGGCGGGACATCGAGCACCACCTCGCCAAGGTCAGCATCTTTCTTTACAACGACCTTGTCAATGGTACCCTCCTGAGAACTAGGCTGGGAAGCCAGCTGCTTATCACCGCCAGCCAGGACCAGCGCCAACGGGTATGAAAAGTCTTCTGGGCTCACTGGGAGAACAGGAGATAATTCATGCAAAGCCCCTGGCATACAGTAGGTGCTTAATATATGGCAATTGTTATAATGTGAAAGTACATTCTAAGCCTGCAGATAGGGGATGGTATTAGCTGCACGTCATAACATACCACACTATCAGGCAGCCATACTCCTTGGGAAATAAGCCATTGGTCACCACCAGCCCCGGAAGCTAGTAATGAGGAACTAAATAGGAATCCATTTTAAAGCTGTCTGATTCTCCACCTTTGTTTCTGTCAGATTGTCAGTCTATCCCAGGCAGTGACATGTGAGCCTTGAAGTCAAATGATTCTAGTATGAAAACCAGTTCTGCAACTTGCTAGCTGTAGGAACTTAGGCAAGTTATCCAACTTCTCTGTGTCCCAATTGCCTCATCCAAAAAATGGGAATGATGGTAATGTGTTGATGATGATGGTGGTGGTGATGATATAGTGGTGGAGATGATATAGTGGTGGTGATGATGACGATTGTGGTGATTGATGGTGATGGTAATAGTGATATTATTTTGATGATGCTGATGCTATTGATGTTGATGATGGTGGTGGTGGCGATAGTGATGGCTATGATCATGTTGATGATGTTGATAATGATGATGATGGTGGTGATGATGGTGGTGGTCCTGATATTAGAAGTGGTGGTGGTAGTGGTGGTGGTGGTGGTGGTAATGATGGCCATGACAACCATCATGGGGATTCAGTGATTCAAGGTTTGCGATGTGCGAGAATAGTGCCTGATGTGTAGCAGGTGCTAAATGAGTATTATTTTTTAATTTTTACCGGCAATAAATGATTTCTTTTATTGAACATTAGTAGTTTAGACCAATGCTTTTCAAACTTTACCAGGCATTTATATCACCTGCAGGTTTGTTAAAATGCAGATTGTAATTCAGCAGTGGGTTGTGGGGCCTTGGGTTCTGCATTTCCAATGAACGCCCAGGTGATTGCCCACACCACAAGCCAGTGGATCACACTTTGTTTAGCAAGGAATTAGATCCCTTAAAAATCCCTTTTCTAACAGTGTGGTGTGATGTTCAGAGCAGCAGATCTGGACTCCAGAGGCGTGGGGTATGCCACTTACTACCTGGGTGATCTTGGACAGACCATTTCCTTCTGAACCCTCATCTGATAGACAAGTGGGCCGGACAGAATGACCCCTTAGGTTCGCTGCAGCTCTTAGATCAGCTTGTCGGCATAAGGGCAACTAATGGGTTCTGGAGTGTCCAGACCGTGAGCAGAAGTCCTGTGCTGCCTGTGAGTGAAGATAAGCCTGAAACCCAGGCTCCAGGACATTGGGAAAACGGAGCACCTTCCCTCCACGAAAGGGCTGCCCACGTGGGGAGAAAGAGCCAGATGGTCGCAGATCTCCATCAATCCTCTTCTCATTTCCCTAGAATGAGACCAGGTTTGTCGATGGAAGAGCCATTCTGCAGTGGGACATCTTTGCCTCCAATGGGATCATTCATGTCATTTCCAGGCCCTTAAAAGCACCCCCCGCCCCAATGGTGAGTATCCAGGGCTCCTGGTGAGGGGCCAGGAGGAGCCCCAATGTCCACTCCCCAAGCAGTAAACTGCTGCTGGAGGCCCTGTCCACCCTGCGCCTCTGGAGACTGGAGGAGCCTCCCCCATCCATGGCAGCTCGCCTTGGGGATGCCTGGCCCTGGTTCACCACGCCCCACTCCTGTGCATTAGCAACACAGCACCTGTCACCGCTAATATTTGTTGAAAGGAAGGGGCAGGATGGGCCAATGGAGAAACCACTGGCAGGGAGTGAGTAATCCTGAGCTCTGGTTTGGCCCCTCCATGTCATTAGCTGTGTGACCTCAGACAAGTCCCAGAACACCTCTGAGCCCTATTTTTCTCATCTTCAAAATGGGGGTCATAATGCCTCCCTCCTGGGTTCTTGGGAGGACTATGAGTCAATAAATATAAAATAATTAGAGCATTCCTTGGCACAAAGTACATGCCATGTAAGAGTTGGTTGATTGGCTGTTGGTGGTAGTGTTGTTCTTAGTATGCTAATTTTGTTCTAAAAGTGTGAGGGAGGGGGGAGGACAGCTGGCTGCTGGGAAGCTCCATAGCATAGTGGTTAAGCACATAAGCTCCAAAGCCAGGCTGGCTTTAAAGCTCACCGCTGTGTGCTTTACCATTCAGTGGCTGTGTGATATTCAGCAAGTGCTTAATCTCTCTGTGCCTCAGTCCCTCCGTAAAAAATGGAAACAATAATAACTGTCCCTATCTCTGGGCTATGATACATTTAAATGAATTATTTTAGGTAAGAGGCTTAGAACAGACCCTGGCAGTGCAAGGTCTAGATACATGTTAACTATTTCATCATTACTTTATCCCAACTGGCCTCAAGATGCCCCAGGCCAGCAAGAATGCGGTGGGCTCTAGAAAGCACACCTCTTTTGGGAAGTCATCAGTTTTCAGTACCAGCCCCTGCCCTTTCTGTGTTCAGACTTCAGTCCACACTGGCTTGGGAACAGGGATATTCTTTGCCGTCATCCTGGTCACTGGAGCCATCGCTTTGGGTGCATATTCTTACTTTCGACTAAACCGGAGAACAACTGGCTTCCAGCGTTTTGAGGTAAGAGAGAGAAAAATAGGAACATGGTATTGGGGTCCTCTCTGAAATCCAGCCCCTGACTCGGGGCTACTTCAGCTGACTGGAAGCTTCAGGAGTTGGGTGCTTAGTACACACTTCCGGCCTCCTGCATGGGGTCTCTGCCCCTAAGAGGGGCAGCAGTGCCAGCTCCCAGCCCCTGTTCCTGGTAGAGACAGGGTTTAGTGAGAAGAGTGATGGGCTGCAGTAACGTGGACCCTCGAGCCTCTGTGCCAAGGGTTTGGCTTGGAGGCAAAGGCACCAGGGCCCAGGAGCACGCTCACCTTGGAGGATTCATGAGACAAGCGCCCACTGTGATTGGCTTGCGCTTCCAGGCTGACTCTGATGGGGGGGGCACAGGTCAGGGACCTGCACAGCCAGAGGCCTCACTCTGCAGCCAGCGAAACACATTTCCCCCATTTGACCCACTGAGCCCACGTCCAGATCAGTGGGACTTGGCTGACATGGGGTGACCCTGGGACAGGTTCCGCAGCAGCTGAGCACCCTCCCTATCTAATTTCCCCTCCTTCCTGAACACCCTCTCCTCCTGCTGCCTCCTCCAGACCTGCTGGTAAAGACTCCAGAGTCCCCAAGCAGCAGCTCACCCTTCTAGCAGAAGACTTGCATATTTATAAGCTCTAGGGACAAGTCTCAAAGCATCATTTTTAGCACAAGTGTACACACCGTATTAAGTTCAAGGACAAGGAAACCACTCCAGCCTTTTGGACATGTCACCTGCATGGGATTGGTTATTGGTGGGCAAGGGGCATGAGACCTCCTGGGGCAATGGAAATGCTCTCTGTGCTGATTTGGGTGGTGGTCACACCTGGGTGGACATAGTAAGAAGTCATCAAACTGAACACTTTTAAGACTGGTGCATGTTGTTATATGCAAATCAGATCTCAATCAAGGACTGTTAAAAAGAGAAGGCTCCTGGAGGTGGAGGTGGGTGCACGGCTTGCTTTACCTGCCATCTTGGATGAGCCACTGCTGCCTTGGGGACACCCTGGTTCTCAACCCTGTGCTTGTCCTTCCATGCAGTCGGAAGAGGATATCGACGTTGCACCTCTTGGCAAGCAGCAGCCCGAGAATATCTCGAACCCCGTGTATGAGAGCGCGACCTCAGCACCTCCAGAACCTTCCTATGACCCCTTCTCAGTGAGTTTGCATTTTTATCAATTGGGGTGCAGGGGAATGATGTCTTTCAGCAAATCTCAGTGAAAAGCTTCGCACCAAGAAAAACTTTTAGAACATGTCTGGGGGCAACAAACCTAAAAGCCGGTATTGCAAGCTGAGGAAGCCACGTGGCTGTTCCATGTTCCTGGGTTCTTCTGGGTGGACAGCAGAAGCCTCCATCAATTACAGATAGGAGAGAACCAGAGGTTGCCCACCCCCAACCTCACGACCAGGTGACATGTCACAAGCAGAAGAAATCTTGGGCTGAATTCTGCCACAAACGTTTCTGAGGTAGCCGATGCAAAATAGCACATCAGGCCTTAAAAAGGTAATTTTCCTTTAGCTATGCTTTAAACTTGTGTTTACACTGTTGTCCAAAATTTTTCTGCTTGTTGTCAGAGCTGCTTCTCGCTTTTGGGGGTAAGTTCCTTTGATGAGGTCTTTTATATCTAGAAGTGCATATTCCACTCTGGTCTTCTAAGAAGGACCATTGTTCTAGAGTTAGTGATCCTTGAGCTTAGAAGGGGCCTCCAGTGACTTGACCCCAGGGGGCCCCCGTGGGAGGGTACCCCATTCATACTGAATGTGGAAGGTACACCCCGCCTGTAGTTTATTACCAGTTCTGGACTGAGAAGCTAGGGATAAAACTTAATTCTTCCTTTTATATAAAAATAAGAAAAATTAATAGCTGTTACGCTGAGTGTCCTTTTGTACCTCAGAAGACTGAGCTGACAGCATTACTCAGGTCCAGGAATTACTTTAATCTTGGCAGGTGTGGTTCTAGAACCCTCATGCAATAGTAACCAAAGCCAGAGGGCTGCTGTAATTGTTTTGTGCATGTACCTATGCTGTCCCTCCCCACGCAAGACTATATTATGGTCATTGAATTTTTATTAAGTTGGCACTGGAACATTAAGAATATTCTATTGCACCACTTTTAAGCTTGTATAGTGCAATAGATGTTATTATTTTTCTGCAGGGAACCAAACGTAAATATCTTGTGGTTCTTAGTGCCTGTGGTAGCAGATTTAATGTGGTAGCAGATTTAATATAGTTGCAATAGATTGCAAAATAACCAGATCATAAATCCTATTTTGTTTTTTAATCAAACCCATGTACAAGTTTCCGGTTCAAATTGCACGGCTAAGTTCAGCTAGATTGCATTTATTAACTAATAGTTTATTTCTGTAAGCATTACTAAATTGAAACCAACCTCATTTAAAAAGCAGGGGGAAAAAAGTTATCCATCCTGGTCCTTGCTCTCCAGGCCTTCTGAGCCCCGTGCATGGAAGATTCTCCTGAGGCAGGAGAGGGAGTGTCTGAGATGCAGGAGTCAGCTAAACCTTCTAGTCAGAGCAGAGGGCAAAAATGTTCCAGTAACAGGAATCCTAAGCCAAGGATCCCATCCCAAACAGTAATGTGCTAGGTTCTCATGCCTTTTACATTGAAGGATAGGGTGACTACACAATATTTGTAGCCAATCCAGACATCTTGAACACATCCATTATGCTAATTAACACAGCTTCTGTGCTGATCAGAGCTATAGACAGCGGAAGGCTTCGGGTGGCTGCCTCTGGAGTATGGCTTCCAATTCGACTTTCTCAAATGCTCAAGAGCCGCCCCTGGTTCACGATGAATTTTCAACTCAAAAGGAGTTTTTTGTAATCATAGTGATAGCCACCTTTTGTGGGGTGCTTATACCTTCCTTAAGGTAGTTATCTAATTTACCACCTCCCTGTGAGGTGGACCCTTTATAGATAAGAAAACTATAGCAGAGTTGAAATGATTTATCCAGGGCCACACACCTTCAAACAGAGACTCTCCCAGAACGAGAGGCCCTGACCACCTTACCATCCTGCCTCGCAACACGAGCCATGAGACAGCAGCGTGATGGAACCCTCCCACTATACATGTGTTCACAGGGCACTTGGGGAAGAATCGCATTGAGGCTGTAGGGGAGGAAAAAGTTTTCCTCCACCCTCTTAGGCTCCCTGGCTGGGTCTGAAAAGTAAACCGACAAAGACAGATTCGCAGGAGACAAGCATAGAAATTTTATTGAATGTTTACATGTCCACGGGAGCCTTCACAAGAGAAGGAAGAACCAAAGAAGTGACCAGAGCAGGAAGCTTTTATACCTTGTAGACAAACGATACATCTGTGAAGATGTGATAAGACAAAGAGGTGTGGGCTGGGGGAGTCAATGGTGAAGAAGTAACTAGGAAGGTAAGGTGAGTTTAACAAGGTTTCTCTGTACAGATTTCTTGGCCCCAAATTCCCCATCTCCGATGATGAGTGTCATCTTTCCTCCTGGTAGAAGGAGGGTACCTTTCACCTGGGACTTTTATGACCCATTTCAGGGAAGAAGGGCAGCAGGAATAGGTCAGAGTGACCTTCCTGCTTCTGTTTTTTAAAAATTCCTTCAGCTTCAGATATTTAATAGGCCCAGGTGCCATATTTTGGGATAGCATGTCCTGAACCTCATCAAGGCCTCGGACCAGTGGCCACAAGAAACGCTTGACCTGGAAAGATTCGGCAAGCAGAAGTTCCTGTGCCTTCTCCGTGTGTCTCACAGACCTCTCTTTTCCAGGACTTGGAAGACCAGCAGCTGGAGAGCAGTGACCCCCTGGGGGCCCTGTGAGGGCCCAGACCTGCTGCAGTCAGCCATCACTCACGGCCTCAACAAGGCTGTCCACTGTGAATCCTCAGCACCACTTGCCTTAGGGGAATGTAAGGTCCTGTAACATTTTAAAGTAGGAAGCACTCAGAAGCCATACCTCATCTTCTCTGGTTAATCTGGGGGATTGTTTTGTTTCTGTGGGTTAAGGACCATCTTAAATCCATCCACCAACCCAGGGTCTTGCCCCTCTGGGTTGGTCTCCCTCCTCTGACCCTCTGCTGTCCTCTCTGTGTACCGTTAGGTGGCACTTAATATGTTCTACCCAACACTATAGTAACTGTGACCTTGTCTTGTTTCCCTGTTACGTTGTAAGCTCCCGAGGGCAGGGACCTGCCTCATTCATCTTTGTATCTCAGCACCCAACCCAGTGTCTGGCACATAAAATGTGCTCAATAAATGTTTATGGAACAGAAATAAAGTCAATGGAATATATCTAGTGTTTTGGGAAACAAAAATTGTCTGCCACAGCAGGATTCAAACTTTGAAGGTAAAATCCACTTATTAGGGCTCATTAGGGCCTTTTCAATTAGTCAACATCTGCCTTATGAATTCTTTCTTAATTCTGTTTTGTTTGCTTATTTGTGTGCTTATTTTAAGAAGACATGAGAACCACAATGAGTCACCATTTCACACCCACTAGGATGGCTATTAGCAAAAAGACAGACAATAACAAGCGTTGGCAAGGATGTGAAGAAATTGGAACCCTCATACATTGCTGGTGGGAATGTAAAATGGTGCAGCCACCTATGAAAACAGTTTGGTAATTCCTCATAAACTTATACATAGAGGTTACCATATGATCCAGGAATTCCACTCCTAGTCATATATCCAAGAGAAATGATAACAGGTCTACACAAAAACTTATATACTATGTATGTTCATAGGAGCATTATTCATAATAGCCAAGACGTGGAAACAACCCAAATGTCTATCAACTTATGAATGGATAACCAAATCATATAGTGAATCTGTATAAATTATATATCCACACAATGAAATATCATTACACTCTGAAAGGGAACTAAGTACTGATACATGCAACAACATGGATGAACCTTGAAAACGTTATGCTAAGTGAAAGGAGCCAGACACACAAAAGACCATATACTGTATGATTCCATTTATATGAAATTTCCAAAATAGGCAAATTCATGGAGACAGAAAGTAGATTAGTAGTTCCCAGGGACTGGGGAAGCGGGGAATGGGATTAACTGCTAAGAGGTACGGGGTTTCTTTTTGGGGTGATAAAAATGTTCTGGAATTTTACAGTGGTAATATGTTGGCTCCGGAGAGTTCTTCACTGCGCAATGCAGGATGTCTACCACACCATGTCCCTGCCCTCAAAATGCCAGAAGTGCCCTTCCCGTCACAGTGACAACTGAGCGCCCCCCAACCCACACACTTCCAAATTGTCCCTCGGGGGTAGTACTGGCCAGGCTTGGGAATCGCTGCTGGGGACAGAGAAGTGAGTGGCTGGGTTGAGCTATCTCAGACTCTCCTCTCTGTTGCCCTCATGGCCCAAATATCTTCATTCCACCTCATCGGGGTTTTCTTGAGCCAAGTCCAAAATTCTGGAAGCCCCAGAGTGTCCTGTAAGCTTTTTCACACCTCCAGGAAAGGGAAGAAGTCCCGGCTTCAGGCAGAGGAACAGCTTACCATCTCCTCCAGGACGACACGCCATGATGGGAGCAAGGCCGCCTTTCCAGGAAATCGCTCCCCGAAAAGAACATAGGACGGATTCCCTAGGGAGTACCACTACCACCATCATAGGCACAAAAAGGCACATGATTAAGAGGAAAAGCAGCAGGCTACCCGTGGGAGGAGTGAATGAGAGTAAGGGACAGACACAATGAGAGGTCAAGGATATTTAGATATTGAAACACACACACACATTTAAACAGTTAAAAAAAATAAACTCTTCAAAATACTTTTAAATTTATCCAAAACCCAGTAGTGAATTAACTTCACAGCATCTACTCCTAATTCAGTATTTTCTTCCCTTAAAATACTGCCTCCAATTTCCAGCTTTCCTGGTAATTCGATTGCAGACAAACCTGTGGATCACCATCTCCTCCTCGTTCTCAAGGAGAGAACTGTCTGGGAGAACAGAAATTCCAGATGGGTCACCTGCTGCCCACCTATAGCTAAGCTCACACCAACTACACAGTCTTCAAGCTCTGAACACAAGCAAGTGTGCTTTGCTGGGGGTGATGGGATGAGGTACAGAGAAATGAACCACAAATCTTTCACCCCTCCTCATGGGGATATTCTTTTTTGGGCATATTAGGATTTGATATGGCTTTGCCTCTAACTTAAGCACACAAAACAGATGCTTTACAATAAAACTGGATGATACAATTCAAACTTTTATTTGGCAATAAGTTCCATATCCTATGACATAAAATCAACATTCAAAATGAATAGCAAATTCACATTTAGAATAAATAGTAAGTCTACCTAGTTTGCATTTGTTGTGCCTGATGTCATACAGGCACAATTTGTCATTCTGCTAAATAATTAGAAAACAGTTTCTGAAGTCAGAGTTCAAGCCTGCAGAACTAGAAGAATACAGAAGCACTGTTGCCGGCTGGGTTCCCCGGAAAGACGCCGAGATGGAGATTCACGTGCAGGAAGTTCACAGGGAAGTGCTCTTGGGGTCAACAGCTGGGAAGGGAAGGGACAAGAGGGAAGGAGGCAGGGCTGGAAGGGGGAGGAGCTGGGCTGCCATGCAGACAGACAGGCCTCAGCTGATCCCGGGGACTCTGGAGCTGGGATGGGCCCTCAGAGTTGAGCAGTCACAGGTTACCGGCTGCTCCAGGAAGCGGGCGTGACCTTGTCCGAGGGCCTCCTCAGAGGGGAACTCTCAAAGAGGGCCAGCAGCTGCCGACGGTCAGCAGACAGCGCCCCCAGGAGTTAGGGGAGTAAGTCCTTCTGTCCTGAAGGTTATCTGGGCAGCCACGCCCATCACCCACTACCAGCACCATCACAGCCTAGTGCAATGAGAGGTATATCAACCAGTGCCCGAGCCTGGCGGCTCAATTACACACAAGGACAGCAACGCCATGGGCTGGGAACACAGGATTTTACCACTGGCCACACAAGTACATAGGCCCAGAGAGCAGCTCTTGGGGGATGGGGCACTTACCTACAGAGCTTCTTTCTTCCATCTGCACCCAACGGTAAGGTGTTCATCTGCAGGCTTTCAACAGGGTGATCCTGCCACTGCCACCAACTCAACCCACTAAAGCAGGAGTCAACAAACTATGGCCTGAGGACCAATCCAGCCTGAAGCCTGTGTTTGTCAATCAAGTTGTAATGGAACACAGCTGTGCCCGTTCCTAGAGTAGCAGCCACAGAATATGCCCCGCAAAGCCGAAAATGTTTACGACCTGGCCCTTTACAGGGCTGAACACTGCATTAGAGAAACTTCACTCCCTTTCCTTTCCTTAACCCACTAGTGGTGTTAAAAGTTAGCTGAACTTGGAGCCAACTTCCCAAACACTAATGAGAAAAAAAAGGAAACTGGTACCAAAGGAAATCGATATGAAGAGGGCAAAACATAAGCTCCCTAGTAGTTGAATCGAGCAATCAGCAGCCCTGGCTCTGGCCACATTTAGTCCTGGAGCATTCTAGACAAGGGCCCCCGAGTGGGTCTTTGGCAGCAAATGAGCACTCGGCATAGTGGAATTCAATTCCACTATTTAGCGCACTCTCGACTGCTTCAAAGGCCTTTGGGGTGGAAGAGAGAGGAAACGCCATTCAGATCACTCAAAGCTAAATTAGCTCAGAGGAAAGATGACTCCTCACTTCTCCTTTGCAACGCATTCAAAGCAACCAGTAATTCAGTCTGAGATGTGCCCAAATTAGTAACAGGTGGTTTATGTCACATGGTGATAGCAGAAAACGGAGCTGAAGAGAATTTAAAAGAGGAAAAAAGAGGCTATGTTAGGAGGAACGTGGGAGCTCTAAACCAAACTCCTAAAATATTTTAAAAGCCAGGTTTCATCTATAAAACCAGCTGGCATGGACTGTCCCTGGACTATGAATTTTTGTTCACATAATTCTTAGAAAATCAGTCTAACCAACGCTAAAAACAGAAAATATTTTTCAATGTGCAAACTAATTTTATTCTGTTCACTTTCCAAATTGATTTTTTAAGTGGTAGAAAATAGACTCACTTCCCTTATACCAATATGCTTTCAACAACGTGCACACCAGAGAACAAACTGGAAAGAACAAAATGCCCAGTGCAGTGCACCAAATCCCAGTAGAGTCATGGCAGCAACACATTAAAATCTATCTTGATTGAGCAGAGACAAGGAGAATGCCTCTGTCCTTCACATGGAGATGGCCGTCCTGCCCGGCGCTGCTGGCTCTGCCATGGGTTTGCAGTCTGCCAGGCGCACGCTTGGTGGGCCCTGCTGAGACAGATGCCAGGCTTCTGCCACACAGCAGCTCTCAATCCTACTGCCACGTTCAGTGGCCCAGAGACTGAAACCTTAATTGGTAATAAATTGTAAAATTCATTATTCATACCCAGAAAATGTATTTCTCCCCTAAGGCTTGTGTCACCTGACCTAGCCATACATGAAAGCAGGTTTTAAAAGTAGTTCTACTTTATTCTTGAGTAAACAAAACACCTTGTAACTGGCACCTAGGAGATATCCAATGAATATCTGAGTAGATAAAATCTAAGAAATTTTTTAAAAAATAATACCTACTTCCTCACTCAGCCTCTCCAAAGCAGAAACCGTAAGACAAAAGCACTAGCGTCTCCTTTGCGGACCCCAACACCGAGCAGTTCTGAGCATCCCCCGCACCCCTTAAATGCCAGTCTGCAACACACTCTGATACTTAAAACACCTAGGAGCTAACAAATAGCCAACAAAATGCCCACCCCATTCCGAACAAGGAATGAGCCACTGTGTTTATAATAAAATATAGAAGAAAAAAGGGGCCTAGTTGGGTCCACTGGGTCTAAAAGGTCACCTTCACTATTAGAGTTAAATACACGAAAATATCACACGTAAAATCCCATGATAATGAGCGGCATTACAAAGCATGCTATATAACTCACTCACTCAATTTTTACATTCTGGAAGGAAGCCTATAGAATGCCAGGCTAGCATTTCATTAATAGCTGGCTCTGATACATTTATACATTAACATTGCTGAATAAGTGAGCACTCTGCACAGCCCCCTTCCTGTATCTGCCATCCTTTAGGTTTAAGGACATGTGTCACTTCACTGTCCTGAGAAAGAAACAAGAAATAGTTAGCTAAGTCATTTCCAACTCTTTTTCCCTTAGCTTGAATGCCCTTTATCCTCCCCCACCTTAAACACAGACACCTAAAGAAAAGCATCCAAACTCCAAAAATAGCCACACAAACATGGCAGCAAAGAAATCTGAGGGGAGGAGAGGTGGGAGATGGCTAAGCGGAGAGGTCCACCTCCCTCTCTGCACTGATTCAAGCACGTCTCCTCAGCTGATGTCCATGAGAGAGGCAGGCAGCTGACAGCTGCCCTCCAGACAGGGAGAGTTTCTGGTGATGCATACGTTTACCGAGATTCCAACACAACCCAGTGTGGGTCATGGCATGGTATTTCATTACAAGGACATTTTTTTTCTATTTCATTCTCTGTCCTCCAATGAGCACATTAAACCAACATGGGTGGCGTTTTCGGGTGTAAGAATCTCCGGGGAAACCCACCACAAATGCCTTGGCTCTTCCCACCTGCTCGTTTCTCGCAGCCTTGTTCTACAATATCTGTTCTACTAGCTGGAAATTTAACCAGAAGCTCTTCTCTCCTCGCCTCCTTCTCCAAGGAAAAGAGTGAACCCGCCCAGCACATGCAGCACCTTCTGTCCTTCCCCAGGGTGGGGCAGGATACAGGAAGCGGACACTGAGGACAATTTGGGGTCAAGGACCTGCAACATCTCTTGTTTTTTCTCACTAAGACTTTCCAGGAGGCTGAGTCTCCTTTCAAGTGATGCTCCAGAATCCCAAAGTCCTCATGCCGAACGATGTGGGAGCCGCTGCTGTTTGGGGATCATCCTGCTACTGACTGTCGTGTTCTGCTATTGTAGACCTCACTAAATCATCGGCTTTCTGCACGCAGTTTATCACTGCACATCATCGTGGCCCTGCACTTCCCCAAGCACGGCCTGTAAATGCCCAGGACATTCCACGGAAGAGTCAAGCAAAACGTCACCTGCTGGAATACAGAGAGGGCATCAAGAAGTCTCACCTATTCCAGAAAAACTGACACCAGTCACAGTACCTTAGTAAACAAGAAGGCTGATCACAGTTTCAATATGAAGCTTGCCGTTCAGCCCTGCATGTACAGGAAGGCGTGACCAGGGGGCTGCTGGCTTCTGTCTTCACCACTGGGGGAGTATTCTCATAATGTACAAAATAAATATCAAAAGGCATATCTGTATCTTTTCCGAAGCAACACCCAGAGCCACACAAAGTCAACCCCATCATGTCTGCCCAATCTGCAACTGTCACTGTTTCTGCCTTTTTCCACAGGTGGGCACTTTGCTACTTGGCCTGGGCCTCCCGCAGGAGGGGGAGTCTGAAGGCGGGGGGCCTCTCTGACCAGGCGGGGAGTTCGTGCTGCAGTGGAGTCCTCCTGGGGTAGAACGTGTGGTTGACATCGTAGTTCAAGAGGCAGCTCAGAGATGCCATGTAGATGTCGGCAAATCGCGACAGGCGCCTCAGGAAGTAGGTGGGGTTCTGGTCTGTGCGGAACAAGCTTCCAAAGTGGGCGTTGAAGAAACTTTTGGTCATTTCTCTGAAGAAGCAAGAAAAGAGCGAAGCAACAGAGAACGATTCAAAAAAGACTTGTTTTTAAACAAAGTTACTGAAATCAAAATCACTTTTTCATTTTTATAGGACCCATTGGAGAGGAAAATTAGCCTAGAGCAGCCCCAACATCTAATCAGGAAAAGTCTGTCCATCCGCCCATCAAAATGGCTCTGATCACACTTGCCACTTAGGCAGCCCGAGAGAACGCTGTTTAAGGCTCCGGTTTCAATGTGTATGCCCTCTAAATAAGTGCACCACATTTTCCAATCAAAAACAGAGGAGGCACGTGCTGCTTCTGAAGGTACACAGAGAGACGCAGAGTGTTCTCAGAGTCTCCAAATTTCCCTCATCTACAGAATGGGATCAAGACCCCCTTTCTATAAAGTTACAGTGAGAACTGAGTAAGGTAAGTGAAATAAAAACATATTGTAAACTCTAAAGTACTTTGATGTCTGAGAAATTAAGGATTATTTTAGAGCAATGTATATAAATCTCCACCATCTGTTACACAGCTTCACACACCTCACTGCTTCCTCACAGCCTAGGTTACAAGCACTTTGCAAGGCTGTTCACCCCACCTCAGGCTCTAGGCCCCTGCAGGAATGTATGCATGCATCTGTGTGTAAATCAACACCCCATCACACACACACACAGGATATGCACACCATCGGATGGCTGGGACCCCTACACACAGAATATTCCAGCAAAATGGATAAATACCATTTGACTGTTAATCGATCAGTTACAAAGACAGCAGAAAATGTAATCCTTTACACGACTGTATGATAAAAGCCACTAGTTGGTAGTAGTCTGTCATCATATAGTGACAGGAGATGCTATGACAACCAAAAAGTAGGAAATTAAAAGAACTCAATTAGGTTGGAGGGTTGAGCAACATAAATGGTTTTTAAACTTTTACTGAAAAATCTCATTGAGATGTGAAGCTGTTCAAGACTAGAATCCAAAACAAAATCTCTGACGGGTGAAATGGCTCCTTCATCTAATAATCTGAGGTCCCTGGAGTGTAGGACCCAGGTCTAGCCTTCTGGGGCGAGGCGCCTGGAGTCAAATCACATTATATGTCTTCTTCCCATCAGCCTCTCACCCAACATTTTTATACCAATGTTACAATAATAATCAAGTTAGAATAGGCCCCCAACAGGCAACCCCTGAGAGGGAGGAGGAAGGATTGATTCAATACAGCCGGGAGGGATGGAGTCTGTCCCCTCTCCATGCCCACCCCCCAAATCAGGCTGTCCATTGCTCAGAGGCTAGACCCAGGCAGTGACTGGTACTTCCAAACCTCAGAGACAGCTGCGCCCAGGGGAGGGGAGCCAAGCACAAGAGCAGAAATGGTCATGTAAATGGTCCACATACACAGCATCCTCTTAGAGAAGCACGATTGTCCACAAGGCCTCTTTTGAAGAGCTGTTCCCTTAAGACGCAAACCCACCAAACTTTCCTGACAGCAAGTGGGCCTTCTTCACTAGTAAACATTCTGATACTGAGTGTGCACACACTCCTGAAATAGCCGCGGGTACAAATAAGCACCTGGGTGGTAGGAGCCCCAAGAATTCACTGTCATTCAGAGCCCACCTCCACGGCTGTCCCAGCAGCCACACGGTGCGGCCAGTACTACCAACAACTGGCCACCAGCTGCCCAAACGGGAGAGTGGAGCAGGCAGGGAGGAAGGATGGGAAGGACAAGCTCCTTCAACCGTGGCCTTCTAACCAAGGGCAGGAGGTGCCATGGAGGTCACTGTTGCCTCAAGGAAATGTCACACATCACTAACAGTAGAAGGCTGGTTCTGGATAACAGGGGGGCAGGGGTGGGGGTGGGGGTGGGGTATCACATTCATACCTGGGAGCTAAAAAAGGATGTTTTGAAATATGCCTTGGGCCAGCCCTGGGAAGGTGTGAGTTGAGCACAGGCAGAAGGGGTGGTGGATTCACTGTATTCAAAACAGGCCGCTCTTGGCCTCGGCCCCATGGCCGAGTGGTTCAAGTTCCACGCGCTCCCTTTTGGCAGCCCAGGTTCACAGGTTTGGATCCCGGGCATGGACCTCCTCCACTTACCAGCCATGCTGTGGCAGTGTCCCACGTACAGAGTGGAGGAAGACAGGCACAGATGTTAACACAGGGCTAATCTTCCTCAATCAAAAAAAGAGGAGGATTGGCAGCGCATGTTAGCCCAGGACAAATCCTCCTCAGCAAAAAAAAAAAAAAAAGACCTCTCTTACCTCATCTCCTTTCTTTCCTTTTTCCACTCCTGCAAAACCAGCTGTGACTCAGCATCTCTGTGAACCTGCAGGACACAAGCTAATTATTGAGAGTGTTCTGGTTGTGAATAAACTCATTAGGTAATGAGAGATTTTTAATAGGCAATTTTTCTTGGAGGAATTTCATTCACGTCTAAGAGGCAGGCACTTGGATGAAATAATATATCTTCAGACTTCTCAGTTATAATTCTCCTTTCTTCACCGAAATAGTTTAAATGTCCAACATTAGAAACATGGTTTAACAAATTAAGGTGGAATATTATGAAGCTATTAAACAAGGCCCATATTAAACTAGAGACATTAAGCATTACTAAAGGCTATTGTATAAACATAATACATATGTATCCACATAAAATATATGTAAGTATCCATTACACATATGTATTACATATATAAACATATACTTAAAACATACTACCTATTACACATATTATATATTTACATGTACAAACATAAAAATGGCAGTTAAGTGGAAATAGCAGGTATAACAGTACATCCTAAATGCAAACTAATGGCAAGCATGTAAAAATATGTGCATATATTTGGAAATTAATGTGGAAATTTTTCTTTAATTTGTGCAATGGTAGTAGGATTATAATGGATCTTAATTTTTTTCCTTTAATATATTATCTTTAAAGCATTTAAAAGAAAAATAAATTGTTTTTATAAAAGGCAAAGCGCTGGAAGCACTTCAACCCAATGGAAAAGCAGAGAATTTTCTGGTTGGGCTGAATGTGAGCAAACGGCAAACAGAAAATGACAGCTGCCCACAAGCTAACACATGGAATCTCACAGTCTCTCTCCCAGGCTCTCGTGGCTCAACAGAAGCACTCACGCCAGTGAGAGGTGCACACGATTGCAGGGGACAGGTGGGGCTCCCTGCAACTCACGGTCACGGGGGCAGCCTTAGAACCCGGAGGAAAACTCCAAACAAGCAAACCATCTGCTTTGACCTGGGAGCCAAGGCCCTTCTGTTTATCACGTCTGCCCAGCTCAACAGCCTGATTCACGGTCACCCGCTAAAGGCCTCTGTCACTTAGACAAAGCCCATACCGACAGAGCTTGTAACTTGGATTTCTCGCCTAACACCACTGCCTCCACCACCAGGAAGCAGCCACCACTGAACAACCACTGGCTGTGTGTTACTGGAGCACCAGAAGCCTGGTCCGGCTCTCCTGAGAGTGTTGATATAGGCTCTGTGAGCATAATTTGAATTAGCTGTCACATTGTAAACCAACAAATTACTCACTGCAGAATTTAGGTACTACAAAGTATGTGACCAGATCAAAAATCTGTAGAGTGCCACAAGGAATTTATATATATACACATGTATCTATATGTACATGCACATATACATACAGATATACACATACATTTACATCTGCATATACACGTGCATATACATGCACACATATATACACATACACGTGTATACAGATATACACCTACATTTACATGTGCATATACACGTACACACATATACACACATATATTTACATATGCATGTGCACGTGCATACACACATATATACATACACATATGCACACATACACACACACACACATATATATATATTCGGCACCTACTATGTGCCAGGCACTGTGCTAAATGCTGAAGATAGAACAGAAGACAAGACGGAGGCCCTGGTGGGGGTCGTACCCAGGTAAGCAGACCATGAGAAAACAACGTGATGACGCACAGAATGGGGTTGATGTCGGTCTGTGGGAGGGACCCTCCCTCCACCTCTGCCCATACACCCTTCTTGGCCCATGAACTAGGCACTTGTGTCCAGTATGAAGGAGAAGCTTCTGCTCTCTTACTCTGGCCTGTATTTGCAAGAGGGGAGAATTTGGACTGGTGACCAGGATGAGGATTACCAAAGTTAATCTACTTGCTCTCTCTTTTTTGAAACTAGCTGCCACAGGCCAAGTGAGTTCTCCTCTCCACTCCTGCCCCTCAAGTGGGCCCCCAGGGCTCTCCCAGTTCAAGGTTTTTCCAGTGATGGAGCAGATATTATGTCAGCCCCACTCTGACACCTGCCTGTTTCCCTACAGGTCCTGAATCCGAGGGCAGCCACGGATGATGGAGTCCAAGGTTGCTAAAGAGACATGCAAAGGAGGAAGGCCCCAGAGATCTGAGGCCAGCGAGCATCCCCAGGGGAGAAACATCTGAGCTCTGTGGGTGTACGCCTTAAGCCAACCTCACCTCAGGCCCTGCCATCCAAGGCCCACCCAGCGCTTGGCTCCCTTCCCGGAACCTTTCTCCATCATTCATCATCTCTCCCATACGATCAACCTCCTCACCTGGATCCTTCCCACGAGCATTTAAACATGCTCAAGTCTCTCCCATCAAAAAATATATATATATTTATTTTCCCTGAACCACCCCATTCTCCAGCTGTTTCCCCTACAAAGCCAAACTTTGGAAAACAACAGCCTCAGATGTCTAAAATCTTCTTTAAAATACTTCCAACACAGTATGTGTTAATTAGTTTGGATTAACCTTTAAGTGAAACCAGGCACTCCAGGGTGGGTAGTTTGCATCGGAAAAGACTACCCGGAAGCCCATACCAGAGGCTGATCCTACAGACACTTCAGCCAGCTTTAGCCCCCACGGTTAATCAGCATACTCGGCTCTTCATCGCTACAGTCTACAAACATGCAGACTGGCTACATGTACCGTACCGGCCCTCCCGCCCCTGTGTGGGCAGGAAATTACAGTCTGGCCAGCCCAACAGCCTACACCAGGGGAGGCCAAATCCAGCCCACCGCCCATTTTTCTATCCACCTCTGAGCTTAAGAATGGATTTTCCTTTTTAAGTGGTTGAAAACAAAATCAAAATAATAATTTCATGACACGTGAAAATGATATGAAATTCAAATTTCAGTTTCCACCAATGAAGTTACTGGGACCCAGCCACAACCAGTGGTTTACATATTGTCTACGGCTGCTTTTGTGCTACAAGTACAGAGCTGAGTGGTCGCCACAGAGACCAGATGGCCCGCACAGCCTGACATTTTGACTCTGCGGGCCTTCGCAGAAGTTTACCATTAACCAGCATTCCCACCATCAACCACACCCACTTTGGAGTGCACTTCAAGGCTCGTTAACAAAATCATTCTTTATAGCCACTTTCTTGAAACCAAAATTATATATTCTATTTAATTCATCTGACTTGGCTCCAAACGACACTCTGCTGGCTACAAAGAAAATCAAACCCAACCTCCAAGGACAAATCTTTCTCCTCAGAAAATAGTCCAAATAACGTGCTACATGCTCTGAAATCATCTCCAAAGGGGAGTTCTAGACACATGTGACACAGGATCACTGGAATAATTTCTAGCTTTTCAGATGAACAGGGGGGCGTGCGGAGAGTGGAAAGGGAACAGGGCGGATGTGAGAAATGACATTCATGTGGATATTTTTTAAACTATCAGCCACACTCCTCTATACCCTAGTGACTCCAACCGGACAGAATGCTGTAGAAAGTGTTAGCACCAGAGGTGACACAGCATGCACGTGAAGACTCTAGAGCCAGGGGGCCTGGGTCTAAGTCCCAGCATCACCCCCGACTTGAGCAGCTCCTTTTCTCCCCTGTGCCTCAGGTTCTTCGTCTGTAAAATGGGGATGATGTAGTGCCCCCCTCAAAGAGCTGCTGTGAGAATGAAACAAATGTAAGGCCCTTAGTATCTGGAACACAGTAAGTTCTCATTTCTGAATAGCCTGATTCTGCTGTTCACTAACTTTGGGATTCTGGAAAAGTTACTGATCTCTCAGCCTCAGTTTCTTCTCCCATAAAATGAAGTGGCAACGTAAATGTTAATTCCCTTTTCTTCCTTCCTTCACCTTACTCCTTGTATAATTAATTCTATAAATCACAGAGATATTTTCCATACTTCCATTCTCTAAAACACACACTCCTTAATCATCAAACTTTTTCTAAAGGTCAGAAAGAGGAAAAACAAAAACTTTGACCCCACAGCTAACATGTAGTGACACCATCCACATGGAGGCTGCATTTGTGTCTCTGACCAGCATCACAGAGAGATTGCACCCAAGGAAAGAAGTCTCTGGCTACCCTCGAGACCTCTAAACCACCCAGCAGGGCAGCACTTCAGTGTAGTGCTCAAGGCATGGACTCCCTCATCACACAAGCCCAGGTTCAAGTTCTCGCTTTGTCATTTTCTGACCTTGGACATGTTACCTAACCTCTCACACACCAGTGTCCTTATTCTACAGTGGAAACATTGCACCCACCCGCACAGGACAGCTGTCACTGTTAAATGAATAATGTGTGTAGAGCAGGGACTCAGCACAATGCCTGGCACATAAAGAGTAACTATTATTACTGTATGACCTATGCGCAGACTCGAAGCTACTCAAATGCAGAATGGATGCCTTTTATTTTTAGAAAGTCATCTCACAGACAAGCACAGTAAGAGAAACAGAACAAGCCCTCGTCAGGGGGCCAAGAGCCAATGCAGCCAGAGCACGCTGGGAGCAAGGCCCGGGGGACGTGCGGGGCCCCACGCTCGGGAATGTGTGCGCCCCGGAGTGAGGACCTGGCCTGCCACTCCTGGCAGCTCTGCCTGAGCTCACTGCCAGCTGCTTCCACACAGGTGCCAGCTGGGCCAGGCAAGGCAGTTCCCTGGCCATTCCCAAAGGGGCTGGCAGGCCGTGGGCAACAGGCCAGAGGCTGCAGGTGTTTTAGCCAAGAGAGCGGGCATCCATGCCCCTTGTCCTCAGTCGGCACTCAAACTGAGATGGCCACAGGCCAGGCCAGCTGAACCAAGTGAGAAAGCAAGGTGTCTCATGAGACTGGAAGGACACTGCTGCAACAGAGGGGCGGCTTCCATGGGCCTGGAAATCACCGCTAAAAACAACATTCCTCACCACCTGTCCAAAACTGGCCACATAACTTACAGAAAGGAAAAACTGCCACTGCACTCCAATGAGCCAGCAAACTGCAGGTATTATCTCCAAAATCAAATGGAGGCTGCACACAGGGATCTCGACTCTTGCTCTGAGACTCTTTCCATTAAACCATGGTGCCTAGACTGAAGTGTTCATTCCACAGGACCCTTCATTTGACAGATGGGGAAACTGAGGCTAAGAATGGTGCAGTCCTACAGCAGGCTGACGGCAGAAGCAGGCCCAGACCCAAACATTGGCAGAGGTTCTTGAATCCCACTACCCCACAGGACATCTCCCTACAGGGCTTCAGTGGGGAAGTAAGGACACCGGATTTCCACTGATAGAGGAACGTAAACACCTGCGTTTCCACAGGCTCTTTCTCCAAATGGCTTTTGGGGGCATTTTTAAAGGTCCCTTCAGGGAAGTTGGCAAAAGTCTCTTAGGGGCAAAATAACCCCAGTAGTTATTCTACAGTTTACTGAGGATGACTTAAGCCTCATTCCTTATAATTACAATTAAACAGAGAATATTTGAAATTACTTTGACCAGTGGACTAACTTCAGGCTTAAAGAAAAAGTAGGAGAGAAAAAAATCCCAAACCTGCATCTGCTCCAATAACCCGGTGAGGGTCTGTAGCCAGGTCATGGTTTGAATGTACTGCTCCGTGTTCATGATTTTGAGCTCAGATCTTAATTCTGGGATAATAGCACCAGTTCGCCAGCCGTGCTTCAGGGTCAAATCCTGATTGCAAAGATCAGAAAAAGTCAACATTAATTTCAACGGAATTTAAACCATTTCACCACCCTTTCCAGACGCAACAGATATTCACTGAACTACTTTTTAATTGTAACGGTTAGTTATTAACCAAGCCAAATTCAATGAATTACATTTTATTAAAACCCATTTAGTCCTAGGCTTTGATCATTTCACCCCAAGAAAGTTTCTGCTGTTCTGGAAATAATTGCTGTGAATTACAGCCCCTGCAGAAACACAGGGTCTGGAATCATTAACCAAGGTCTGCAAAGCAACAATTAGGTCAGGGGCAGGAAGAGTGAGCTCAACCGAAATGCTACTGAAGGTCTTCCTTCAATTCATCCACAGACGGCCGGGAGCACCCACTGTGTGCCAGGCCTTGGGGGTTACGCAGATCCCTGGAATCTCAGACTTGGAATGATCATACGTCATAAACACACATGATCACATTTTTCATCCCAAATATTGTAACCCCATGATTTGACAATAGGCCAGAATATGTGATATCAGTTAAGGCCTGGAAAATCTTAAGACAGACAATCACCATACTAAATGGTCATTCATTTTCTCATTTGGCAAATATTTATCAAATACTACTATTTGCCAGGCCCTGTTCTAGACACTGAGGGTAAAACAATGAACAAAAATTGACAAATCTCTGCCCTCGTGGGAAATACAGACAAAAAATAAGCAAGTAAATCACAATGGCAGGTGGTGATAAATACAACAGACAAAAATCAAGCAGAGTAGGAGGGGAAAGAGTTACCATTTTATACAGAGTGGTTAGGAAGACCATCTAATAAAGAGACATTTGAGCGGAGATCTAAAGAGAAGAATGGTAGTATGAAAATATGTGAGAGGAGAAAAATGCTGGCAAAAAAAACAGCAAGTGCAAAGGCTCTGGGGCAGGCACATGCTGGGGGCAGGGGGTGCTAAGGAGCAGCAAGGCAGGGAGCCTAGAGCAGAGTAGGAGAGAGGGCAGAGGCAGGAGGTGCCTTCAGAGAGGTATGCTGGGGAAGGAGAGGTCAAGCAGAGCTTTGTGAGCATCTGTAGAAAATCAGGCTTTTACTCTGAGAGAGAAAGGAAAGCTTTGGGGTTTTAAGGAGAGAAGTGGTATATGGTTTACAATCTTAAAAGTTCACTCTAGGGCCGGCCCTGTGGCTTGGTGGTTAAGTGCGCGCGCTGCAATGCTGGTGGCCCGGGTTCGGATCCCGGGTG